TTATTGGGCAGGGATATGGTATTACCGTGTGTGTTCTTGGCTGTTATTACAGATCATATGCATTTGCAGGTGTACAAAATGGTGGTGAGTGTCATTGTGGAAACAGCTATTGGGCATACAATCAAGCCCCAGAGTCTGAGTGCAACATGGCATGTCCTACAGAGCCAGGAATGACATGTGGGGGAAGTTATAGGCTCAGTGTGTACTCTGTTGGCGCAGCAGGCCCAACACCTGGGCCAACACCAGCTCCATCTCCAGCACCAACACCAGCTCCATCTCCAGCACCATCTCCGCCACCTTCTCCGCGGCCATCTCCCGCACCGTCACCTGCTCCCACACCAGCCCCAGTCAGCAACAATCCTCAAACGTCCAATTTTAATATCGCACTAGGTACGCCAGCCGCATCTTGGTTGTATTCATGAGCTTGCGTTTTGTTTCTCACCGTTTCTCATCAACACATACACCATGGTTTCCAATAAACTGCAACCCAAGAACTGCGAGGGGTCTCACAAAGCTCTGTCTTTGAAAGTGCGATCCGCGAGTGGAAATCGGTCATCATGGGGGATCTCCCGGACATCAATGATGTGCTTCCAGGCGAGAGTGCCTGCGGGCCTTGGCCACAGGGTATTGATGATCTATACATCTGTGGAAAATACGAGGCAATCGACGGGAGAAGCGGGATTCTAGGTGCCGCTGGTCCTCGGTTTTATCGTACCAGCGGAACGCCGATTACGGGAGAAATGGTGTTTGACAGTGCGGATGTCGCCTTCATCAACTTGCTTGGGGTCATTGTAAGTGCCATGCGAGCATCCGGTGCATAATCCATTGCACCCTGGCAGCTGGACCACGTTATGCACGTCAAAGCAATTGCTCACATGACACGATATTGTTCATTCTATTTCTTTTTGTGCCATCAAAGTTGCATGAGATGGGACATGTGGTATGTATCTGATGGATTGCAACAAAGACATCGGTTTTCCCACGTGTCCTCATGACTTCGTCATTCATAACAACATGTCCTCTTTTCTCGTTGCAGCTGGGTATTGGTCCACTTTGGATGGCCAACGGTATGACCACAAAACGGACTGTTCCTTGCCCGTACGCTTATAACTCCAAAGCTTCCCAGGTGTACCGTGAACTGAGCGGCTGCAACAAGGCAATCCCCGTCGAACAGAGCTACGGTGGTGCCGGTTCCAACTGTGGTCATTGGGAGGAAAAATGTTTTCGAACCGAACTCATGACACCGAGTGCTGCACAACAGCTTCCCATGTCAAGAATCACCATTGCTGGGTTGGAAGATCTTGGATACGAAGTATCTTATGCGCAGGCTGAATCATTCTCCACGGCTCATATGGATTCCAGTTGTGTCTGCAACCGACGTGGTTTACGTGGCGAGGATGACCTCTCCTTCTCGGTCGCTCGTGACGGTACGATTGGGGATCATCGTCGACTGAGTGATGCAGGACGTGCCGTTGCGCAGCAGTTCGGACAAGAGCTATTGCAAGCCCGGCAAGATGCCACATCGCTTCTTCCCTTGCCTGACGGCATCGAAGATATTGGCACTGAGGTCGTTTTTATCATGTACGAGGAAGGCAACACTACATACTCCATCATGGTCACTTCGGACCCAGTGGATTAATGGTACATGCGCATGTACATGTACATGAAAACACGCAACAACATAAAGTCAAAGGATGCTGTAGAACTTGCATTTAACTACTACTATATTTTTGGACGATGCATTCTATGTACCATGCAGATGGATATCTCATTAATTCTTCTTCTCCAAAGGGCCCTGTCCATGAACTATGCATGAAAAAGTTCAACCGTAAAAGCACTTTTTGTGCCTTGCGTTGTTGTTGATGTTTTTAGAGGGAGAGAAGACCCATTGCCCAGCCTTTGTCGCGTCTCCCTTGTTCGATTCCGTTTGTTTGTGTTTACACCATGGTAGAAGAGGCTCCCGCTATATTGCCCATTTCCAAGAAATTGCTTGCTACAATGGATTTGACTCCCTTCAAGAACTCCTTGTGCCGCGGTATCACGGCAATGGCATCGTAGTGATTGATGTCAACCAAGGAGTCATCCAGACACAAAAAGTCCGGCTGAGAGTCACATTGTCGGTATCCATAAATGTCCACCTCAACTCCTTGAATCGCATTGGGAAATTTGATGACACGTCCATTCATGGCCTTTAGGGGAGCAGCGAAAAGCAGCAAAAAGTTAGTCAACTTGGGTTGTGATTTTGAGAGTGTTGTTTGCCGCAGTGTCTCTACTTGAAGAAGTTTTGCTTCAACTCTGGGTCCAATCATACACCTTGCAGGGAGATCCATGCTACTGCACACACATACGAAGCGGAAGAGCACTGACCTTGGCCATCTTGATGAACTGACACCACCCCACAAAGTACTTGCGACGGTTCGAGTCACCACCGGCAATGCCCTTGATCAGTTCACTTCGACCTCCTGCTTGCTTGAACTTGAAGCCCTGAATGCCCTTGCCTTCTCCGGCACACCAGAAGCCAACGGCATTCATGGGGACGTAGCCATGGCTATACACAATCATCAATCTGCCACCCGAATCTGGCTCGTAAACCAAATAGCATCCCTCAGGGCCCAAGTCATCGTCCACTTGTGCAATGCTGCGAGGACTGACATTTTCTCCTCTCATCGTCGTTCTGACACTCGAAATCTGGATAAGCGGTCGTTTAGTTAATACAGAGGGTAGCAATTTGGAGATTGAATGTTGTCATCTATCGAACGTGATGCTTATTGGGATGGTTTTCTTGGCTTCCGAAGAGGCTCGAAAAAATGAAGGCTCAATCAGTCGTGTTGAGAGGGAAATTTCCGACGCCGGCCCGCTCCTTCGGCATGGAACATTCATTATCTTCATGCCTGTATATACAGTTGTACTTATGCTGACAAAGAGGACGCACACAACCCCATAGAATCCTTTTGGTGGGCCACAGGGCAACTTTGCCTTGCGCCTTGTGAACCAAGGCACCGCTCCACATTACCAGCACATGAAAATCAATGTCGACGGAATGAATTTCCGTGGCAGTTCTGATGCAGAAAGTGGCCATCTACTAGTAACAAATCCTGAAATATGTACCGGTACTTGCAAACCAGTGTCCTTGCGATACTAGTACATCCAAACGTACCGATGCTGCTCGAAATGGCCATTTGAAATGTTTGCAACATGTCCACCAAAATTGCTGGGCGACTACGGTATCAACACGGGCCAACAGATGAAGGACCCCTGAACAGGAAGGCACCGCCTCTGCTTGCACTATTCTCTGAACAGGGTTGCCCGGCAACCTAGACTGATTCTCCATCCAGGCAGAACAAATTTTCCACTTTCTAGCTACATTCCCCCAGATTCTGCTTTCAAGTTATGCACGACCCATCCGGTACATAGTTTTAAAAGATATATTCATTCGATTTGATTCGCTTGTACATTGCGGTATAGTACGAATCTCTACTACACTCCTCTGAAACCTTGAACTACCTGGGCGGGATGATGATGAGGTCAAGGATTGGTGGTTCAGAGTACAACGTGTGTGATTTTCCTCCCATGAAAGATCTTGGAACGGCACCGGAGTCTTTGGCGGATTGTGACAACTTCAGGAAGAACCTTTGCATCCCCAGCACGGTTTCTTACCACGACGAACGACTTCCAGTTGATTTCATATTTTCCAGACCCAATAGCTGCTTCCACAACCGACTTTCAGAGAAACCGTTGGTTTCCGCCGGCCCCAACTCCCAAGATTCGATTCCTTCATCATCTCACCATGTTTAAAATCTTTTCGGTTGCCTCCAGTGCTCGCTGTTTGTACTTTCCCAATGCCTGTTGGAACTCATGCCACTGTAGACCATTAGGCGTACGTTGGCCAATCACTCCAAATGACTTGTCAATGTCTCCGACATGATCGCCCCAATTGCAGTCTATACCATAATATAAAACTCATAGAATCAGGAAACAAGCATCAAACACGCATGGTCCACTGGAACAACAGAAATAAATTACAAGCTCACCATCGAAAAAGAGCATTTCTTCATAGGGAATGCCGCTCTCCTTGTGTAGCTCTCGAAAGTGGGTTGTTTTCCGGGAAGTCAACTTGCCAGTCCGCCCAATCTGATGGTACCTAAAATATCCAACACAAAAAGAGTGGCATGAGACTAAAACCTTCCAACTGCTGCTGTTCTTTTCAACCGTTGTTTTGTTTCACAGTCAACTAACTCAACTCACTGAATGACATCGCGGAGTGTCTTTCCGGGCAGCACTTCCAATCCTTGCAAGCAAGCATGAGAATAGGAAGGTTCCAAGGACGTCGATGCCACTGCGATGATGACTCCTTGATATTCTGGATTGGTCACCAATTCATACATGGCTCTTCGAGCTCCTTCGTACAGTGTCACGGTATCGCCATGCTGGTTGGACAATCCGACAACACCCTGCAGTTGTTCGTTCGGAGGTTTGTGTGGATTCAGAATACCATGGACTGGAACGGTCGGCTTGGCGTACAGCTCATGCATTTCCGGAGACCAGAGACAATCGTCCAGATCAAAGACGATCATAGATGGAAGGTGGGGATCTCTACTACAAAAGGACGCCATTGTTTACACGGTAATGTACATGGAGTCGAGTCCACAGCAGTCGAGCAAGCCTTGTGCCCTTGCTTCTTGCTTGGTGGGATCGTTGGTTCGTTGGATCTTTAGCGAGCAATGTGGAGTTCTAGACGTCGCACGTATACGTCAAGTTTATATGTTATTCGTTGCTATATAGTTAGTTATGGCAGGCTCGTTGAGATCGGGTTCTCTTCCGCGAATAATGCAGGAAATCACACCACGCTATCTCGTGCACTCTGGACTTAAATCCAATCAATCCCGTAGATGCTTCAAAAGCCAAGAACAAGCATCCATACCATGATGCTTTGCCCAGACTGAGGCACCGTTTGTTGGGTCACAATACTTGTCAGCAGTGTCATTACAGCATCACTACTTGATCTCCTCTTCTCCGTAATCTCATCTCCTCATTGATCTTCCAGCTCACTGCTCTTTCAGTCGTTTCGGCACCTGCGAGGAGGATTCTTCCTTTTCTTTGCAGCAGGTTTCTTGTCGCCGTCGTCGTCTTCAACATCACCGTTGTCTTCCACCTTCACAGCTACCTCTTCGGCCTTGGCATGCACGGAATCGAACGTTTCCTCCAACTCCAACCTGACATGGTCCATAGATGCAACATCCGCGGCATTGGCATTTGGTTCTCGGGGTTGAGTTTCGATTCTAGCAGTTTCGACGCCAGCAGTTTCGATTTCTTCGACAATAAGCTCTTCCAAAGCTTGCTCTTCGTCGTCCACACCGGTGAGGTCTTGAATGGTTCCATGCAAGTCATACTCGGAAGGTTCAGCGTCGCTACCAATACCATCAAAATGGGTAAGGCGGTACTCTTCATATGTTTCCCAATCTCCATTGCCGAGCGTAGCAACACCAAAGCAACTCATGAAACGGTGGATGAATCGCCAGTACTTCCAATTGCCACCGGACCTGTGCATGGCGGCACAGAAGCAGGTCAAGAGATCGCCGTCGGTGATCATCTTGTTGAACATGACAAAGATTACGTCTTTGTTGGTGAGAATGGGGTCACGACTGTTCGAAGTTTCGTCGCCCCACTTTGGTTCTGCACAGAAAAGAATCAACAATCAACCAAAGAAAAGAAGTGTCAGGTTTTCGCTTTAGGAATACATTGAAACATCCAGAACATCAGAAGGTATTCACCACGGTCGCAAGACAACCAATCCTTCCTTTTCATGGGAAAAGGGTATCCATCGTAGCCAGTGATATTTGGTCCTCCGAACCAAGTCTCGAAAAGGTGGTTTCTTCCGAGGCCTCCAATTTTATCCACCAACCAATCAATCTTCTCGGCCTCCACTCCTTGGCGATGACGAAGATTGAACTCGAGATTACGTTTGAGTTGGATGCAATCCCACATGGTGTTCGAAGCCTTGAAGAAGCTTCGGTTGTCAACAACGGCCCTTGCCTGTTCTTGGCGCTCTCTTTCCTCATCTTCACGCCGATCAGCGGCGCGATTCGCCATGAACACGGCATACGAACCAGCAGTAGACATCATATTTGTCAAGTTCTGTTATTTGCTTTCACAACAACGGCAAATACCAGATTATGGATGGTTTTCTGTGCAGAGTTGCTTTCATCTCGACTTCAAGCAGAATTCGGAGAGTTTCTACTGGTCGGAAACGAACCAACAAAATTTGCTTGTGTATTGACGGAAAACTTATTTCCATACGGAGCGGCCAACAATGCTGTTACTCCTTTTTTCATAATGTGTGTCTCGGGGCATTGGCTTTCGTTGTGATGGTACGTATCATTCGATTTTTTGGACCATTTCCTTGCTGGTATCCTCATTATTGCGTGATCTAGAACAAGAATACGTAAACTTTTAAAATAGAACTTTATAGTTGTGTCACTACAGTACTACAACGTATATTCGTCTAGCTCGAATTTGCTTAGAAAACCGTCATCATCGTTGTCTTGATCCATTGCAGTTGTCACATCAAATGATGCCGCAGAAATATCATCCAGGTCATCAGCTTGTACCAACTGTGTACCTTTGTTTTTGATCGTGCGATAGGCAACGGGATCGACCAACAAATCGTCCACCAATACCTCTATCAAGCTATCCCTTGTGATAATTCCATTCTTTGTGCAGTCACGCAGAACTCCAAGATAGCTAGCCGTGTCACGGAGCATTGCATAAGTCAATGACCCAAGAAAGTCTTTGTCGGAACTCAACATAAGAGGTGCCGTTCGACGTTTGGCTATTGCGGTTGAGCGTCCGGACACGTACATGTCATGTCTGGAACCCCTCACCAAGGCCTTAGCAGTCATGCCACGTGAATTGCTTTTGACTTTTCTCTTGTTTTCTAAGGTCCCATCTAGTAGGTTGTGGCTGCTTCGAAGATACGCCGCTCCTGGACAATTGTAGCCACAGTGTTTCCAGCATTCCATGCAATCTCCCACAATGTTTCCATCTTTTTTGGTCAGCTTGCAGATGAAACGAGTGGATTCAATCATCTTCTTAGCAACTTTCCAGTGTAACCCGTTTTGTTTGCTCACTGTTGCGTCGTCAATAAAAAACGCCGTATTACCATCCAAAGCCATGTCTCGATTCTTTCTACGCGTTTTCGTCAATGGCACACCAATCATTCTCCCCGTGTTAGCCAACCAATAGGTCTCCTCGTTGTTCAAACGACATTCGACTAAGTCCACTGCGTGGTCGAAAAAGGCAGTCACTGCTACCATCAGACGAGACACGTCTTTCGGATACTCAAGTGTGCACGGGTCTCTACACTTCGTTTCACAGTTCAAGAACAGCTTCGGTAGAGTCTCGATAATGTATCCTTCTGTTGAGATGTTGGATCTAACAGCAAAGTGTGCTCCTTTCTTGATTCCGTGATGCATGTTACTTTCCATTGCACAGTTGCTTGGATAGATCATTTGTTCGTTGGAGGTGGCATAGCTCCAGCAATTGAAAGGAAATGAGCAATAGGATCGATAGAAAAGATCAGCTGCTTTCAATTCGGAGCGACAGATCCAATCACACAGAACCAGGTATGTCACTGCCGTCTTTTGTTGTTCTGTTCTGCACTGGTGAATCCATTGGATCATGTGATATGCCCTGGGATAGACTGTGCAGCTTTGCAAATTCAACAGAGAACCGTCAAGTGACTTTTTCTTCTTTGTTGTTCTCTTTTGGGATGGATCGTCCTGTGACGCGAAGTTCCGGTCTTTGAATAGGCCCACGAAACTGTTATTCTGTCGAAAATGCTGTACTACGTGAAAGTAGCATAGTGTGACCCCGTTGGATGGTTGGTACAGCAACGATGGATTTGTCATTACCTCGGACAAAGTAGTGTTCTTGTTTCGATTGGTTGTATTGAAGGAAGGATAGTGATCCGTGATGCACAATTTTGAAAGTTTGCGACCTTTCTGGCTGCCAGTCATGTTCTCATGAGCTAAAGACAGTTCGCGCTCTGGACAGCTTCCATCCTCCACATGACGGTTGTGATTGGTAGGATAATTGGAAGGTTTTTTCATTGATTGACCCACAGGAGAGAGGGGTAGTCTTGAAGTTTCGTGCATTATGGGGGGACTGTGTTGAATTGCCAAATTCTGCGAGGAGGAGATGGTTTGTTGTTCGTGGTCGGAAACTCTTGTAGTGTTACGAACCCATTGTCGATCACACACCTCCGGCCACAAACGAAAGTGTCTGTGGGCAGTTACAAAGGCTGATGAATGATCTGAAGTACCATAATCAATTGTAAAAGCAGTACCAAACAGACTGAAGCAAATGTAGCGAAGATAATACAAATGCAGGAGATAGGGGTGGATAGCTTCTGACCCTTTCATGAAAGAGAACGAACGAAGAGAGGAGGTGACTTGACGTTGGTCGTCACGGTATTTCTGGGACAATCCACCACAGATAATGGTGGGGGCTAGATCTTGACTGACTCCTCCTGTCCCATCAGCACAAATTTGCTTGGTTCCATTCCGTCGGCAAGAGAATATCATGAGTTGCCACAAAGTCGTGACCGAAACTGCAAAGAAGCTTTGTTCTACTCGCTGGTGGAAGATAGAAAGAGAACGTTCGTTGTTCCCAACAATGCGACGTCTATAACGTTCATACACCTCCCCTTCCGACATATTGAAGAGAAACATGTGTCCGGATTCTGGGCCAGCAACACGTAAAGCTTCACAAATTTGATCAGCAGATGCGTAATCGCTTCGTGGAATGTAGCCTCGAGGGATTGACAAGCGGAACATACTGAGGACACGTGAAAGAGCATCGTTGTCGAGAATCCGGTCAACACCGATTGTCTGTTTTACGTAATTGCGTTTCACTTGACGAAGAAAGTTGGTCACTTGGTTTGCCAAATGGTACCTTTTGGTTGGAGAATCAACAAGATGAACGTAGATGGGGTGTTCTTTGAATGTCTTGTCAACAACAAACTTTGTAATCTCGTTTGGTGCTACCTCCAAAGCACTACGTCGTGATCTTTCCCATTGCTCTCGAAGATAAGATTCGGCAAGTTGCTTTGCAATAGGTGGTAGACCGAATTGATCGGTGTGATGTGGTGGTGCTTTCATCACGTGATGATTGTGCATACTGGCATGGGAGATATAGATTAGATATACACTGTCTTCTCCTCCATATTTCATGGCACGTATCTGTGCTTTCCACAGACAACTATCAACACTACACTTGTAGCGATGCGCTCGTGTCCTTTTGTCTGGATCAATTTTCTTCCCACCCAACCAGCAAGGACCACCAGATAGAATAACTTTGTAAGGACCAAAATACCCACCATGCTTCGCTTCAAGCAGCGTATACGCTTCATTGAATGTTGCGCAAATGCGGGTTGTGGGATCAGCATAATAGCTCTGTGAATTTCCTGGTAGAGTAGCTCTGGTCGGATGCATGGCAGGAAGGGTATCGAGATGAGAAAGGTTGGATGCCACTGTGAAACGCCTGTAATGAGAGTCGGCCATGGCCAAAGGGTAATTACTACCAACAGTGAAGCCATGGCATACAACTGCATGCTCAAAGAGCCCTGTATATTCCAACTATTGGGAGTCCACGGGGAGTTTTCTATAGCTTTACTCCGTGGCGGTGACATGGGTGAACGAGCAAATTTTCGAAAACTTGCATCTGTTCCAGAACATTCTCAAACAGGGAGTCGCAAACTGGCCTATCGAAGCCAGTTTCGGACCCTTGCCAACTCTCCAGAGCAAGGCTGCTCATGCGTAAAGACAAGCAATATTTGGTGCCATTCGAACATCCATGGGTTCAAAAAGACGGCGCGAGAGAGTGAGGAGGTCCTCTTCCCATCCAAAGTCAGCGCGAAACAACCATTTTGAATCGATCCAAGGTGCCTATTGTGCCAATCCAGTACCAGAATGTACCCAAATTGAACGCGGGAATACGCAAGATAGCTCTTCATTGCTTCATCCAACCAAGAATACACCAATTGACATGGAATGCAAGATGATGAAAACAAGACAAGGGGTGCGTCTACTGTGATGAGACAAGTGCATTGCTGACATGAGTTGAAACCCAACAAGACTTCCAAGATCAGATGACTGTCCAAGGATGCCATGAGGCAGTGTACGATGGAGTGAAAGAACTTTCCTGGCAGTTGCATCACAACTACAAGGCACTTGATACACGAGCAATCACTCCAGACATTCACTTCACGAAACAGTGGTAAGTTGTATTCGGGACTAATGAATCACGATTCTTTGCGCGCCCTCACAGCCTTCTCTTTTTTTGGAAGCGAACAGGAAGGCAAGCCAGCCTGCATGTGGGAAGCTACAAGTTCACCAGGTTCAGCAAAAAGCAAAAAGACCTTCGACGACCATTGACCCGTTTCGAGACCTTCCAACAGTTGTAGTGTAAGATACTAGTAGCGGACTTTAGAATAGAAAGCCTAGCAAAGAAGTTTATCTGTGGTATTTGATTAGCAGCCATGACGACGGCAGAAGAACGCAAACGCAAGCGGCTGGAAGCATGGAGGCGAAAACAAGAGTTGGCCAAGGCTCCAGCGCCCAAGGTCTCTGTGTCCCTCTCGTTGGGTGGTCTCAAGACCAACAAGAAGAAGAAAAAGTCACCTTCAGAACCCAAGAAGAAGAAGAAGAAGAGCAACGCCTTTTTCGGGGACGACGATGATGGCAGCGACAAGGAGGAGGAGACTACCCAGACGCGCCGAAACAAACCGAAATTGTTGACTCTGGAGACGATTCAGGACGCCTCTTCCGCCGAACCGCCCAAGAAACGCAGTCGGGGTCGTTGGGACAAGGCACCGACGCCTCAAAAGTCGCAAGGAGACGATGCCCTGGACAAATTCATGTCAAATTTGGGAAATGTCGCCTCCCAAGAAGAAGAGGGTGTTTTGAATCTGGACGGCATGTCACGCAAGACGACAAAGCAGCCAAAGGCACCCGTGTCGGGAGGTGTCATTACGCCTGAAGAATTGCAGCGGTTGACTCAAACTAGTAATAGCAAACGAAAGGATGACATGGAAATTGACAACAACAACAACAACGATTCTGCCAACAAGAACAACAACCAAGAAACCGACGACGAAGAAGAGGAAAAGGCACGACGCGCCTTTATCGAGGCTCTCAAATCCACACCGGCTTTTGTAGGAGAAGAACAAGACGACAATAGCAACAATGAAGCAAGTAAAAAGCCCGAATTGGCAGCCGAAGTCAAGAGCGAAAAACAACGCCGCGAACAACGCATGAAGGAATTAGAACAAGAGGCCGAGAATGCCCGTTTTGGAGCTCAAGCCGCGGCAGCTCCCGAACTGGGACGTCTCTACAACGATGTGGAAGGAGGAGTCATGGAAGAAGCGGAACGCAATTTGGATGCCGCCATGGCAGCACCCGATGCCCTTACGGTCTTGGCCGAACTCAACAAGAAGAAAGAACTCAAAGCCGTCGATCACTCGGAAATTGAATACATTGATTTCCAAAAGAATTTATTCGTCGTGCCCCGGGCGTTGGCGTCATTGACCAATGACGAAGTCATTTCCATACGAGCCAAACTCAAGGTTCGGGTGCGAGGGCATGGCGCTCCGCCACCCGTGTCGACGTTTGAGCAGTGTGGTGTCAGTGAAAAGATTCTGCAAATCCTATACAAGCAAAACATTCGCAAACCATTTCCAGTGCAAGCACAGTGTATCCCCTGCATTATGAGCGGAAGGGATGTGATTGGAATGTAAGTTCGTTGTTGTGTTCCTGAACGTTGTGATGGTTGGGCAGTCTCTTACATAATATTGCGTTGCTCTGTTTGCGTTTTATTTCTTCACAGTGCCAAGACGGGGTCGGGAAAGACTCTGGCCTACCTCTTGCCCATGCTTCGGCACATTATGGTGCAGCCTCCCTTGGCACCTCACGAATCGGGACCCATTGGTCTCATTTTAGCACCGGCTCGAGAATTGGCTTATCAGATTCATTTGGTTTGCAAGGCATATTGCAAGAACCTTGGACTCAAGTAAGTAACCTTCTTTCAATTAATTCGTACAGAAAGCTGCAGCAGTCTGCCTGCATGCTAACAAAGACAGTCGTTGCTCCTTTTCGAAGCAATCAACCATTGCTTCGGCTTTGCTTCTCGCGATTGATTGTTTTGTGCACGATGATGGCAAGCAGCCTTTCGTGTGGGCAGTCTGTTGGCTGCATGTTTTGTGCTTTTCCGTGTATTTGGCTGAATTCTCACCTTGTGTTGCTTGATCACTGCTACTTCTCTATATTATTCTATCGACCAGGTCGACCGCTGTCTATGGTGGTGCTTCGGTTGCTGAGCAGATCGCAGACCTAAAACGAGGCGCTCACATTGTGGTCGCCACCCCGGTACGTAAACGAGATCAGCAGCGCCATGTTTTGTTTTGTTTTCTGCGATGACCACTTTCTGACATGACAGTAATTAATCCTTGCTCTCCAGGGACGAATTATTGACGTGCTTACGATGCAGGGAGGGAAACTCTTGTCGTTGGAACGTGTGACATCCGTTTGTTTGGACGAGTCTGATAGAATGTTCGATATGGGGTTTGCCCCTCAAATTCAGGCCATTATGGGTGCCGTACGACCTGACCGTCAGACGGTGCTGTTCAGTGCGACCTTTCCAAAAGCTGTTGAGGCACTTGCGCGAAAGGCGCTCAAGTACCCAGTGGAAGTGATGGTGGGTGGACGATCGGTGGCATCCGACAATGTGACGCAATATGCAGAGCTCGTGGAGGAGGAAGACAAATTCCTCCGGTTACTACAGATTCTAGGAGAACACGTCGAAGGGACCAAGAAAGCCATTGTCTTTTTGGATACACAAGTGCGCACCGACTCACTATTCGAACAGCTCCTGCGCAGTGGATACACGACACAGCCGCTTCACGGAGGCATGGAGCAGGAAGATCGAGACTCTGCCATTTCTGACTTTAAGCGCAAGGATGGGCCCAATGTATTGGTGGCAACGGGTGTGGCAGGTCGTGGATTGGATGTTCCATCGTGTACGTGTGTCGTCAATTATTCTGCCCCCAATCACTTGGAAGCCTACGTCCATCAAGTTGGAAGGACAGGTCGGGCTGGTAACCGGGGCGTGGCGTTTACGTTTGTCAATAGCACGAACGAGGAGAAGTTTGCCCCCAGTGTAGTTCGTGCGCTGAGTGAAGCGGGTCAAGCGGAGAATATCAAACCAGAGCTCAAGAAAATGTCGGAGGAATTCAAGGCCAAGGTCGAAAAGGGCGAAGCAAAGTTTGCCGGTTCTGGTTTCAAAGGAAAGGGCTACAGCTACGACAAGTCCGAGTTGAGCGAGCATCAAAAGATGCAACAAATGGAGAAGCGCCAAGCTCTCATTGAAGCCGGTTTGCTCGACCCTGACGACGAAGAACACATGCTGGAAGAAGCCAAGTCGAATAACAACAACAAGAATAATGCTGCGGATGGTGACGATCCTTCTCCTGCCAAGAAATCGAGCATCAGTGCCGCCGACAAGGCTGCCGGAGAAGCCGACAAGGTTCTAGCTCAGTTTGGTACGGGCGAGAATCAGCCCAAGCTCACTCCCGAGTTGTTGGCATTGCCGGGCATGAAGGATGCCATTCTGCGCAAGGCTGGAATCATCAAAGAACCGGATGATACGAACAGCAGTGGCAAGCCGGACTCGTCGGGCGGCCGTGCCGTGCAGATGGGCACCAATCATTTTGTGCAAGAATTTGAAATCAATGATTATCCTCGCGAAGCTCGTTGGAAGGTGACGCAACGAGAGACGACGAGTCGCCTGCAAGATGAATTCCAGACAGCCGTGACCCTCAAGGGCCAGTACTTTGATTCGAGCAAGACTCCTGGAGCAGGAGAACGCAAGCTGTATTTGCACCTGGAAGCGACGAGCGAGCGCATTTTGGCGAATTGCGTGTTGGAGATTCAGCGTTTGTTGAACGAGGAGACGTTGCGTGTGGGCACTCGTGGTATGAGCGGCGGAGGGAGCAGTCACAAGTACAATGTTCTATAGATATTAGACAATGCGACCATTTTGGTTTTAGTGGAAAGAGAGTCCCCCGTTTTGTATGTTTACTTCTTGTAGCTCTACTTGTGGCTCGGTCCTATACCGGTACTCTGTCCCCACATGTAGACAGCGATGCCCTCCCGCATTCTTGTTTCTAGATGGATGGACTTGTGGGCAAGATGGCTTTCAGAGACTTGCACCGTCACTCTTCAAAGGGACTAGTCAGTAGAGTGCATACTAAGTTTGGGCATATGAAGCAGCTTACAATTTTTATGGCTGGTGTATGCTAGATAGAATGGAATCATTCCAACTTGACCAGTGTTTCTCGCAACCGTTCCTCCCCGTACCAGTCCAAGTTCCCTCCCACAATCAAGTCTTGAACAACCCCCCTGAGCAGCACTGTTTCGGAAGCTAGACGCCCTTTGTCTTGCTTTTTATTGTTGGCAAAAATGGATGACAATGGATCATAGTTTGACTCCATCTGGTAGGGCTGCAATGCTTGCCATGTTTCTTGAGCGAGTTGTTGGAGTCGTTCTCCTTCGTGCATGGCGACTCGTAATTCTTCCCGCGTGGCATCCAATTGTCGTGATGTTTTCAAATTGCGCGACACCAATACATTGCGGCATTGGACGGTTTCATGCACGAGAATCATTTGATCGTGGTAGTTATCGTCATCGGAGGTACTACTGCTTGGTTGTTGCTGTTGTTGTTGTTGATAAACCCAAGCCACTTCTTGTGCCGGTTTGGCCATGGCCATGCGTAGGAGTAGCATTTTGTTCTTTTTCTGACGAGCGGCTTCTTCCAGCACTTGGGACTGTAGCAACCGATGCTCTCTCAAAAAAGCTGGTTTGTTGTTCTGGTTGGAATCGATGTTTCCTGTAATAGCAGTGGTACTGTCACTGTTAGTGTCGTTGCTACTCTTGTCATGATGATGTTGCTGTTTCCTCTTTTGAATTCTTCCAATGGCAGCTCGACAATCTCGAATCTGTCGCTCGAGATCTTTGGCCACGGCTTCTTCGTCTAGAATGCTGTGAGCATAGTCAGCTGCTGTCATTGTCGTACATGTACTACTGGAAGTGGCATGGCAGTGACGTCGTATCGAGTCGCATGATTGTAGGAGATTGTCCAATGTGGGAGGATCAGCATGGTCGTTGTTGTCTTCTTCGTCATTCATCATGACACAGTCGTCTCCTCGTTCTTGTCGTTTTTGAGGTTGAGCTTTGAGGTGTGAGGCAGGAAGAGGGAGCTTTGAGATGCGGATCTTTGATCATCAGCTTCACCGGCTTTCTAAGGTTTCGCGGCAATGACAAAAATAGAGCACACATCACACAAAATCAAGGAGAAAGCGACAACATCCAAACACTACTAGATCTAACGCTACAATACTAGTACGGTACCACCATGTCCGATCCCTCTCAACCAGGACAAGCTCCTCCTCCCAACCCAGTTCTGACGGCGTACGAGAATTTCGTGCGCGATACTCCCTTGGTGACCCGCTATGTCCTGACTTGTCTGACGGCCACATTTGTATTGGATATTTTCATTGACAGTTTCGGGTGGTCCCTGTCCAATATCCCCTACTTTGCCATTGGTCGACTAGAACTCTACCGCATCCTTGTGGCTCCACTAGTCTGCAACAATCTGTTTTCTCTGGTATTCGCCTACTTTTCCTTTATCGATCATGGCAAACGATTGGAATGCTCCATGGGATCGGCACAATTCGCATGGCTCTTTGCCAGTTTGGGCATTGGGATTAATACCACGCACGTGATTCTCACCTACAGCCTCCAATTCCTCACGGGAGATCATACATGGATCCATATCAAGGCCAGTGGCATATGGACGGTACTATTTCCCCTCATTGCCATTGAATGTGTGGCAGCACCACCTCATTCCATGCGAAAACTATTCTTTTGGCAAGTACCGACACTCTACTATCCACTCATTCTGTTGGCATTCTTTACCCTTTTGGGAGGATATTCCGTTTCCAATTTGGTCGCCGTTGCCACGGGATATGCCTACGGATACGGATACCTCGACAAGACCAAGGTGTCCACGGCACAAACCAAACAATGGGAAGAAACTACCATTCTCGCTAATTTTGCTCGACGAGATGGATGGGTTGGAGGGAATGCGGCCACTGGACAAGCTGCATGGGTGGAAATGGCAACGTCTGGTGGTGGAACAACAATGGCACAACAACAGCAGGTGAGTGTTTTTTTCCAAACTTATTTCTTTGCGTGCTTGATAATTGTTTTTTGATAAATTGTATCTCACTCACCCTGCAATATATAATGACGGATTTATAATATGAATTCAGCCCTTTTTACCGAGCGGGGGTGATGCAGCAACATCGGCAACAACAAACACGGCAGAATCCTTTCCTTCCGGAGGTGGAAGACAGTTGGGAGGACCCACGCGACGAGGAGCGGGAAATACCGATGCCAGAGCGGCAAGGCTCAAAGTGCTCGAAGCCAACAATAGTGGTGGCCCCACGGAGAATGCAGACGACAATGTATAGCGGCATCTTTTCTATTTTTAAAAAACAAGGTGATAGACTCTATTATAAAAATAAAAAACCAAAACTATTCACAGCTTTACACCCAAAGACTGTTCCCACCGTATGTGTAGTATCCAATCCAATGGGAAGAATGACTGTGCAGCGGAGGAATAGAAGACTACATTGAAGTTGGCAGGAGTTTTGCAATACCACGCTACTAGTAGTCGTCACTGTCCAAGGCAGCCGCTTCCACCAAGTCTCGGAACATGCCACCACGGCTCAGCAGAGTCTTGGGCGCACCGAATTCCGATGCTCGACCATCGTCCATGACGAGAATGTAGTCGCTGTCCATGATAGTGTTCAAACGATGCGCCACAGTGATGGTCGTGGCAGAGCCAAACTCGGTACGCAAGACCTTCTGGATAAAGGCATCGGTATCGGCATCCACAGCGGCTGTCGCTTCGTCGAGAATGACAATAGACGCTCCACAGAGCAGTGCTCGCGCAATGACCAGCAACTGACGTTGACCCACACTAAAGTTGATACCGCCCTCAGATACCAGATCCTCGAGACTCTCAAGGTGACCCAACGATTGGGACGAAATGCTATTGCTGCCCGAGCCGGTGACATCCTTCTGCTTGAGGAGCCCCACACGTGTCAGCACACCTTCCAAGAGGTTGTCTTCGTACTGTTCAAAGGGATCCAAATTGGTGCGAACAGTGCCGCTGAATAAGACAGGATCCTGCGGGATCACTGCAATCTTCTTACGAAGCATAGCCAACCCCAGGTTGCGTATGTTGAGGCCGTCAATGACAATCTCTCCTTCGTCAAGTTCGACAATACGAAGAAGAGAAGTCATGAGTGTGGATTTGCCGGCACCTGCAAGGGGGTGAACAACAGTGAGCAATGTGAGTCGAAGCAATCACAAGCCAACCTCGCTGCCTCTCCACTAGCATTACCTGTTCTTCCAACGACGCCAACCTTGCTGGAGGCTGGGATATGAATATCCAACCCCTTCAAGACTAATGGTAGATTCGGGCGATAACGGAGCTTGGCTCCCACAAAGTTGATTTCTCCTCCCGACGGCCAGGACTGGGCTTCTGCTGTCTTGTCGTCGTCAGTGTGGCGATCCGCTTCGCTTGGAATGTTGCAGTACTCGTTCACACGCTCGACTGCAACCATGTTGGCTTCAAAATCCGATGCCATGCGAACGCTCCAGTTCAAAGCGCCCGTGATGCTCAAAGCATAGGATATGCTCAATCCATACAAACCAGCGAGTACTTCATCGCCATCGATGTAGTCGTGTTCAAGGACAGAACAGAGGCAGGCGAAAGCAATGATGGCGGTCCCAATCATCTCCAGACGCACAGAGAGCCAACACAGCGACGACTGTGTCAAGTAGTAAGCGTGTTGCTGAAGATCGAGCGACGACATCAAGCGATGAGTCAAGGCATCGTGCGCCGCGAAAGCCCGAATAGTGGCGACACCGTCGATCGTTTCGCCAAGCAAGGCATAGAGTGGACTTCTGTTGATCGAGTCAAGGCGCTTGAGCTCACGATACGTGACCTGATCATTGCAGCGACACACAGAGACAGTGACAAGTTAGAAAGCAAATCCGTACTCTGATGTACCGAACCCACGCTCACTTGCCGTGAAGAACTTTTGTTGCATAACGTAGAACGCAAGGATAGGGACCAAGGCGAAAGTAAAGACTGGCGTAACCCCCGAGATGACGGTAATCGTACTGATGACGGACATGACGGTCCACAAGTAGGAACGCAGCGTCATCACTACCTCTTCATCGACGGTACTGCTCACAACAAGACAAGAGCACAAATTTTAGACGTATCTGGCTTGATTGAATTCACACCTGAAAGGATCTCCAGAAACTTACTACATGTCTGTGCACCAATACCGGTAGGAAAAAGCACAAAGCCTGTCAGTTTGGGAGTCCCACATGAAGTGAATTTGATTCTGCAACTGCTGTCTCACCTTTACTGAAGCGGTTGATGATTCGCCCTATCGGAGTAGTGTCATAGAACGACATCGCTAGAAGACAGGAAAGACGTCAAGGTTAGCTCGCTGTCGGTTACGTTTTGACCATGTGTCATCATACTCCATCATCATTATACGTACGAGCTTGAAGGACGACGTCAAGCATCTTATGATAAAGCTTTCGGCAAGCTTTCAATGCAAAGAAAACCATGATGAGGAAAGAAAAGAAGGAGGATAGGACGGAAGCCAGATTGCCTAGCGCGTAGATTCCAAGGAACCAATACTGCGATGTAGAATCTCCGTGAGATGACCAGTACGTGAGCCACCACTTCAAAAAGACGTTGACAAACTCGGTAGCGGCAAAGATCCCTGTGATGAGGAACGGGACGAACACCCCACCGGCGGATCTAGCGTAGTTCAAGTAGACTTCCAGCTTCACGTGCCCGACGCTCCGAACCTCCTCTGTCATCAGAACGTTGGGCTTGACTTTCTCTGAGTTCGTGTTTGCTTTGATGGACGATCGTCGCCGCGTGGCAGAAAGCCTTTCCTTCACTGCTTCCACAATGTCTAGCGAACTTTCTCCTGCCTCCACGGTAACGCCAGCTTCATCAAGGTCGCCTGGGCCAATTCCTGTTTCCTTCACAACGGCAACAAACTTTGAAAACAGAGAGTCCTTCCTGCTGGTGAGCTCTTGGTATGTGCCTTGCTCGGCAATACGGCCATCATTCAGAACGATGACCCGGGAAACTTTCTCGTGATTCAAGTACTACGGAGAAGAGCAAGGTGTCAGGATGGTGGACTGGGTGCAGAGGTCCAACTGGCGCAATATTCATACTGTACCTGGATTGCATTAGTGACTAGAATGACGCTCCGATCTTGATTGCCAAGCAGTTCTTCTACAATGCATTTGTCGAACAAGTGTTTGGCAACATGCGCATCAACTACCAGGGAGATGCAGGATAAGGTATGTGAGCTACCATCACGATTTCGTTATGAATTGCATGACTCGCAATATCCAGGACTTACCTGCCGAAAGCGCATCGTCCACCAGGCTGATATCGGCCTTATGATAAACAGCCCGAGCTAGGGCCACGCGAGCCTTTAGGCGGAGACAAACCAATGGCCCAGTCAGCCTCTACATCCGAGTTTGCAAATCTTTACCGCCTTCCACGTACGTACCTTTTGGCCACCGGAAAGAGTCACTCCCTGCGAGTTGCGGATGAAGCAGGAGTGAGATTAGTGGGAGATCAACGCAACAACAGAGCGTTTTCTTCTTGTGTTACCTTCTCTCCGATCTCTGTGTTGTCGCCTGCCGGAAGCATTGCTAGATCATGCTTCAATGCGCACACCTCAATGGCCTTGTTATACAAATCAGCATCGAACGCTTCTCCAACGTGTCCAAAGAGGATGTTGTCCTTGACGGTGGCATTCAGGATGAAAGGACTCTGGGCAAAGAAGGACAGCTTACCAGCCACGGATGTTTCTCCTGTCAATTGCCGTACTTCACCCAGAATGGAGTTGAGAAACGAGGACCTTGACGGCAAACGAAATCTGTTCAGCAGCGGAAACGAAGACCAACCAGACCGCTTTGGACGAAATTCAAAACTCACTTTCCCCCACCCACCGTTCCGACGATGGCAATCAATTCCCCCCTTCGGCATTCAAAGTTGATCCTCTTCAAACATAGTAGATTGGCACCGTCCAGTTCCTTTTCAGCATCATAGGTTCCCGGTTTAGATTCCGCCCTTGTTGTCGTCTCGTGGCCCCCCGTATCCACAATCGAGGCGCTTCTGGAAAGATCCTTGATTTCTCTTTCGGCAGCCTCCAGACGCGCTTTGAGGAGCTGCACTTCCCAGTCTTTATCAGCCAACTCTTTGGCAGCCGGATTGACTTTGAGCATTTTGTCGTCAATTTTTGGTTTCTTGCTGTCGTAAGCTGCAGACAAATTGACCATCTTGACACCCACGGCGTCTTTGTCTTCCAATATCAATTCACCCGGCCCGATGGAGCGCTGTTCTTCACAAAGTAGAAACGATTGAACACGTTGGATACTAACCATGGCTTCTGCAATGGAGTTGATTACGTTTGGAAGCATAAAAATGGGGAACCTCATGATATCAAACAGTGCAAGAGACGTCAATGCCGATGCTACTTCCAGATCATGTCCTGTAAGTACATAGGTTCCAAATGTGGAAAGAGCAACAGCAAGAGGGGTCCCATTCCAGATCATTGCCGTGGCAGAGCTGTAGATCCAGTACCGAAGTAGCTGCTTCAGTTCATTGACCCGGCTCTTCATGATCCTCTCAAAGAAAGGCTCTTCCCAAGCTTGGATCTTGACTGTCTTCATGGAAGATAATACTTCCGAGTTGATATTGACTCTCTCGTCGCGAGCCTTCATGAGAGCCTTTTGAAGTCTGGCAATCCCTTGGGCGACATTTTTGGTAATGGGCATGACAACAATCATGACAGCAATTCCTGCCAAACAACTGGAACCCAGCTGACCCCACAAGAAGTACAGTGACAGAACAATTTGAAAGACACTGTACCAGACGCCATGGAGGTAGGTTGTTATGTCTGATTGCATGGAACAAGCAATGGGGTAGAATTGCAATGAGTAGATTGGAAAAAGGAGAAAGAGAGTAGATTAGTAAGAACAAAAGAGAGGATACGGGTGCGTCATGGTCATGGTGTCAGAATGATTCAATTGTTGAATGGATACCGCCAAGGTCTAATACGCTCAAAATAAACCCCAGACAACGATAAAACTTCTTGTCGTGCAATTCACTCACCTTGCAAACGTTTGGCATCGATCGACATGAGATTTGTGATTTCCCCAACTGTCCGGGTTTGTCGTTCTCCCGATGACAAAACCAATGCTTTTTTATACACTGCCGCCACCACAGCTGTTCGAACTCTAAGACCTGTTTTGTAGCATTTGAAGAAATAGTGACGAACGGCCAAAGACATGGATAATTGCGAGAGTGCAACCAATGCCGTCAAGGTCAATCCGCGGCTTCTGGGAGCATTGGCGTCGCGTAGGTAGTTAATCATGGCGTGAAGGACGGCAGGACCGACAAACGACAAGCAATCATGTGTCAATTTGAGGAATCCAGCCCTCACAAAGTCGGCTCCGTAGGATCGATACAACGCGCGTACTAACGAGGGATTCTTCTCCTTGAGTTCGGCTGCCCAATGCTCTTCAAAAATATCCGTGACAGGGCCCGTGGAGCAGTCTTGGGGGAGAGGTATCATGTTCAGGTCGGATGGATCCAGTTGTTTTTTGCTGTGGCCGTACTCCAACAGTGGGGTTAACCAACCAAAAATCAGCCAGCTGGAGAAGATACCGCGAGACACCACCGGCATGTCATTGTCCCCTTCCGACTTGATGGAGGTAGAAACCAAGGGAGTGGTCTCGTCATTGTTGGTAGGATCCAAGGCGCCATTGCTCTTGGTGCTCTCCTCTTGGGAGATACTGCCGTAAGCGGCCGTCATGTGTACGGTAGACAAGAAGATAACTCTCCGATGAAGATGTTATGGGAGCAACTCAGCAACAGCCAACACCTTGATGATACTACTTTACTCAATCCAGCTCTGGAAATCAGGTCTGGATGATGGTTGAGATCTGTGCTCCCTTGCAAAAAATTGCAACAGACGTGGAGGGTGCTCTTCGTTGATGCCGTGATGCCAAGAATTCCGCGATCGTGTCAGAAGATTTTAGTCGCGGATTCTTAAATCTTATGATGCTTGACACAAATTGCCTACTGGCTGGCTACCGGTACCAGTAACGGTACGGCACCCGGACCATACTAGTACCAGTACATGTACACAACTTTTCAACTACTAGCTCTAGCTAGTACCACTCCTCTATTTTTTTAAAATAGCTATGATAGTAGCTCTAGCTAGCTAGAGAGTCTACTTTGGCGCTTTGGAGTAGCTAGCTATTAGCCTGAATACAGAGCCACCCGAAGTAAACCATAAGCTTATTATTGTTGCAACCGAGCAGTAACAACTACCGTACTTCCACAGCAGCACAACCAACCAAGTAAAATAACTTGCATAACACCCAACAGATTGCTACCTCTGGTTCAACCAACCAAACTACGTTTTTATCAATCAATCATGTCTACTGTTTGTCCAAATTCGACCAAGCCCATTGCGAAGAAGCAGAAACTGTCCCCTCCTGCCATTGGCTCGTTTATGGAACGAAGACTTGTTTGGGTGTGGGCAAGCTCTTCCCTTTCGAGATGGTACCGGTGACTGCGAGGACGGGTTCCAGCAATGGCAGCTGCAGCGTGCAGGCAGGAAATGACGGACACAGCCGCACGAAAGACACTCCATGCACATAGCTCTAGGGCAGGTGAAAAGTGTGCTGCGGGCCAAAGGTTCAGAAATGATGGGCCATTTCTTGTGCCAGCTAGCAACGGTAGTGTCCGGCTCTTTCCGGTACGGGACGTAGCTAGCTAGAGGTTGATTGAATCATTCCAATGCCTGGATCTCTTGTAAGCAAGCGCATGTATTGTTTCCTTTTCTCAATTCCAAAAGTTTTTACTTGTACTGGCACAGGTATCTATCTAATTGGGTGGCAGCCAAGCTAAAGATGACACTCAACAAAAAAACACAAACTCACACATGCCCAGCTCATAGTGCCTACTAGCTCTCAGTAGGGTTCGACGGCTCGCCAGTTTCCTTGTCGTACTTCTTGCGAATAAAGTTCTGGACAAGGCCACACTGAAGATACTTCTTTCGAGTGTCTATAGGTAGAGTCCTAAAGTCCGCAGCGTATCCACGGCAGTTGGCGGCTCCACACATGCATTCCATCTGCCAAACTTCTGGTTCATCCATGGTCGTGGAATAGTCAAAGCAGATCTCTTCGTCCTTTTGGATATCCTGGGCAGCAATCAGAACCGTATCATCAATAATTCCAGCATTGGGCTCACATGAATGATTGATCAGTCGACTAGGTTCCTGAAGATACACGTAAAAGTCGTCCCCAATTTGTAGTTCGTTTCCCATTTCGCGCCCGTAGTTGGCCAGGTCTCTCTTGGTGGCTTCTTCTTCGTTGACCAATGGTCCACAGAAGGTAAGGATGTAACTACCCTTGGGAATGAACTGACTAGCATATAGAGCCTTGCCAACACCCTCGACAGGGTGCATACCGACATGGAACACGCGTTTGTCAAACGGCATGTCGGGCTTCCAATTGGTGGTGATGCCCTTGCTGAGAGATTTCACAAGCATTAATGGTACGGAAAGCAATTCATCGGGGCATTCTACCTTTGTTTCCCCATCCTCGTAGACAGGGTCGAACCGACTAACCTTCATCATCTTGATTCTTCGTGGATTGATTGGGACTTTTGAAACGAAAATGATGTGCCAAAAGCTAAAAATGTGAGAGCTTCGTTCGAAAATCATCGGGAGCCAAAAAACCGCCCAACGCTCGAAGGTTCTCATTCAACACGACTGTGCAAAGGACAGAAAAATGGTCACACCGGCTTCGCGATTCGATTCTCGATTCATTCGATTCAATTGATTTATTTTAATTTTAAAAAATAGAATCCTCGATTCATCGTCTCCAGGTTGTTTCTGTACCACCAAAGCTCAACTCAGATGTTGACGAAGCTACCAAAAGTTCTTTGTTATCGACAGAACGAATGATGAATAGGCTGCGTCATTGCAGCGTGTTGCTTTAGGGAACCAAACAGGTGGCAGAGGTGCTGCTACTACAGCCGCAACGGTGCTGCAAATGTTTGGTTGCGGGAGTCAAAAAGTGAGCCACATCTCTTCCACCTTTTTGCGGGGAGACAGACACCACGCAGCGCTCGGACGGGAGTGTGGACAGAGGAAGCAGTTGCACCGGTATGCAACATCATGAAAGACCTGGATCTGGTTTCCGACTTGGTATCTACCGTATTGTGGAGATGAACTGACTTAACAGCCTTCGATAGCTAGTTTTGAAGAAGCTGACTACCTGGGTGCTGGTAGCAAGTCCACTTGACACGCTCAGAATACCTCAAAAAATGAATCTCTGAAAGCAATAGGGGACAGGTCCAATAAATTATTTTTGCCCAGCAGGACATCTATGAAACCTGGAAGATCCAAAAGCTGGAGCTGGAATCAACGAGTTCCAGTAGTCTAATTAGTCTAGGGTTCCAGGTTCGTTCCAGCAGAACTGGCCTCTAAGCAAGAAGCAAGGGACCTTCGAAGCAAAACTCATGAGACACAAAAGTTACTCCAGCCGGGAGTTGAACCCGGGACCTCCGCCGTGTGAAGGCGGCGTCATAACCAACTAGACCACCAGAGCTGATGATTGAATTTGACTGCTACTAATTGGCTTTTTGGTAGAGCCATGTACTTCTTCAAACTAGCACTTTCTATGGTCATCATTCTCTACAGGTAGCTACTGGTAGTTGTCATCCAGTGCACCACAACCCTGAATCGTATGACAACCCCAGGGTAGCCAGAGACAATTTGATCTATCGGTACGGGTACGGTAGAATAGGAAAAGTGGACGCACATCCAATCCCACTAAGTATGTTACAGTCGACTATATTCAGGTGCACCATTAGGGTAGCCGGCCGTCGTTGACCGTGCCATCAGCATCGCGAGGTACTAACCGGTACATAACTAAAACCGACGCGGGTCTAGTCCTCTTTGACCGAGGCATCGATGATTGCATTCTCGAGAGAATCCTTTAGTTCTTCGCTCGGCAGGAGAAGAGTGATTCTTTGCTGCTCTTTCAATCCCCTTCCAAAGATGCCAACAACGAGAGGCACATCCTTTGGATTGATTTCCCTCATCTCCAGCGGGGACAGCCCTGATAGCCCCGCGTGGCCAGCAAGGAAGATCCGTCCTGACGGTGTTGCACCATTGTCGAAGTCTGTGACCGTTTTCCACCAAAGAAACCGCCGGCCTTGGACAACAGCGAAGATCGTGTCCCAGGTAGGATCAGCCGTTCCCTTCTTGGTCTTCTTCTTGGTGCTGGTATCAACCCTTATCTTTAGGGTAGCATGCCATTGCGCGCGCCACAGCCGCTGCAGTCTAGCAAGGCGCTTTTCGGACGAGTAACGCTCTCGCGTCTTTGCGCCAATACGTCGCCCTTCCCAAAAATATGCCTTTCGAAGCTCTTCATCGGTAGGGAGCCCGAGAAACGCATTCTTCAGCCAGAGGACAACAGGGGCGTCTGCGTCTTCATCGTCCAGGCCAGAAGCCTCGCTGGCATCGTCATTTATGTCTGCGTCCTCGGTCACGAAGATCTTTTCAAGTCTGGTCTTTGCTGTGATTCCAAACTGCGCCTGAAATCCATGAACACAGGGATGTGAGAGACTTGCGAAGAGTCTTCATAGCATTGGACACTAAAGAACGTACCAATCCTGCAACCAGGACTACAACTCTTGTAGGCACCAGAGAGAGTATCAACCACAAGATGGTTACCAGTGATAGAACCACCGTGGATTTGAAAGGGTCCTTTACACAGAAAGCACGGAGAAATTAGTAAAGCCAAGATGTCAATTGGATCATGAACGAATAGACCTCGGCTTACCGTAAAGTTCAAAAGGTTACGCACAGCCTCGATTGTATTGACCACTTTTCCCAAGAAATTCTGGATAAGTTGCAACGTCCCCGCGAAACCACTCACGGTCTTGAAAGCGCCAGTGGTTCCAACCACCAACTTCTTGAGCTTGTCTTTGTCCCTGTTTGTCACTTCCCACCTTAGTAGTTCTTCCTGAATGACCATGGAAGCTTCATGTTCAGTTTCAATGCTGCTCGTGCTATCGTCCGGAGGCGACCATTTCAATGACAAAAAGACCTTTGGCACGTTAGTGCCCTCGGCTAACGATGCTTCGGACAATCCAGAAACAACTGGTTTATCTGTTTCTATGTAACCTGGTGGCCCGTTGACGTGACTCTCGTCGGCACCAGAAAACATCTTCGTGCCAACATCAAGCACATCATACCATCCCGACATCTCGCGTCGTTCAACCAACGTCGAAAGAGGAATCACAACCTCCCCAAATATTTGATCTGAGCCAGGGAGAAGATTGAGAATGTCAGTGAAGCGGATTTGAAACACAACACCTCCAGTTGATGCCGCCCACGGTTCCAAGGTTGCGCTGTGGAAGTCGCCATCGTCGTCGTCGTCAACCTTGAACGGTTGCAGGATCGGAAACTCGCAACTCTCGGCTTGGCTCGCCTCCTCTTCAAAAAACAATCCGTGGCGAGGAAGCACCTGCTTTAGTCTCTTTGCTTCATCACTCTCATTTAAGCTCTCCCAGACTGGTTCGGCTGTGTACTTCGACTCAGTTGTCCCAATATCGTGAATGGTTTTGGCGGATTTGTCGACGTCTATGAGTTTTTCTCTTTGCTTCTTGCTGGCGAAGCGCAGGGGGTCGTAGTAAACTCGACACGCAACATTCCCCGGCAGCCCCAATTCTCGTGAACGAATGTTCGTCCCTTTGGTAACCGAGACGTCCATTCTCCCAATTGGTCGATGTAGCGAATACTTGACCCCGATTTCTTTCTCAGCCTGGCAAAAGAGACAGAAAGGTGACAAGTGAGGTTGGGTTTTGAGCTTCTTTTGAGCGCGCAAGCCCCATCAAACAGCGAGGCAACGTACCGATCTCCATTCTTCAGCTTCCTCGTTGACAAAACATGCTTTGCGAGCAAATTTCGTTCTGGAGAAGGCAGAATAAAGCATGAAGAGCATCACTAGCAGGAAGGGTAGGCTTCGCAAAAAAAAATGCAGTGAGGAAGAGACATAAAAAACAAGGGTCGGGCAAGCAGGAAGAAAAGGTTGAACCTACCAACCAACATATTCCGAGTCAAACTTGACAGACAACGCAAGAAACATCATGAAAGTGAAGCCAGTGAGGAGAGGATCCTTCCACGAGACGAGATATTGGTAGGCTCCCAAGAAATTGCCAAGGTCTTCAACCAGATCTGATATTCGAGATATATGGAGGTTCAGTGTGGCGAGGTTGAGGGTGTCAGGTGGGGGAGGAGGGCATTCATACGGCGTCGACCCGGAATAAAGGCGATTCACATCCTCTTCAAGACCAACAGAGATCTCCACCCAGCCGCTGATGTTACCCTGCTCTGCCTTGCTGTCGGTTGGGACAAAGAAATCGGAAGTGATGCCTCTTTTGACGCCAGTGCGCAGTTCGAGAGTCATTCGACGTTTTCCCTTGAAGACTGGGGGCTTTGTTCCCAGGGTGAGGATCGCCATTGCTCCGCTTTCTATTTGATGGTCGCGTTGCTGTTGCAAAAGACCTTGGGTTGTGAGCACACTGGTGCCCACAGGTTTGTCGGTCAGGGCGTCGACGACCTCAATGAAGAAGTTCACTCCATAGTGCGATCTGTGGAAACGAATCGGAAGTTTATGAATGAGACGACTCTGTTCCTGGACAGCAATAGAGAAAAAGCGACTAATCATCATCGGGGCACTTACGCATCTAACCGCATCTCACTTGTTTCTTCAAACTTGAGGTTCCCGTCGCTAGGTATACTCCTGGTCCTTGCAAAACCATCGCTGTCTGTTCGGCAGACACGAACGTAATAATCACCTGGTCGAAGCTCACCTTGGTGGTTCGTGACTTCGTCGGGCTCTGCGACGGGCGAAAGAGAGTCACCAAAGACGCAGGCTCGAGCAACATTTAGCTTCAACACACCAACTCGTCCCTTTTCGACTCGAGTCCCAGAAAGCGTCCCCGACTCGGTGACTGTCCTCGTGTCCGCCATCGACATCTCTCCGTCCGGCCAAAGTTTCTCCCTCTGCTTCCTTTCTTGGTAGACCTCGTCCACCGGTGCCATCGTCTCAAGGAATCTGGTGACTGTTAGCTTGTTTTGAATTGCCTTGCTGACAATATCGGCTGCTCTACTCGAGCCGCAAGGAAGCTGTACATCCAAGTGCAGTCGACAATCGCCACAGCTGTCGACTCCACAAGCTTCGCATCGGAAACTCGCTTTGTTCCAACCAAACAAACTGGTTGAACATTGGGCACAGTGTGCCGGTTTCCAAAACTTTTTGATCCGCAAGAGATGAGGCGTCCCAGCAGGAGCCAACTCATCCTTCTCTTGGGCCTCTGCTGTTCGCTCCACATCGATTTCTTGGCTCTTAACCGCACCCGATTTCTCGATCTTGGTGGGATCACTAGCACTTGGGTCAATGACTACACTGTCTTCGTCAAATTGAGTCTCGCTGAGCTGTCCCAAGTTCAAAAAGGAATACCCTAGACTTCGGTCTTCCGGCACAAAAATAGCTTCGAGTTCCATCGCTGCTCGATGATCCTCTCCAAAAAACTGGCCATCATTGGATGTCTTGACGTCTGACATCTCCGCCAAGAACCATTGTCGGGTCCATTGACCTGGGCACTTCATCAAGTCATCACAAGGAAGACTTAACGAACACATCGAGAATTCAAGCATGTTCATAGGACTCATCATGAGCTGAAGCTTTAGGGTAGGAACCGGAGTTGCTTCTGATGCGTATGCGTGCACGAGAGACACTGTTGAACCCACTTCCTTGTCGTCCCACAGGGCACACACTCCATGATCAAAAGAGTTAGCCTCTTGGTCCAAAAGAAACGTTGTGGTCTTTCGAGTTCGAGCGCTTCCTTTCCACGGCGAGAGTGAAACCACTGCCCGAACAGTTGTGCCGATTGGACACGGAAGACGTTGAGCACGAAGGAGTTTAAAGTGGAAAGCACCATAGCAATTCAGCGGAGCAAGATTGGAGGCTTCCTCGTTCCAGGTCGTAGAGAATCTGTCGACCTCGAACGGCGAAGAGGGTGTCACTTTTTTAATGGTTTTCGCACTGGCGGACTGCTGGCTCACATCTTCTATGATGCTCGTGCGAATTGGTTCCAGCTCTGTGTGCTGGAGAGAGGAATCGATACCGCTTTCCTCCTGGGATTCAATCTCAGAAGTCGGCTTGTTCACAAATACTTTGTAAGGCACATCATTCAATGGCGCAACAGAACCTTCTGGCGTTGCTCGTTGGTCTCTCAATCCATCATCTTTGTGCTCGCCGACGCTATCGGTGTCTGGTTGTGACGTAACTTGTTCTTTCAAGTTTAGAGATGATTCGAAGTCGCTGTGTTGCTGATCGTCAGCATCAGACTGCGCATTCTTGATTTCGTCGTGCCCCACAGCGTCTACCACGGAACGCAATTCTTCAAGTTCACTGGCTAAAGTCTTGACTTCTTCGTCGCTGAAATAATCTAAAGCTGTCTTTGCTTTGAGATCTGTGTTAGAAGAGTCACCTGATTGTTGATTTGTTTGTTGTTGTGGCTGTTTAATAAGAAAACTGGCTTCGACTATTGCCCGTGGCTGCGATTCCTTGCCGGAGTCTAGTAGAGATGATTCTTGATTTTCTACTGTTTCATCATCACTGACATTGTCATCACCCTCTACGCTGCGTGCTGACCAGGACCAGCCAGACGACGCAACGGATTCGTTGGTCGACGGTTCTGCCATGACGGGCGGTGGCGCAAGCTTTGGTTGCACATTTCCGGCTGTTTCTTCAGGAGGAGCAACAATGTTTATAAGTTGTTTGTTGCTTTGAATTGGGGTGGCCATTGATAGACATTGTATTGCGTCATTTTCGGAGACAGGTAGGACTTCAAGTGCTGCTCGCGGTGGTGTTGCGCTCACTGACAACGTTGGCAGTGGCAAAGGGGCAGAAAATGTTGGGAAGGATGATTGGGTGTAGCCTGGCAGTTGAGTTTCTCGTGGCGACACTTTCTTTCCTAGAACCGAGCCAACAACTCCAGAATCGTCGGAGACTGCCTTGGAAGGCGATTCGTAGGGTTGCATCGCTTGTTTCCGGTAATCAGCCGGTGTTACAGTAATGGTTTGGGAAATGGGGGATTCGTAGGGTTGCAGAGCTTGTTTTCGGTAATGAGCAGGCTGCAATATATTGGAAGCTGGAGACGGCTCTGTTTCTGTATTTGATTGGCTCGACAAGCTGAGCGGAGACAACGCTGGAACCCAACTTCCTCTCCCTTGCTTGGCATTCGCTGTCGTCTTGTTGCCTTCATCATGAATTGCAGTGTCGGTGGAGACGGACGATTTTGGGTTGTCTTGCTGTTGTGGCAATGAAGCTGCTGGATCTGCATCGTTGCGCACCTGATCCGTACCAGATGAAGTATCTGCCCTTGATATCTCTGATGTTTGAGTATTGTCACTAAAATGCGTCTGCTTCTCCGTTGGCGCATCTGTATTAAGGAGTGTATTCTCCTGTGCTCTTGCAGCGTCACCACCACGTGAGTCATTTTCTGGCACCTTCGACTGTGGGCGTTGATCAGGTTGCTCTGCTGGATGTGGATCAGAAAGCCCCATTATTTTTGGAGGTTTGTCGGAACCAGGATATGTTTCATTCTGAGCAGTTTCACCAAGATTGCCAAGTTCTTGTGTCTGCTTCTCTACTGCTCTCTCAACCGAATCATGCTGAGACTGTTCCTCCAATAGTTTTCGTTCGTCCACAACTGGAACGCTGTCATTTTTCAGAGTCCTAGGAAGTTTGTTGTTGTCATTTTCTGGTAACTGAAGTTGCTCTTGAGGCTGTTCGGATTGCGGCATTGATTCTTGTAAAGGCACCTGACGAATCTGTTGGTTAGTCAAACTTGGTGTCGGTATAATATCCTTTTCGACCCTGTTCTCCGAGGAGAGAATAAGCTTGTTGTCGCTTGCACCTTCGTCTTCGCTGTCCGATTCGTCGTCATCGGAAGGGAGGTTCCGCATCATTCGAAGTCGAATATTTCCTGGTCTCACAGCAGCAGAGGCACTACCACCACCGCTATTGGGTGCTTTTCCCTGGCGGGGCTGGTTGGTGATGCTGATTTTAGAGGGCAAGTTGGGACTACCTTGTTTCTTCTTTGGTGCTTCTTTCTTTGCTTTTGTTCCTCTTGCCTTCGCGGCTGAATTCTCTTCGTCCTTGCTGACAAATGCCAGTTGTACGTGATCGGTGGACTCATCGTCATCGTCTTCTGACCATGTCCCATTATTATTATCATTGCCAGCGCTTTCGGAATAATCGTCGTCGTCCTCCGTGTACTCATCGTCTTCTCGTCCCACCAAACCACGCTCCAAAATGTTGTCTAGCGAATTGAGCCAATTCATCGTCTTGTTGTTGTTGCTCCTTCATGCATTCAAAAAAAAATTTGTCGCCGACCAGACTGATCTGCTCTTGACAACTTCGTCAAGCAACTGGAACCGGCAACAGATAGAGCTTGACCTCGGTCCTGTGTGTTACATGTATTCTATTGTTACCTTTCTTATTATTGGAGTTCTGCTTGTCTTCCACTCACTGGTTGTCAACGTGTTTTTTGCGAGGTTGCGATTGGTGTGTTTGCCTTGCTCAAAAATTCGCCTGCGTCTCAGCGGGACTGCAAAAGGCAAACGGAAACGGCTAATAACACGTGCCCCTCGTTGACACCGTCACGCCAACACGCCAACAATCCAGGTTGTACCGGTACCGGCTGGTACCGTAGGTCAGGTCTGAGTTTGGTCAAGGTGCCGTGGACGAAAGGCAAAGCCAACTGAAAGCTACCAGGTAGCTGCTAGCTTGCTACTAGTCTAGTCAGTTATTAGCTAGCTAGTCAGCCAGAGCTGAAACAGGATAAGGTTGTTGCTGAGAGAAATCCAAAAGGGTGTCAATCTCGTACATGTAGTAACAAGATGATGGTTTGAACAAAGCACTAATGAAGAAGAGGGGACATCACACTCGATTCAACATTGTGTTGGTTAAACACTAAAGAGACTGTTTGGCCATGGTGGAGCATTGCACGTCAAGTAATATGCTTGAATGATTCAATCCTACTGGCTGACAACAACTAAAGAAACTTTATGCATTCCTCTGGGATAACATATTTTGAACCCATGCTCTTACCTCTGAAGTACCTTCCCTCAAGACTTCATCTCTGTCCCATGGGCAACCATTCTGTACAGCATATTGGAGCACTTCCACGTGGCCTTTTTCAGCAGCAGCCATGCATGTGTCTTCATCCCAAGGACAGCCGTTTTCATGGGCATATTTGAGACACTCCAAATGGCCGTTTCGAGCAGCATTGACGCTTGTCAACTCGTCACCCCATGGACAGCCGTTCTCATGGGCATATTTGAGACACTCCAAATTGCCCTTGGCAGCAGCACAGCAGCATGTTCCTTCATCCCATGGGCAGCTATTGTCATGGGCATATTTGAGGCATTCCAAATGACCATTCATAGCAGCAAAGCAGCAAGTGTCCACATCCCATGGACAGCCATTTTCATGGGCATATTTGAGGCATTCCAAATGGCCATTTTCCGCAGCAGCCTTCGAAGTGTCTGCATCCCATGAGCATCAATTTTCACGAGCATATTTGAGGATTTCCAAATGGCCATGGCGAGCAGCATGGGTGCAGGCGTTTTCCTCATCCAAAGCACAACCATTTTCATGAGCATACCTAAGTATCTCCAAATCACCATTCCCAGCAGCATAATTGCGTGTGCCTTCGTCCCATGGGAAACCTTTTTCATGTGCGTATTTGAAGATGTCCAAATGGCCACGCAAAGCGGCTCGGTCGCATATGTAGTTATCCAATGGACATCCATTTTCATGAGCATACTTTAGGACATCCAGGTGGTCATTCTCAACCGCATTGATACATGTGTCAATGTCCCATTCACAGCCATTTTCATGGGCATACTGTAGGACATGTAGGTGACCTTTCATTGCAGCACGGGAACATGTAAATGAATCCCACTCAAAGCCCTTGTTTCGGGCCCACTTGAGAACTTGAATACTACCCACTCTGGCAGCTACCATACAAACATATTCACCGTTGACCTGTCCACCCGTACCAGTAAAACGGTGGGCGTACCAATACTCAGAGCGGGAAACATAAAAGGTTGCACTGTAGAAAGTATCCGAAAAAGTTGCTTTGCGATTATCATCATCATCATCATCATCATTGACCATTGGAGGATTTTCCACAGTGTCACAATAGGCTTTGTATAGGTCTCTCATTTTGTGGCAGACAGACGCCACGAAAACATAATGCCCGATTCCGAGGAACGGCAGGATGTTCTTGACCCAAACATCGGTTCCACCAAGAAAGGCATCCCCAGATAACGCTTCTGGCACGGCCTCTCTTTTGGATTTCTTCTGTGGGTGGGAATCTGCTGTATCGGCAACACTGGTGGAGGTAGACATGAGAGTGCGTTACGGAAGAAGCTAGCTAAAAGAGGGCGGTCTTTTTTATGAGGAGGCGTGGTGGTCCAGATTCACGAGGTGTGTAAGGGGCGCGAGAAGAGCGGAAAGGGCGAAAATCGTGGAACAGATCGGCTGGCTTCTTTCCAAAGATCCAACACCGTCACCTTCCGACACTTTTTTGGTACGGCAACCTGAGAATGTTGATTCGACGACATGTTGCGAAGCTGCTAGCTGACTATTATGCCCAACCCGCCAACCGGGTGGTGGGGAGTGCATTGTTGACAGAAGGAGACATCAATTTCAAGCGTCTGTGGGGAGAATGGCATTATCGCAGAGTTTGTTCTCGTCTATATGCCAACCAGGAGGGTCGGTGGCTGACATCGGTGGAGTTGATGAGACCATTCTATTCCAGGGTTCTGGGAAACTTTGTGGCAGAGCAAGCAGAAGCATCATTAAAGGACAGCCATGATTGTTTTGACATTGTGGAAATGGGAGGAGGCAGAGCTACCAACGCCACTATCATCTTAACCCATTTGCAGCGAAGCCATCCTGGAATCTATCAAAGAATCAATTCGTATACCATGATTGATGCATCTCCATCTCTTTTGGAACTACAAGAGCAAACTATGCGCTCCACGGATCATGCCGATAAGATGAAGTTTGAGCTGAAAGATATTATTGATGTCGCAGAAGGAACGTGAGTGCACTGCTTATCTTCATCACCTTGAGGAAACGGATTCGATCCTAATTTTCGCTCTCACGCCAAGTGTGGATTGCACCTCCTTTTGGCCAGCACATCATTCTTGAATCCTTCAAACACGCCAACTGTTTGTATATCGTGTGAATTACTTGACAATCTACCCCATGACAAAGTTCGAGTCAAAGGTGGCAGGCTGGTTGAACAGGGAAACATTTTGCCTCTATCAGAGGATGGCGACAATGCCGGTAGTGATGGTCACGAGATGCAACAAACTTCGACAGTACCACTAGTGGAAGCATTTGCACCTCTTTCGGACCCACTGCTATCATCCATTTTGAAATTGGCACCCGAGTACACCAGGACGTCTGTCCTGACTTGGATCCCAACTGTGGCTTGTGGAGTGCTTCATCGGTTACACCAGGAACGGCCCAATTCCACACTCATGTTTGCGGATTTCGATTGGCTCCCACCTCCAGACTTGACCAAGGAACAGGGACTGGCAAAACGAACCTCCACATGGGCTGCAGGGGAACCCATCGTCACGGATATGGACGGTAAGTTGCTTCCATTGGCTTTATATATCATTCATGGATGTACCAGGCAGGCATTGCTCGTGAAGACCATCAGCAGTGTCCTCATTAATTTGCCCATGTGTGTCCTTTCGTTTGTTTTTATTACAGGATTAGATCACTCCTGCTACCTTGAGTCCCCAGATCATTGCGACATTCTCTTCCCCACTAACTTTGACCATTTAGCAAAGTTCGTGCACAAGTCTTGGAACATTTCTAACAACGCCCCTTTCCAAGTGGATGTTTACAAGCAGAGTGACTTTTTGGAGCGCTTTGGACCAGAACAGGTTGATGCAACCAAAAGTTGGCTCACTGGTTTCACTCCAATGCTGCACGACTTTTCCAATTGCTCAGCCCTGACCGTAACGAGAAGGCAGACCAGCAATGGCGAAGGCACGAACAAGGGAAAGAGAAACCCAAATGTATAACGCAATATGTGAAGGAATAGCTAAGTAGCGTTATTGCACCCAACCTTTGAAGCACCCCCGTAGATAGTATCATCAATGCACCAAAATTTGAGATATACCATTCACTCCTCCAAGAAGCGAAACTCGTCGTCGTTTGTGAGATCGTGCATGGACTGTCTGGCCTTCTTCTTCTTGGCCGCCGATGATGATTTTCGCCTTCGTTTTGGCTTTACTGGGCTCGGAGTATCCTTGACCTCCACTGGCATGTTTGCGGTCAATCCAATCTCTTGTTTGGCCTTTGTGGCGCTCGTCTTGCTTTTCTTCTTGGCAGACGATGAGCTACCTGATGGAGCGCCCCGCTTCTTTGATGATTGTGGTGCTTTAGGAGTCGACAATTTGGCCTCCTCCTTGTTTTCACTGTCGCTCTCATTACTGTCCGATGCCTCCTTCGAACTCGTCTTCTTCGTGACGGAAGCTCGGTTCTTTCGAGGAGCAGGAGATTTTTTGTTTTGCGAGGGTGACTTCTTCGTGGCTGACTTGAATTTTTTCTTTTCCTCGCTGTAATCCTCGTCCTCGGAATTGTCGCCATCGCTGTCGCTGTCGCCATCTGAGTCCTCGTCATCTGATTGTTCCTTCGTGGAGCTGGTACTTCGCCTTGTAGCTGGTTTTTTGGTAGCGGCTTTCTTGGCCAAGGGCTCGCCATCGTGCCTGTCGCCATCTGGCTCATCATCGTCTGATTGTTCCTTCTTGGAGGTGGTACTTTTCTTTGCAGGTGCCTTCTTGGTGGCTTTCTTTGCCAAGGGCTTGTCGTCATCACTGTCGACATCTGGTTCATCATCCGATTGATCCTTCTTTGTTGTGGAATTGCTTCTCTTTGGAGGTGCTTTCTTGGTAGCTGACAGCTTTGCTTTTGGCTTGTCATCGTCACTGTCGACATCTGGTTCATCATCTGATTGATCCTTCTTTGTTGTGGAATTGCTTCTCTTTGGAGGTGCTTTCTTGGTAGCTGACAGCTTTGCTTTTGGCTTGTCATCGTCACTGTCGACATCTGGTTCATCATCTGATTGATCCTTCTTTGCTCCGGAAATGCTTCTCTTTGGGGGTGCTTTCTTGTTAGCTGACAGCTTTGCTTTTGGCTTGTCATTGTCACTGTCGACATCTGGTTGATCCTTTTTCTTGGCGTTCTTGGAGGTGGCACTAGAAGACCGCTTGGGTGGTGCCTTCTTTGTAGCTGAAGGCTTTTTCTTTGCAGCGGATGAGGTTGACCCCCTTGGCTTTCGCTTGCTCACTGCTTTGCTACCATCCTCCTCCGAGTCTTTAGTGTTGGCTGCGGATGTTCTTGGCTTGCGCTTGCTGATTGCCTTGTCGCTGTCACTCTCGTCACTACCAGCCTCGTCTTCGTCACTGCTCAAAGATATTGCCGGCTTATCCTTGGGTTTTTGTTGTTTCTCATCGTCATTGCTTTCTTCACCGCTATCCTCCTCTTTGGAAGACTGTGCTTTCTTGTTGGTTGTTTTGGAGGGTTTCTTGGTTGCTGCCTTCTTTTTTTTGGCAGCTTTGTCTTCTTCCGAATCACTATCTGGTTCGTCTTCACTACTTGAATCAAGTTCCACATACTCGGCTTTCTTTCTGGAAGAGGCCTGTCGACTTGGTGCCCGGCGAGTTGCTTGGGGATTGTCGTTTTTCTTTTTCTTTGTGGCCGACCCTTTCTCATCGTCACTATCATCGGAATCAACGGAAAGGACGGCATGTTCTTTCTTGCTGGCCGCCTTTTTGGCTGCAGCACCTTTCTTCTTTGCCGGTGTCTCATCCTCGGAACCACTTTCGTCTTTCTTTGCTTTTCGCGACTTTGCTGTTGCTGGCTTCTGTTTGGGAGCAGAAGGCTTTGTTTTCGTGCCGTTCTTCTCGTCTTCACTACTAGCCCCATTATCATTATCATCATCATCATCCGAGTCAACGGTGACAATTGGCTTTGCTTTCTTGGGAATGGCTTCGTCATCACTGCTGTCTTGTTCATCTGAACTATCCTGTGTGATTGTTATTGACTTTTTGGTAGTTGGTTTCTTTGTCTTTGGCGCAGGAGGCTTTCGTGCCTTTGGTTTCTTCTCTTCTTCCTCGCTGCTACTGTCCTGTTGAATATCTTCATCCGAGCTGGAGGGAATATCGTACTTGACTTGTGAAGTTGATCGTCGAGGAGCTGTGCGCTTGGATGCTGGAACCTTGACTTTGCCTCCTTGAAATTCCCCATCGCTGTCACTGTCATCAATCTCCATGGCGGTTGGTTTTTCGTCGCTACTACTGCTGCCGTCATCACTCTCTGGCACTTTGGGTTGTTTGGTGGCCGTTGTGGTATTGGTCGTCTTTTTCCGTGACTTGGTGATTGTAGCAGTGCCCCCATCCACCGTTCGTTCGGATCCCCCATAATGTATCAAGGCATTGGACTGACTGTCGTCGGAATCCTCATCGTCCTTTGTTTCTTTGGCTGCAACTTTGGCTGGAATTTTGTTGGCATCATGCAGGGTAGCATCTCCAAAGACCACCATGGTAGTAAACACATGCTTGCAGCTCACGTCTGCCTTTTTTTGACAAGTCAACATCATGAATTTGGAAGACGAATGAATCTTTCTGCCAGCAAATGTCAAGCGACCGTCACCGAACGGAATGGTCAGTGTCGGATGGTCCGTGTCGAGTCCTTGGATATTTCCCAGTGTCACGGCATCTGCCTTTTTGGATTTTGCTTTCACGGCTGCTTCTTCTTCACCCTCGCTGTCCTCCTCCTCCTCACTGTCATTTTTCTTCTTCTTGGTCTCTTTCTTGGGAGTGGCCAGCATTCCTGTGCGATTGGGAGTCAGAGACAAATTTCCCGGCAAGACAATCAGATACCGATGCTGGGTTCGACCCGTTTTCCCCATGACTTTGGGTGGCGCCGAAATTGTGTTGTGGGTTGGGATTGTCGCCGCCCCTCGTCCCAAGTGAATGTCGCATCCATTGCACGCTAGTATTGTGGATCCTGGCCGTAAGGCGGTGGCGGCGTCATTGGGTCGGAATTTGGTTTGAATGGGAACATTCGAGGGAAGATCAATATCCTTAGTAGCGCTGCTCTTCTTTTTGCTGCTCTTCTTTTTGCTGCTCAACACAATGTCCTCGTCAAAGCTGTTGCTGCTATGGCTATTATCTTCCTCATCATCAGAGTCCATCTTGCTTTGATGGTTCGACTGTCTATTACCGGTATCACCAGGTGGCAACTGCAAGACCTGGAAGATGGCGGATGGCGGGCTTTTTGTTGAGAGGGAGAGAAATCAAGCGCGGCGGGGCGCGCTTGCGTCAAAAAGATTTTGGATCTTTTCCGTTCCGCTGCGCTTCGCTCGGCGGCGCTGGTCCTTCGACATTGCTTCGTCGCTGTGTTCAACAAGCACGTTACCGACCGCGACAGTATAGTACCTGTACCACCAAACATTAGAACCAAGATGGGAGACCGCAGTAGCAAGAGAGGTGTAGGCTGCAGCTTATTAGCAATGCCTGAGCAACAGAAACGACCTAAACGACAAGCAGATGTGGAGGAGGCGCTATCCAATTTGAAGCAAGAGGTGAGGGTTTAGATGCTACATTGTGACTATTACTCATTAGTCTATCATCTATTTCAACTGTTTCATCTCCAACATTTCAAAGAGGATCAGTTGAGCATGTTCATGCTTTAGCAGGGTTGGAAGCAGGCTGAACACCCAGGTTGTTGAGCAGCTCATGATCTCTCACAATCTCACACGCCCTCAGATGCTTTCCTGGCTGCTTTAACTGCTCCTTTGTCATCGTCTCTGCATCCCACTGAAGGATGCTCTCTCGTTGGGACTCGAAGAGGATTGTTGGTTGTGGCTTCGTAGCAATATCTCCCAGCTGGTATCGGCTTGGAATTTTGTGGATTGTTATCTTCTTGCTTCGAACGTAGTCTCTGAAGTGATGAACCTTGACACATATGTGTTTCGTCCTTGGTCTCATCTTTGGCTCTTGAGACATCTCTAGAGCTCCAACGTTGTCCTCAAAAACTTTGCAATGCACCACTGGGGCTTTGTCGTGTGTACGCCACTCCAGCTTCTTCTTTGATTCCTCCGTGAGCTGCATAAGGTAGATCACTTCTCTCAATGACTCAGACAGAGCGTTGTACTCGGCCTCTGTCGTGGACAGTGCAACTTCCTTCTGTAGCTTTGATCCCCACGTCACTGGACAGCCACCGTACATGATTACGTAGCCAGTGCGTGATCTTGCAGTTCCAGGGTCAACGTCCGCAGTAGCACGATTCCAATTTCCGACAAAGTCCGCATCCACAAACACGTCGAAAGATCCTGTCTGTGGATTGAGAATGATTCCCTTTTCAGCTGTGCCGACTAGGTATCTTGCTATCCTTTTGACTGCAGCACCGTGCGATTCCTTTGGCTCTGCTGAAAACCTCGCGCATTGATGAACTGCGTACGCGATATCAGGTCGCGTGGATTTCTCCAGGAAATTGAGCTTGCCAATCACGCTTCGGTAGAGCCACTCCTCGTTGAAGTCATTGCCAGTCACGTCTCTGTGCAACCTGACCGTTGATAGTGCTGGCGTCTTCTGCGGCTTCGTTCCTTCCGCATATCCAATGTCATCTAAGATCTGCTTGATCATGTGTGGTTGGGACAGTTTGATCAAGCCATTCGAAAGGTGCTCGATCTTGACTCCAAGGTAGTCTGACAGTGATCCTTCATTCGTCATGTTGAATGCTTTGAACTGCTTTCCTTTTTCATCAACGAATGGCTTCGACATGGATTCGAATGCATCGTCAATTTCACCACTGGTAGGAGCTATGAATATTCCATCATCGACGTACACCAGAAGTACCACTCTGCCTTTGAAATAGAGGCACATGTCGACGTCACTTTGAACGAAGCCCCTTGCGATCAGGCCATCGTGCATGTAGCGATTCCACACTCTTCCGGCTTGCTTTTGTCCGTACAAGTTCTTCTCCAACAGTAGACAGTGATCTCCACTGTATCTCCTCTTGTTGCTCGTTTGCTTGAGTTTCAGCTTGCCTCCTTTGTCATCGACACTGAATCCTTGTGGGATCTCCATGTACATCTCGCACTCGATGTCCGCCTGAGGGAAAGCCAGTACAAAATCCACTTGTCTGGAGTGCCACTTGTTCATCAGCATGAGGATCAAGAAGGTCCTGATCGTCGTCCATCCCACTACTGGTGAGTAAGTGTCCCAGTAGTTGACGAACTTCGTCTGTTTGCCGCCATGTACGTTGAGTCTGGCTTTCCATTTGTAGATCTCTTGCGTTGCTATTCTGCGTTTTCTTCTGAACGCCCACACCGATGGGAGTAGGTTGGTCCCCTTCGGGACGATTGATCTTGGCACGATTTTCCAGTGCTTCCAATCGCTGTGCGAGTCGACTTCCTTGACCATCGCCTCCTTGAACTGCTTGGCATCGGGTGCTGACAATGCGGCATCAATGTACATGATGTCCGGGTTGGTGGATGCTGCAAATGCTATGGGGTCTTGCATGTCATCTTGGATCTTGTACCCCTCAACGTGGAACACTTCCCAAGGCACCACCGCAGCTGCCAATGACAACTCGAAATCTCCGCCACGGATCCTTTCTGGCAACCGGATGTTCCTGCGTCGCCTCGTTCGCTCCCCAGCGCTCCTCGATCGTTCTCATTGCCAAGTCGTCGCTGTTGTCGGAGCTCTCCTTCCTCGGTTGGGTGCTCCTCGTCATTGTCATTGCCTTCTTGGTCGTCTATTCCGAAATCCTCTCTCAATATGTCTTCAGCTGTCAGAGCTGGTGGATCATGCGTTGGGTCCGGCTCACGATTCGGCATCTCTTCAGTCGCGGATCGTCTTCGTTGCCGATTCTCCATCGCATCTTCTTCCATTCCACGATGATGGTCTAACAGCGGCAATCCGCTGTCTCCCATGACAAAACCAGCCTTCTCTTGCCACTTGGATGGAGGAAGTTGGTTTCCTTTTGACCTGCGTAGTGTGTCACAGAAGTCGTCAAACTGACAGTGGAACTGTGGAGACACAAGTCCGGTTTTGAGGCTCAATACCAATGCCACTTTGAGGAAGTGTCTTGGGGAGTGCCCCAAATACACGCCAATCCTCGCCTTGTGCTCCCATTTCGGCATCGACTTGCCTTGCTGCGCCCTCTCATCAAGGACGTACACAGGTGATCCGAAGGTGTGGGCATTCTTGACCTTCGGTTCGACATCGACGCCTGAGAAAAGCTCCACTGGAGAAACGTGATCGTTTCCCTTCAGCACTGGTGTCACGTTCGCGACGTCGTTCGCGTATCTCACGGCATATGGCCACAGGTGAGCTGTGATTGCATTTGGCCACCTTTGCTTCGCGTGCAGGATCATCGTTCTGGCTGCTTCTTGCAAGTCCCTGATCTTCTTCTCGGCTCTACCGTTCATGTGATGCGCATTCACGGCCGCATAAGTAATGGTCTGCCCACACCTATGCACTTCCTCGACAAACGCTCTGCTGTCGAATATGCCATTATCTCCGTGATAGTGCTTTACCGTCACTCCAAAGGTGCTGGCATACCGCTCGAACGCCCTTTTGGCCAAGATGGTCTGTTCCGCTGAAGTTGACGACTGGAAATGAACGTACGACAACCCACTGTAATGGTCCACGAACACCGTGCTGACGGTGTATCGTTTCCTGGTTAGGATGCCTCTCATTTGGCCGATAAGTCCTGGCGTTGAAGAGATCAGTTGGTCGACCCCTACTACGGATCCTGAGCCTGTGGCGTTCGGTACCATGTCTCTGTTCTGGTTGACTGGTGTCCTGGTTCTCCAGGCTCTCTTTGTCGCCCTGCCAAACATGCAGCTTGCACACTTTGGCGCCCTGGCATTGATGAGTGTAGCCGGAAGTGCTCCTCTTTGGGCCAGCTTTCGGATCCTGTCGAATGAGAGGTGTCCGAGTCGGTAGTGCCATGCCAGGATATCGGTGCTGCCATCCTTGTATTGGGTGTAATCATGATCCACCACCGGTGTTTGGGCAATCTTGTTGAGGTCTTGTCCCATCTTGAAAGCGTTGGTGACCGTCTCTTGGAACTTGGTCGCCCTATCGTCATGCTCCTCGACGTCATGTGGAAGATCCGGATGGAGACGCCCAAGTGGGACCACCGAATCGTCATCACTCTCGGGTTCTGCCGTTTCCACGGAAGAGTCGTCGTCGTCAGTCACAGAGGCAGCAGCGGGACAGCATAAAAGCTCTGTCTCGTCCACCTCCAGTGGCTGGGCTTCTCCAACGATAATGGGAGCTATCTCCCCACAGAACGCATTCAGTTTGGAGAAGGAAGGTGCGCTTCGAACCAGGGCAATGTTGTTGGACGGAGAGAGTGGTATCACCCTTTTGAATCTCCTTTGCTTCCAGAACAATTCGACTGCGTCTTCATAAGTCGCACACCAGGTGCCTCTCTTGCTTGGCACGTTGTCATTGGCCACCTTTGCCCAGTGCTGTGGAGACAAGAGCCGGTAAGGTGTGGATGGATTGAAATACGTGTCTGGTATGGTGAAGTGATGCACCAGACCATTGTCATCCTCAATGGACCACCTGACTGTTCCACGGTACGTTGCCGTGACCGATCCTCCGATTCCTTGTACTTTGACGCTCACCTTCGTAGGTTCTCCTATGAAGTCTCCCATGCAGTTCGTGATGCACCTTGATGAGCAGTTGTCGATTGCTATCAGGACCGAGTCAGCGTCATACTGATGGTCCTCGGTGTTGTGGTTCATCTGTCCAGACATCGAGCAGATGATGAGCTGCAATGCAGTCATTGGATTGCTCTCAGTCTGCATCAAATCGAGGCCGCCCTTGAGCACCAGAAGAAACCTGATGAACAGCTCGAACTAAGTAGCTTCATGAGAATTGTTGTGTTGTCGCGAATCCCAAAGCATTCGCGGAGAAGATGTTCTTCTGTACCTATTGTAAACTGATGCGTACGGCTCCTCCGATTCATCATCTTGGTCAAGGAAGGGCTCGTCTGGTGTTGGTGCTCGCCCTCGTTCGGTTGGCGCCCAAGCAGATTCTGTCACTGACAAGTGACTCAGTTGCACCAAGAGAACGACTGTGCCGATCGCACCTATGGTCGCCCTCTTTCCTGCATCTAAGGATGCTCTGGTTGCTCTCGACAGGAGCGACGGTCTGTTTCGCAACCTCTTCGGAACATACCTCGGAGGCTCTTGTGGTTGCATGCCCCACAGTAGAAGCGATCGGGCTACAGCGCTGATCACCAACAGAGTTGCACCGAACTCGGTGCTTGCAAAAGCAAAAATCGATGCGTTCATCACGCTCGTTGTCGCTAGGGCGACCATATGCATCCACAGATGAATGGGATCCTCGAACAAGATCATGAAGAGGAAGAAGGAACACGGGTGCTGGTACATCTCCGTGATCCATGTTGACACGGACGTCCTGCTCTCGATCGCGAGCAACGTCATCATCTGAGTCAGTTGTGCGTCTTCGGCTGCATTGTCAAATGCGGCCTCAAGACTGAAATAGGTAGCGTCGATAGATGTCTTCCATTGGACCAGAGTGGCGAGAAATCGCGCTATGGCTACGGCTAAGAGTAGAGGCTGAAGGGTACAGGTAACAGAAAGTTGATCACTAAAGTGATTACAGTACGCTACGAGCAAACGCGACAGGTATCCTCCACTCCATGACCATCAGAGTTGTTCGTCCTCGATCGGTAGAACGTTGGTTCCGGTGTCCTCGATTGCGTTGGTAAGTGCCGCGGCAGTTGCATCTTGTTCTGGCTCGGCATTCTTCTTTTCATTTGCGGCTAACAAAGCCTCCTTCATCTTCTCACAACCTGTTCGATGGATAATTCCTTTGTTGTTGACCTCGAGGACCCACTTGGTAGTGTGATGGTAGGGGCAGTAGATGTACTTCTTGCCATTGACCGTCTTCTGTTGCGGCTCTCCCTCCGTTGGTCCTACTAACTTCCAAGCGTGCTTGTCTGCCGCTTTGGACTTGTCGTCCTTGGTAGCCGCTCCTGTGGTTCGAGCAGAGGCTACTGACTTGGTTGCTGGAGACGTCTTGAGTCTGGTCACCTCAGCCTTGAGTGTGATGATCTCCATCTCTTGATCAGTCTTCTTGAGCCACTGCTTCCTGTCCTTGAGGATCTTGTACTTCTCTAGAGCCGACACCATGAGTGCAGTGTATCCGATCTCCAGTGTCCCGTCTTCATAACAGACCTGCTTCCAAGCCATGTACCTTGTGAATTCTGCATCGGCACAGTTACTGTATCCGTCGAAGAGTGGGTTCAGCATGCGTGGGACTGGTTCGTTGCGAGCTTGGAGTTGGGAGATCAGTTCATCGACGACGTCATTGAACATACCAATGTCGGACTTGCACTCTTCCATGACTACCTCGAGATTGGCTAGTCGCTTTGTAATGAGGGCAACCGTCGCCTTTGTCTCGACTGATACCATGCGAATGATCTCGTAGAGCATACAGGTACCGTCTTCCTTGGGGATTGGGGCTGGTGCTGGTTGATCAGGCAGGACGGCCGCAGCTGCGTTGATCGTGAAATGCTCCTTTCGGTTGTTGAGACGATCCGCCAATTTGGGGGAAATTGATCCAATGATCAGTTGCCTCAAACAAGCTGACGCCTGGTGGTTGCGATTGTTCTGACGCAGATAAACAAGGGCGTGAGCTTTGACAAGTTCTGAGGTAAGGCAACCATACTCCTTGGTGAGGTTGCGAGATACTCCTCTTTCGTCGTTCACGCATAGGATGGAGATCCAACCGAAAGCCTCCGCTCGGTGGAACACCTTGCGAAGGAAGTCACGTAAGGTGGATTCTTTTCCGTCATACGGAGTCTTGAAGGGTGCTGTCGCGGCCATGAATATCTTCAAGCCGGTTCCTGACGTGAAGTCCCATGCGACGTCGCCTGTACCAGCTGGGGTGACTGCAAAAGCGGCCTGTCCTCCTCCTGCGTTGTCAGGAGGACGCAACGCTTGGAGAACTGCTGGATTCTGCAGGGCTGCAGCGACTGCTGCTTCCACGAGCGTTCGAACGGTTGCTGCATCCATGGTTGGTTCAGCTTCAGCTCTGTCCTGATGGATTTGCTCTAACCTTTGCTTTCTTCTTTGTAACCGTTGTCTGGTTCTGGTTAAGGCTTCTTGGGCTTCTTGAGTCTGCCTTCTTCTTCGATCTGCTCTGAGTTCGGCTCTGAGTTCTCTGGCAGTCTCGTCTTGTGTTTGGTCAGAGTCTGAAATCTTGAGGTTTCTTTCCCTTTGCTTCGGCTAATGGGAAAGTGGGCTTTGTATCGACAGATACTGGATTGGTGACCGATAGGCACCACGTTGTAAGTAAGGGTGCAGCTCGTCTTCGCTGACTATTCGTTCAGGGGAGACGAGGTGCTCGGTTGGCCACGAGGTGCTCCTTTGCTCTACCGATGTAAGTCAAAGGAGTTGCTCGAAGCATGCAGCATGCGCAGAGGAAGCGTGAGGGTTTAGATGCTACATTGTGACTATTACTCATTAGTCTATCATCTATTTCAACTGTTTCATCTCCAACATTTCAAAGAGGAGCAGTTGAGCATGTTCATGCTTTAGCAGGGTTGGAAGCAGGCTGAACACCCAGGTTGTTGAGCAGCTCATGATCTCTCACAATCTCACAAAGAGGATATTTGGATCAACAAGATCTTCCCCTTTGTTGGCATTGGCCATTTTGCCTTTGTGGCACCAGTCAGCCACACAATGAAAGACATGTACCTTGCATACTGTGAAACTGTACAGAACCCTCCAATGATATATGTTTTTGATAGTTATGGAGAAACATGCTCAGCACCTCCTACAAGTACTCTCCACAGTTCAATTTTCTCTTCTGTGGCTCATGCAGAGTACTGGTACATACACCGTCATACTGGCACTGGTCACGGTATCCATGATTCTGCTGTCTGTTATAAAGTTGCCAAAGCAGGTAATCTTCTTGTGCTTGAGTGGGCCCGGAAAAAGCGATTTGGTTGGGACCAACACACATCACGGGCTGCTGCAGCCAACGGCAATCTGGAATGCCTCAAATTTGCCCATGAAAATGGTTGTCTATGGGGCATACACACCTGCTATAAAGCTGCACAATTTGGCCGTTTGGATTGCCTCAAATACGCCCATGAAAATGGCTGCCCATGGGATGAAGCTACATGCGCATTTGCTGCTGAGAATGGCCATCTGGAAATTCTGAAGTATGCCCACGAAAATGACTGTCGTTGGGATGGAGAGACATGCAGCAATGCTGCTTTGAACGGTCATTTGGAAATCCTAAAATATGCCCACGAAAATGGCTGTCCATGGGATGAATACACATGCCAACATGCTGCTGGAAATGGCCATTTGGAATGCCTCAAATATGCCCATGAAAATGGATGTCCGTGGAGGAACCAATCATTCCAATTTGCCGCGGCAAATGGTCATTTGGAAATCCTGAAGTATGCCCATGAGAACGGCTGTCCATGGGGACCATGGGGAAGATTCACCTGCTATAATGCTGCAAAATTTGGCCATTTGGATTGCCTCAAATATGCCCATGAAAATAGCTGCCCATGGGATGAAGGCACATGCACAGTTGCTGCTGAAAATGGCCATTTGGAATGCCACAAATATGCCCATGAAAACGGCTCTCCTTGGGATGAAGAGACATGCAGCAATGCTGCTCTCAATGGCCATTTGGAATGCCTCAAATACGCCCATGAAAATGGCTGTTCATGGGACAAAGACACATGCCGCTTTGCTGCTGAAAAGGGCCATTTGGAAGTTCTCAAGTATGCCCATGAAAATGACTGTCGTTGGGATGGAGAGACATGCATGAATGCTGCTTGGAATGGACACTTGGAATGCATCAAATATGCCCATGAAAAAGGCTGTCCAATGGACACAAGAAACATATGGAGGGGAGCTGCTCTCAATGGCCATTTGGAAGTGCTAAAATATGCCCATGAAAACGGTTGTCCATGGGAGAGAGATGGGTTGCCGATTGTTGGCACTTCACAGGTAAAGGCTTGGATTCAGGAAGTCACAGCCCAGATCAGTGGTTGAAGCTTATCGACGGGAGGTGAAATGTGCAAGGAATTTCTTGGTTGGTTGGGTGGGTGTTGGAGGAAGCAAATTGGGGATCTGTCTAGGTTGCCGTTTTCTGTGCACTTGTGCTTCTACTAGCTAGCTAGAGTTTACCTTATTATACCATGAGAAGGGTTGCCATGAGGAGAGCTAGCTAGTTAGCACTTCATATGTATTTATTTGAGCTAGTCCATGAACTTGCGGAATGAAACGCTACAGAAAGACTACTGTGGCTGGCTAATAGAGGCTTTGGACATTCGACGTCGTTGGTTAAAATCTCATCAAACCTATTAGTAGTCGTAGTGTACCAATGTTTCTGTTGTAGATCGTGGCCTAAACTGCGTTGCAAGACAGCGGCGTACTTCATGTCCGGTTTCCTAGTCGCATCCGCTGCAATTGTCACTCCGAGAGCCCGATTCTCAGGATCTTCCTAACTTTTTGTCCTGTGTCCAAACCTCGCCTGTCAGGAAACGAAGAACAACAGATATCCAAAGACATGAGCAACTTACCCAGTTCATGAACCCTCTACAGTCAGGCGCACCACAATGACAAGGTATCCTCTCGGAAGGGTCATATTCAAGCGAGAACTTGTAGTCGTAGCACAGTTCTTCGCCTGCTTTGATATCTTTCTTGGCGTAGATCACAATGCGTTGCTTACCATCAAGGGTTATGATCTTTGTGTAGCAATTGGGGTCACAGCTCGCATTGATGAATCTAGCAACGTTCCCTTGTTTTGTAGCGTCGCACACACAGAGACCATCGATCCGAAACATGTAGTCGCTACCAATCTTTGCTTGTTCGTATTCCTTCTCTCTTTTTTCCGCCATTGCATTCCCAATGAGTTCACCTCGGTACTCGGCAATAACATCGCCGGATGAAATCTCACCATCTGCAAAAACTCCCCATGCATGAATATTGCTCCGATCGAAGCGAAGCTGCGACTCGCGACCCGCCAGCGTGTCAAAATTGAAACTCGCACCTCCCAGTAACGCCACATCCTTCACGAGACGTCGTTGATTGGCCCGAGCCGCTCGACTCGTAAGCGTCTTTTTGTCTTTGTCTTTTTCAGCAGTGATGAGACGGCAATTCTTTTCCTGTAGTTCCCTTATGTTGCGTATTCTTTCACCGCTACTATTTGTGGATTGCCGGGCGACAAAGAATCCTTCGCTACCAGCGGCTTTTGCAGATGCCATTTCCTTGTATTCCACCATTCTGCAGCATGTAGGCTTGAAAACAGAGTAGTCTTCCGACTGCCTCCTAGCAAGTCGCGGAGGAGCGCTGGAACCCGTTGGAACAGGAGATCGAGGTCTCGTGGCTGCACCTTTTGGCTTCTTTGTAGCTTTTCTGGACGGAGAAGTGTCTCTCTTTCGCTTTGGCGGTGCCTTTGCCCCACTGGATGAGTTTGACCTGCCACGATTCTTAGTCTTGACCGGTGGGCGAGGTTTGACTTTGGTGATTGGTTTGCTGGAACACTGAGATAAATTTTTAATGTCCAAAAAATCTGGAGGGATTCCAAAATGGCAAACAGGAATCGAATTCACCGTCGCGTCTGCGTCCACCAAAACAGCCTCTAGGGCATTATCAAGACTTGCCGAGTCTCCTGAAGTAAATTGGTGTGCTTTGCGATCCTTTTCAATGGCCGCACTGAAAACATCTCTTGTCAGAAAACGATCCGAAGTCGCGCTGCATTGGCGACAATCGCAAGTGTTGGTACAGCAGGGTAGGTTTGGGGCCTCCGTGCTTCTACCGAGCAAGGAATCAATTTTCTGTGAAAGATCGATACACGCATCGCACCAACCAACCCCAACCTTGTCTTCCTCCGAAGCAGCCAATTCTTCAGCCTGATTCAAGTGTTTTGTCAGGAGGCAATTTTCATTCTCGCAGAGGGTAACACGAGATCTCGGCAACCACGTGCGACAGCGATGGCATAAAGCCAATTTCTTTAATTTCTTTTTGGTCAGAGGCTGTGGGTCACGCCCCTCCCCGTCCAATTTTTTGGGCATTGTATTTTTCAAGCGAATTTGGCAGTCTCCACTCAACGAGTACGACGAATTTATCCGCAGCCCCACTAGAGGGCTTCCATTAGCAGCAGTGTCGTTTTCCTCATCGCGCTTGATCTGTCGACTGACAATGACCAGCTCTTCGATGGGTACTCGAAACACCACACATGATTGCGAGTCGCTGGCTTTTGCATCGTCATGACCATTTTTGCCGTCTCCTTCGTTGTCCGACTTCTTTCGCTTCCCAATCAGAGTCGAGTCGTAGTCATCGTATGCTTCCATGAAGTCCTGGTTTTCACACGATCGCCCCGTAACCGTGTGCTCCGGAAGAATGATTCGTCGTAAGGTGACCATGGCTAGAGTACCAGCCCGGGAGGAAGGAGCCACTTCGAGGACTTCACCAATAAAGCCACCACAAGATGCAAGCAAATTGGAGTAAACTTTGTAAAAGTCCAGCCTGTTTTTGTTGCAGATTGTTGTCGACTCTGGGACTGTATCATCCTTGGCATCCGCCAGATACACGTCAAAATATCTTGCTGCAAGCCACCGCCAATTCCGTTGTTGCTGTGCATTGTCATCATTTGCATTACCCATGAATTGTGTGGGCGCACTTGCTACTGCGACCGCGTTGTTGTTATTGGTGCCATTGGATTTCCGGTGTTTCTTCGTCGTGGTTGTTTTTGAGCCATTTTCTTTTTCCGAGTTGCCATTATTTGAACCATTCCCTTTCTTTTCTGTTGGCGGAGTGCCATTTTGGACAACCCCACTCCCCGCTGCCGCCCCTGTACCGTTCTCCATGGATGTCTTATCCGTATTTTGGCCATTATTTTCAGGCTCCTCGAGTTCGAGGGGTTGACCTGGTTGATTGGGAATGCGTTTTCGGATGGCCCATTTGGCAATATTATCTTGACTGGAGGCGTTGGTAGTAGCTGCCTCTGGGTCAGGAACAATGCCGGATGGATGTTGGAGCCAGATTTTGACCGTCACCTTATTCTTCCCCTTGATGGCCTCTTCATTCTTATACGCCCTCTTTGCGGATTCCTTTTTTAGCTTGTCAACGTCGACATCTTCATCCGTTCGCTCCAAAAATGGGACTTTGGAAAGAGTGTCGCGATCCACCAACAATTCTACTGCGAACCCAGCTGATTCCCTGCGATTTCTTCGATCGATCGCCCTCTGTTTGGTCCATTCCGAGCTGTCCATATCCAATCCATGTAGTGAAACTATCTCCCCTTCTACAATGTAGTTTTTGGTCTTGGTGGCGGTAGCATTCTTGTCGTTCGCATCTGCCACTCGTCTGGTGATACAACACCGCACCCGACGACCAATCAAGGCTAGCCCCTCATCCCGTCCTGGGATGGGATCCGTCCAAACTTCGGCATGAGCACCGGATCCAGCCAGACTGCGAAGAGCATACTTGGTTGGTTTGGCGGCACTTTCAGAAGGAGGCGGCGGCACAATCATGGTAACATGATTGCCGGAGCTCGGCTTGTATCGCAACGCCACAACGCATCCAACTTTAATTCGAAAGGGGCTGGGACGCTTTTTTGCTTTACTAGTCGACATGGTCTTGACGGCACTGTGCTACCTTCTTCTTCTACCTCCTCTCAATCCCAGACTACCCAATGTTTCTTCTGATCTTCATGCAAATCAATGCTATATCCCTTTCATCAACGAGAGCATCCAACAAAGCCGTCGCACCATGGTATAAGCCTTGCGTGTGGCCTTCAGCGTCGATATATCCGTATCTATAATGGCAGCAGTTACTATGTTTGTGGTTGAGTGTGGGTGGGCTGTCGATGCTTCGGGTTGTGGTGATGCGATTTTTCCGTTTCCATAAATAAATAAGTACATAGCACTGGGATCTCCACACGGAGTGACGAGTCGAGTCTAGCTAGCTAATAGAGTACCGGTGGCAGACGCGAGCAGTGCAAGATGCACCCAGGCTGACACATGAGCTACAATGTAAGAATTGGTAGCTAGCTGGCTAGTTGCTAGTGCCTGGATAGCTCTAGAAGAAGTTGATTACCTATCTATCGACGAGGAGCACCGAAGGGTGTGGCAGACCCAAAAGGAGGCGATGATCCAAAACCTCCTCCTGCTGCTGAGCCACCAAAACCACCAGGAGCTGCTGCTGCTGGGGGGGCGCCAAAGGGCGATGGCGATGCATTCTGAGCCAACGCCCCAAAGCTAGCACCACCAAATCCTGAACTTGAATTGCCAAAAGTTCCACCACCACCACCAGACATGCCCATTCCTCCTGGCATTCCAGAGCTTTGCCCCAGGGCGGACGGCTGGCCAAAGCCACCTCCTCCAAAAGGACTGGGGCGGGCGCCGCCCAGAGCTGAAGCTTGTCCAAACCCACCTGGAGATGGAGAACCAAAGCCACCGCCAGCAGGAGTGCCAAATGCTGGTGCGGGCGATGATTGCTTCACGAACATAGTCCAATTGTCGCCGTATTTGTGCTGCAAGTTGCTAAACAGCTTCTCTTCCTGGCCCTGGTACTTTTGCAGGATGCCGTCGATTTTTTGGATTTGATCTGCTTTTCCTATTTTCTGGTAGAACTGCACCAGCACGTCACGAGGTGGTCGACCGCCAAACAATTGCTGTGACCCCCCTGCAGGAGTTGATTGCATGGTTGGTCCCGCTGGAGCATTCCCGAATGCAGGAGTGGCAGGAGGAGCACCAAATGGAGACGGAGAACCGAATGCCGGAGCGGGGGCGTTTGCTCCAAAGGCTGGGGTTGCTGTTGCAGATGAGGATCCAAATGCCGGTGCCGGAGATCCAAATCCCGCTGGGGCAGGAGTCGACGACCCAAATGCTGGGGCAGGTGTTGGTGTAGAAGACCCGAACGCGGGCGTCGAAGATGCTGCATTTCCAAACAAACTTTGTGGTCCCTTTGCTGGAGTGGAACCAAAGGGAGAAAGGGCCGCAGGAGGCTTGGAGCTGTCAAACGGCGACTTCATTTGGTTCGGTTCGGACCCAGAAGGTGGTGGCGGCGGTGCACCTGTCGACGCCGACGTCATTGGAAATGGCGATGCCGCGGCATGGGAAGCTGCTGGAAGCTGCGCAGATTTCAGCGGATTTTCCACTTTGTACTTGTTCGCGAGCTTAGCAAACAGTTCCGGAATTTTATCCTGTAGATGATTTGGAGTAACAAACATTGAGACAACAGTTCAAAATCAAAACTGAACGACGACACCGCCGACACTTACGCTGAATTTTGCAAGATACTTGTCCACATCTTTGACCTTTTCTGGGTTGTGTTTTTGGTAGAACTCTGTCAATAAGCCCTTATAGTCTGGAGTAGAACCGCCAGGACCAGCCGATGGTTCGGAACTGCTTGGATTCACCTTTTCTCCGAAGAGCGAAGTGCCTAATCCACCCATGGAACCAAAAGGTGATTTAGAAGCGCTGTCAAAAGGTCCTCTATCTTTTCCTCCACTCGCAAGTCTTTTTGGCGCGGTGGTCAAGGCATCCTTGATAGACATCGATGCCATGGCGGGTCCCTTCAAACTTTGATCACCGGGCAATTTTGCAATTGTTGGTACCTTTGCCGCAGCGTCGGAATCGGCACTTGGGGTTTTCGTTGAGAAAGGGTTTGTCGGCGCTTTGCTAGAAAGTGGAGGGAACGCATCTGAGGCTGACTTCTTCCTCTCGTTTGCCGGTGGGCTTTGCTTGGGCCTCGATGGTGGTCGCGGTGAAACCCCGCGCCGTATCACGTCTGATGATTCTTTCACTTTTTCCGGTGTCGTTCCGAAGCCAGCAAGTGCCTTCCTCGACTCGCCGGCGAACGTCACCTCGTTGAGTCCTTCGGGCAATTGCAGAGACACATTCTTTGCTTTATCCAGCTCAGAAACTCTGTCCCAAGCTGAACGGGTTGCCATTGTCGGTGGTTGCGACAACAACAGTTGAGGGGTATTGGCCGGTGCGAGAGTAGCCAGTGGAAGGGCTGGAGTTGTTGAAGGAGGCAAAAGGAAGCTTTGTGTGGGCTTTCTGTTCGGTGTCTTCTGCTGCTTGGCAGGTTTTGCCTTCACAGCAGGGAACTGCTTCAACGATTTCTTTGTGACAATCTGACTTTGGAATCCCTGGAGCGATGCTTCCACAGCGGCCCATCTCTCGGCTTTCTTGCTTCGCGAATCATCATTGCTTGGTTGCACCTGGCGAGGACGTGAGGCTGAGCTGGCGGATCCTCGTACTGACAGTGGCTCGATCTTTGGAGGCTTTCTCGATCGATGTCGTTTGGCCGCGGGCGCCGCTTGGGAAGGTCTACTCGGGATTTTCTCGGACAGTTCACCAACCTTTTCTGCGAGACGCTTTGTCTCGGTGGAGAAAAGCTTGATTCTGCTGAATGAATTCACCAAGGTTTGCAGCAGGTCATTTCTCGCAGCGTCGGGATCAGTGGCACAGATTTTTGTGAGCAGAACAAGCCGATTTTTCACAATGTTCAAAAGCTTTTGAACTTCGACCGATTTTGTTGCGAGTGCTCGTCGCTGCATCTCTGAGTCACGATCCAGCGGTTGCGAGGCTAACAAAGCTCCCGTTCCTTCAGCGGTTTGCTGTGTCGACATGCTGGCGTCCACGAGATGACGAGCTTCAGCGACCTGCCTGGAAAGATCAGCCTTTCTCGACAACAAGAAAGCACTCTTTCGCCCATTCTCTGCGAGAAGTCCACTGCAGTCTGAACAGAGCGTTTGCATCTTCTGAATGTCGGCGACGAGGTTTTCGAGATGATCATGCAATGAATCCTTTGCATCAGGACGGTAATGGGCGATCCTGGCCAATGTCTGGTTCAAATTCTCGGTTAGGGCAAACAGCTGCTGCTCGCAATCGGAAATATTTTGCGGCAGAGCCAAACGCGTTGACGACCTTGAAGCGCTAGCCGGTGGGGACTTTGTAGGTGGTGAAAAGACCGGTGTAGGAGGTGATCGAGCGGGAGGAGACCCTATCGCTGAAATGCCTTGCTTCTGAGGAGTTACTGACATGTGCCCCATGCCTGGCAACGACGAAGATTGAACAGAGGTTTTCGTTTCTCCTTCAGCTGACCTGGCAAGCTTCCCTTTCCGGGATGCATCACCTGTTCCCACAGCAGCCCCAAATGGTGTAGGCGCCTTGTTTGACATGGGAGGGAAGGCGCTGCTTCCAGAACTTGCAGGTTTAGATGCAGAAGCCCCAAAAGGAGTTGGTGCCTTTGCAGACATTGGCGGGAAAGCACTGCTGCTCCCAGAGCTTGCAGGAGCACCAAAAGGAGTTGGAGCTTTGGCTGACATTGGCGGAAAGGCGCTGCTTCCGGAACTTGCAGGTTTAGATGCAGAAGCCCCAAAAGGAGTTGGTGCCTTTGCAGCCATTGGAGGGAAAGCACCACTACTTCCAGAGCTTGCAGTTGCAGGGGCGCCAAAAGGAGTTGGAGCTTTGGCTGACATTGGTGGAAAGGCACTGCTTCCAGAACCTACAGGTTTAGACGCAGAAGCCCCAAAAGGAGTTGGAGCTTTGGCTGACATTGGCGGAAAGGTGCTGCTTCCAGAAGAACTTGCTGGTTTAGATGCAGATGCACCAAAAGGAGTTGGTGTCTTTGCAGACATTGGCGGGAAAGCACTACTACTTCCAGAGTTTGCTCTTTTCGCCGTCGCAGGAGCACCAAAAGATGTCGGAGCTTTGGCTGACACTGGTGGAAAGGCGCTGCTTCCAGCAGAACTTGCGGGTTTGGATGCAGAAGCCCCAAAAGGTGTCGGGGACTTTGTTGACATTGGTGGAAAGGCGCTGCTTCCAGAGCTTGCTCTTTTGGCACCTGCTGCTGCTCCAAAGGGTGTGGGCGCCTTGGTAGCCATTGGTGGAAAAGCACTGCTGCCAGAAGAAGTTGATGGCTTGGCGGTGGCAGGAGCTCCAAAAGGGGTGGGTGCTTTTGTAGACATTGGAGGAAAGGCACTACTTCCACCAGAGCTTGCTGGTTTCGATGCAGACGCACCAAAAGGAGTGGGTGCCTTGGAAGACATTGGAGGAAAGGCACTGCTACCAAGAAGAGCTGGCTTGGTGGGGCAGGAGCTCCAAAGGGTGTCGGAGCTTTGGCTGACATTGGCGGGAAAGCACTGCTGCCAGAAGAAGTTGCTGGCTTGGCAAGTGCTGCTGCTCCAAAGGGTGTGGGCGCCTTGGTAGACATTGGTGGGAAAGCACTCCCACCAGTAGAACAAGCTGGCTTGGCGGTGGCAGGAGCTCCAAAAGGGTGTGGGCTTTGGTAGACATTGGGGAAAGGCACTGCTCCAGAAGAATTGCTGGCTTGGTGGTGGCAGGGGCTCCAAAAGGTGTTGGTGCCTTTGCTGACATTGGGGGAAAGGCACTACTTCCACCAGAGCTTGCTGGTTTCGATGCAGATGCACCGAAAGGAGTGGGTGCCTTGGAAGACATTGGAGGAAAAGCACTGCTACCAGAAGAAGAAGCTGGCTTGGTGGTGGCAGGAGCTCCAAAGGGTGTTGGGACCTTTGCTGACATTGGGGGAAATGCACTACTTCCACCAGAGCTTGCTGGTTTTGTTGCAGGGGCACCGAAGGGTGTCGGTGCCTTGGAAGACATTGGCGGGAAAGCACTACTTCCAAAAGAACTTGCCGGCTGGGCTGGTGCAGGAGATGCACCAAAAGGAGTAGGCGCCTTTGTAGCAGGGGCACCGAACGGGGTAGGTGCCTTGGAAGACATTGGCGGGAAAGCACTACTTCCAAAAGAACTTGCCGGCTGGGCTGGTGCAGGAGATGCAGAGGCACCAAAAGGAGTGGGTGCCTTTGTTGACATTGGGGGGAAGGCACTACTGCCAGCTGAGCTGGACACCTTGCCACTTCCACCAGCTCCAAAAGGTGTAGGTGCTTTGCTGGACATGGGAGGAAAGGCACTGCTTCCCACAGAGCTGCTCGTTTTAGTTGCAGTAGCCCCAAATGGAGTAGGTGCTTTTGTTGACATTGGGGGGAACGCACTGCTTCCAGAAGAACTTGCTGGCTTCGATCCTTTATCTGCTCCCTGTTTCGTGGTGGGTGCCTTACTAACACTGTCAGACTTTTGTGAGTCAGGCGTCTTCACCTCTGTTGTTCCAAATGTGAAGCCTGCACCCTTGCTGCCTCCTGGAGTAGCTTTTGCATCAAATGTGAACCCTGTAGTTGGAGCAGGTGCCCCAAAACTGAATCCACCTCCAGCTGAAGATGATGTGCCAGCCGCAGGAGCACCAAAAGTGAAACCACCAGAAGAGATCGCACCTGATGCTGCTGGAGCACTGCCACCTCCAAAAGTGAATCCTCCAGCTCCAATTGCCGAGCCAGCAGCACTGGAAGACGCATCATCTTTCTTGGCAGCATTCTCATATCCCGGACGTGGGGCCTCACAGGACATGCATTGTGTGGCATCTTGATTGTTCTGAACCATGCACACATCACATTTCCATGAATTTTTGTCCAATACATTCTTGAAGGCATCACCCCAAGTCCCCTTTGGTGGACTCACAGCTGCTGGAGCACTGCCACTTGCTGGCTGCTCCTGATCACCACCTTCCTCTTCACTTCCTGCAATGGATCCGTCGTCATCTCCAAACATCCAATCAATGTAGAAGCTGACAAACTCATCAAGTCGAAGCTTGCCGGGTTCTGATACAAGCTTCTTCAGCTTCACCCCATGGTCCTCTTTGCAGTAGGTTGATCCCAATGCGGAAAAGAGCTTTTCGAGCTGCGAGAATGACACAATATCCTCTCCATTCTCTTTTGTAGCCAAAGCCATGAAAGCCTTATGCGCCTTCTCCTTTTCTTCCTCAATCTCTGAGTCATCATTTGATTCATCGTCAACATCATCTCCCGCATTTTCAACCAGTGCTTGATACCACTTGATAAATGCTGAGCGCTCCAGCATGCCTGAGCCTGAGGGATCAATCAGCTTGCTTTGCTTATCCATCTCCTCTCCATGGAAACCCTCGCCCAACTCATCAATAAGGTCTTCGAAACTGCTGACTGGGAGCGACCCTTGATTGTGAGAATCGAAGGAATCAAACACACCCGCAGCCTTCTTTGCATGTTCGTTGTCCAGACTTGGCGGGATAGGCTTGGCCTGATCATTAGTCGACTTGTGCTTGATGCTTTCACTCGGTGTTGTTGATCCTTCCTTGTGCAATGATGGTGTCGGCTTGTCAGGTTGGAACTCAAAGCCAGAAGATGCTGCAGCAGATCCACTAGGCACCTTGACACCTCCAAAAGTGAAGCCTCCTGATGACGAAGCTTCAGCACTAGCTTGTGCAGTGAAGCCGAAAGTGGAAGGCTTTGATTCCTTCCCCAGAGAGGCAGAGCTAGGTGGTGCCCCAAATGTGAAACCACCTCCAGCTGAAGATGACGTGCCAGCCGCAGGAGCACCAAAAGTGAAACCACCAGAAGAGATCGCACCTGATGCTGCTGGAGCACTGCCACCTCCAAAAGTGAATCCTCCAGCTCCAATTGCAGAGCCAGCAGCACTGGAAGACACATCATCTTTCTTGGCAGCATTCTCATATCCCGGACGTGGGGCCTCACAGGACATGCATTGTGTGGCATCTTGATTGTTCTGAACCATGCACACATCACATTTCCATGAATTTTTGTCCAATACATTCTTGAAGGCATCACCCCAAGTCCCCTTTGGTGGACTCACAGCTGCTGGAGCACTGCCACTTGCTGGCTGCTCCTGATCACCACCTTCCTCTTCACTTCCTGCAATGGATCCGTCGTCATCTCCAAACATCCAATCAATGTAGAAGCTGACAAACTCATCAAGGCGAAGCTTGCCGGGTTCTGATACAAGCTTCTTCAGCTTCACCCCATGGTCCTCTTTGCAGTAGGTTGATCCCAATGCAGAAAAGAGCTTTTCGAGCTGCGAAAATGACACAATATCCTCTCCATTCTCTTTTGTAGCCAAAGACATGAAAGCCTTATGCGCCTTCTCCTTTTCTTCCTCAATCTCTGAGTCATCATTTGATTCATCGTCATCATCATCTCCCGCATTTTCAACCAGTGCCTGATACCACTTGATAAATGCTGAGCGCTCCAGCATGCCTGAGCCTGAGGGATCAATCAGCTTGCTTTGCTTATCCATCTCCTCTCCGTGGAAACCCTCACCCAACTCATCAATAAGGTCTTCAAAACTACTGACTGGGAGCGACCCTTGCTTGTGAGAATCGAAGGAATCAAACACACCCGCAGCCTTCTTGGCAACTGGACCTTCAGGGGACGCGTCTTTCTCAACCGTAGCAACTGGGGCTGCCATGTTGTTCCTTGGACTTTTAGGTTCCGGAGCTGTTGGTTGCTGGGTTTTCGTTGGCGGTGAGCTACCAAATAGAGGTTTTGCCATTAATGTATGGGAAGGGCCGTCGTTCTTTTTACCGAAAATGTTGAACTGAGATGGTTGCTCATTGGCGGGCTTGGCAGCTCCAAACGAGAAGGATGTTCCGGGTGTAATAGCCGGGACAGATGAGCCTGCTCCAAACGCCGCACCGGAGCCGAATGTCGTTCCTGATCCTCCAAAGGCAGCGAATGGCGATGGCTTCTCTTGAGCTCCAGCGGGCTGGCTGGATATTGCAAATGAAGACCCAAAGCTGGGCATGGCAGAGCCGGAACCAAACGAAGTGCCAGCACCCAACCCCCCGAAGGTGGACGTAGCTTTTGATGCCGAATTCGTTGCTGTATCTTCCTTTTCTGCTTCCGAATCCTCGTCGCTCTTGCTGCTGGCTTCGCTAGCGCTGTCGTCATCGTCATTCGGGCGAGAAAAAGTAGTCCTGGGACCACCGAAACCCCCAAAGGCATTATTCGATGGGGGCGCGTAAGGGCTTCCACCACCAGGAGCCGTCGGGCCAGCCCCGAACACCGACGACCCCGTAGACGCCGCGGCACCGAATCCGGAAAAGGTTTCACCAGATGTCTCAGACTTGGATCCGAAACCACTCGATGGGCTCTTTGCCAGCGCAGCGAATCCTCCTCCCGACGACATGGAAGCACCGAATGTAGATGTACCACTCGCAGCGGCACCAAAAACGCTTCCACTAGTTTGAGCTGGTGGTGAGGATTCTTTCGTCGTTGGTGCTGCTGGCGGCGGCGGCGATCCGAAGCCAAATGAGCGTGTGCCTCCCAAGGTGGAGGGGCTCCCAAAGGCTGGGGCTCCAAAGGAAGCATTGGCGGTAGTACCTCCGCCAAACGAGAATCCAGACCCAAACGCAGGTGCTGGTGCAGGTGAACCAAAGGCAAAGCCACCGCTGGCTGCGCTACTCGCTGCTGGAGGCTCGTCATTCAGTTTTGGCTCTGTCTCCGAACTGAGAGCACTTGATTCTTCTGGGACAGGTGCATTCGGAAGCACAGTTGCGGCAGAAGATGGCATAATGAAGAAATTAGCATCCTGCTCATGCGAGAATAGAGACGTGGAGAGCGACCCGTCGGTCGCAGCGACCAAAAGACATTTTTGACCGGTTCCCGGCGCAGTGAGAGTCCCAACTCCCATTGGATACATAAACTCGTCTTCATCGTCGGTGGGTGTGGTTGGGTTCGAACCGTCTGGGAATTCATAAATCTCCCATTCATCTGCTCCCACCTTTATGAGGAGAGCAATGTCCGATCCCACATTGGATGCGACGACAAAAAAGGAGACTCCCGCCTGCTGAGTGGTACAATCCGACGTAAAATAAACATGCCGTCCATGTTTGGGTACGCTGAAAAACGCCACAACGTCTCCTACTTCCGTCGATTTTGTTGGTTGGAGGGATGATGCATCCATATCCATGAGAAAGAAGATAGCCTCGTGATCTGCGCTGCAGTCTTCTTCATCATCGTCATCCTCTTCAGGAATAACGCGGCAATATCCAGCCGCCAACGTGCCTCCGTTATTGAACCAATCTAAATGAGTACACGACCAACCTCCTTCATCGTCCTCTCCAAGAAATGGCATTGTCGTGATTGGCTGCAGGGCATAGCCTGCCGAAATTTTGTAGATATGAATCACCCCAGAGGTATCCCCAATAGCCAAAGCATCATTGGTTCCAGACCAACTGGCACTGGCTACTTGTAGATCGGCTGGGAGTTTTTGGCGTAGCAGATCATTTGGAGAGGACTCCGCAGCGTTGAATAGTTTCAATGTGGACTGTTTGTCGCTATTATTCACAAGAATCAGGTTGTATCCCTGCGGTGCAAACGACAGAGACCGTACGGGTCCAGCAGCCGCGGCACTATTGGCTCGAGAAGCCGAGGGACTCTGCGACACATCGTCCACGACATGATCATGAACTTGAGAGAGAGACCAACGCTTCGAGAATCCAGACTGTGTCGCGTTGAAGCATTGCAAGGATCCATCGATACACGCAACGGCAACCAGCCGCCCATCGGAAGACGCGGCTATATTGACCACTGGCACAGATAAATCCAAAGAAAATTGAACTTGAATAGAGTCCCCAGTAAGCACCAAACTTTCCAGTGCCGTTCCATTGACTCGGTAGGCAATGCCAACAGTCTCAGCAGGGACGGCCAACACCTTCAAACCCGCACAGGTAGGCCGAATGCTTCTGCGGAGCAACGAGGTTCCCTCGAGAGGCGCATCCAATGGCTTGAGCCTCAGCTCTTCCGCAAAATCAGCCATCGCGCTTGTCGAGGGCGTGGATTGCTGCGATGGTCACTTGGTTGTCTTCTATTTCTATCTGGGGATTGCAAAAGATACCGTATTGTAATAGTCAGGTTTATGAAGTGATGGAGTGACAGTCTCAGAGTGTCTATGGGATTGTTTGGTCCTTGCAAGAAATGGAGCGCGAATAAATAAATAACTAAACGTGCTTCTCTCAACGACAGCTTCATAAGCCAGCAAAGCAGGTAATGACAAGATCCGCCAAAGATCATTTTTTCAATGATTAACGTAACAAATGTACTGGGGCCTACGTAGCGAAATGGACCAAGCACCGAAATGTACAAACTTTTGAGAGCAGAGCGTCAACCTGCATCGATGTCACAACGAAGAAGCACTCAATGCCCAACAGCTCGACCTATCGTTTAGCCCATCATGTCTAACTCAGTTGCTTCCGACAAAGCCATTATGCCCCCAGAAAAGAAAGCAAAAAGAAAGACCAAACCTGAAGCAACAAATTCAGGTGATGATTTCCTCAATCAAACCGATATTTGGGTCAAACAAATTCTGCCCTTCCTCGGCATGGGACATTATGTTTTTGTGGCACCTGTCTGCCGCAAAATGAAAGATCTCTTTGCAGTTTACTGCAAAACTGTGCAGAATCCTCCAATGGTCAATGGTGATGCTGATGAGGAAGGAAATCAAAATGCTCGCAAGGCAACTTTTTCGGACACATTCCACAGTGCAGTTTTCTCCTCTGTGCCCCGATCGGAGTACTGGTATACCCACCGTCATACTGGTATTTCTGGAGAGATCCATGGTGTTGTTGTCTGTTCTGCAGCTGCCAAAGTGGGCAGCCTTCAAGTTATTCAGTGGTCCCGAGAAAAAGAATTTGATTGGGATGAAGATACCTGTAAGAATGCAGCAGCATATGGCCATTTGGAGATTCTCAAGTATGCTTACAAAAATGGCTGCCCATGGAGTGCAACCACATGTTGCCATGCTGCTCAGAATGGCCATCTGGAATGCCTCAAATATGCACATGAAAATGACTGTCCTTGGGATGAGGAAAACACCTGCACCAATGCTGCTCGCAATGGCCATTTGGAAATCCTGAAATATGCCAATGAAAATGGCTGCCCATGGAGCACAACCACATGTGAGAACGCCGCAAGTAACGGCCATCTGGAATGCCTCAATTATTCACATAAAAATGGCTGTCCCTGGGATGAAGACACATGCAGATTTGCTGCTGGAAATGGCCATTTGGAATGCCTCAAATATGCCCATGAAAATGGCTGTCCATGGGATGAAGACACATGCCGATTTGCTGCTGAAAATGGCCATTTGGAATGCCTCAAATATGCCCATGAAAATGGCTGTCCATGGGATGAAGAAACATGCAGATTTGCTGCTCGCAATGGCCATTTGGAGTGCCTCAAATATGCCCATGAAAATGGCTGTCCATGGGATGAAGACACATGCATATTTGCTGCTGAAAATGGCCATTTGGAATGCCTCAAATATGCCCATGAAAATGGCTGTCCATGGGGCATATCCACCTGCTATAATGCTGCAACATTTGGCCATTTGGAATGCCTCAAATATGTCCATGAAAATGGGTGTCCAGTGCTTGAGGACATTTGCTGGGTTGCTGCTTGCAATGGCCATTTAGAATGCCTCAAATACACCCATGAAAATGGGTGTCCATGGAATGAATGATGAATACACATGTGAGGGCGCTGCTGCCGATGGCCATGTCGAGTGCCTCAAATATGCTCATGAAAATGGCTGTCCCTGGGGCAACGGCACATGCGAAGCTTCTGCTACCTATGGCCATTTCGAATGCCTCAAATATGCCCATGAAAACGGCTGTCCATGGGATGAAAACACATGCTGGGTTGCTGCTTGGAAGGGCCATTTGGGGTGCCTCAAATATGCTCATGAAAACGGCTGTCCATGGAATCAAAGTGTATGCTGCTATGCTGCTATCACAGGCCATTTGGAAGTGCTCAAATATGCCATTGAGAATGGGTGTCCAGGGGACATAGATTATCTACTCGGCGTTGGAACTTCACAGATCAAGGCTTGGATTCAAGACTTCAAAACCCAGAGCAATGCCTGAGGTTACTCCAGTCGGTTTTCTTCCAAGATTTGTGGAGAGAGACGAGTCATGTTGGGGTAAAGTGTTGGGTTCAAGAAATGTTGTCCCATATGGTTTTCTTGAGGTTCTTGTACTTCGTGTCAGCAGGATGCATAGTTTTAGTGTTAGCTTCACCTCTTCTGGCTGGCTAGTACCACTTTGCAACTCATGTGACTGCTGTGTGCTTCCCCCCTACATCTCACGGCCTGCAGGTCCTGGCTGTGGGGCAAGCTGGATGAACAGCCTGGGCTGCTCTCCTGCGAACTCATCGATGACATACCAGTATACCGGTAGTATTTTCTAAGTGTCTAAGCTATTCTACGCAATTTGGCTCGTCCGGTTTGGGTCCGCTCCCAGCTTCTCCCTCGTTCTACCAAACTATAACCTGGCTGCCGTGCTAGCTAAGCGATGAACCTCGGATGAACTCGACTAAACATTCACGGAGGGAGGATCCTTTCGCCACTTTTCATTTTGTCGAGATACGAAGTCGTCCACATCAAATGAATTGGGCCGTTTGTTGAACGTTTCCACTGTGGCAAATTCGCGGTCACACAGATACGAGTCAAGGACACTCTGGACAATCTTCCGTCCTTCCTCATCTTCCAGCCCGTTGTTCAAAATGTCACATCGTACCAGTGTCAGGTCCTTGGACTCTGCATAATCATCAAACACAGAAAAAGTCAACAATGGTTGTGCTGTCGTGGGAGTTGCGGGGGAGAGTGTGAGCTGGTTGGAGGCGTTACACGAAAAACTGCGTATAGATTTTGTCATTTTGGCACGAACCTGCAGATGGATCCATCTTGTAATCATCCAAAAGCGCCATGAAGAAATAAGAAGGGTCCTGAAATTGAGATATCATCATGAAGAATCCGTCGTCTCGAAAGATTGGCTGCACGAAAAAGGGACTTGGTTGATAAGATCATCGCCACGGTATGAGACGGCAAGGAAAGTGGCTCGGTCAGAAGACAAGAGGTTACGTTTTATCAAAATGAAATCTCCAAGTGCTCACCATGAGTTCGCTCTAGAGAGTATATTTTTTGCATCTTCTCCCTTGTAAGTCAGGCCATGGACACTATCCTGGAAACGATGTACGGAAAGACGCGAGAGAAAGTCGTGATCAGGTATCCAAAGGTGAGCGCCTCACATACGGTAGTGAACATTGCCACTGGGAAAGGAATTTTTTCTGGTCATTCCTCACCTTTGTTTCGTGATATGTGTACCAGATATCAGCAATCTCGGTACCCGTTTTGTTCTCCAGCAAATCTTTCTTCATGATTTCGTCAAGTGCACGAGGGCCAGCAAAGCTAAACGAGAGGTATCTCTTGGACGGAGAAAGGTTCGGTCTCCCTCCAACCCGAGCAGATAACAGTGCTGTTCCCATGGTTGGTTTTATCTTGCCGAGGACACGTTGAGCTAGCATTGTCGGGCAACTTCAGAAGGATAGATAGGTGAGGACGTTTGTAATACAACAATATCGATGAAGCAGAAGCAAATGGACCGAAATGGTAACTGACTTCGGATCTTCGAATTCAGTACTTTCCCTCGTTTATGTGTGTATTTAGTATTGGCATGATGTCATACCGCATGATGACAACCTAATTCTATTTGATCGCTCTGAATACCGGTACCGTGAAAGCTTTAACGCACCTACTACCATTTTAAAATAGTAGTACGGTAACAACGCAACGAGCGGACCACTGACAACCCACCTTTCAGGAACTCGATGGCCGCGATGAAGCCCCTCCAAACTCCAAAGATAGGAATGGTTCAACTCTAGCTAGTAGTACCGATAACTAACTAACTAACTAACTAACTAGCTAGCTAGCTAGATATCAAAGATGTTCCTGGCTGCAGTGGATATTGAAAATGAAACAAGGAGAAGTTGAGCTGGTTGAATCGAACAAACTTACAGCAATCAGGCCGAGTGTAGCCTCCCAGGGCAAGCTGGTTTTGAGGGGGAAGATTGCAGGGCGCTGTACTTGTCCTTTCGCAATTATTCTCCCAATTCTATCAGCTAGCTAATTTGCACCATCCAATTAAGGAGCCATCTCTGATGCGCATCAGACTTGGATACTCTGCCACTGTCAAACAAGCTCTGGTACACAGCCGAAGCAATTGGGAACGCAGCATTGAACTGTCAGGTAGTGTTTAGATTTTTCGTTGTTATGTATTCGTTACTGAAAAACAAGGCTGACTATTCACTTCAGTCTATTGTTTGCAAGCACACAAGCTAGCTGCACAAGAGGCATGTCGTCGCATTGGATTGGATTGATATGGTTGTTTTGATTGCTGCATGTTTCTTCTTGAACTATCATCGTATTTTTCTCTGATCCATTCCTACCAGCCAGCCAACCAAACCACAAATCATGTTCTACTACGGAACTACCACTTTTTTAGGTTTCGGAGACTTCCTCAAAGTTTCCTTCGACAAGGTCGGGGACATCATCGTCGTCATCATCTTCCTCCCCCTCGGGGATGGTTGCGGCTCCTTGTGCTCCAGCCTGTGCAGCCATGTTCTGAAGCTGCGAGAGGTTATCCATGCCCAGTTGGGAGACTATGGATGGCAACAACTCTTGTAGCGGCTTGGTCTCGGATGGACCCGAGATAATATAGGTGTTGGCTGCAATGGAAGCTTGGACTTTGGGGTTGACAAAGTGGATGACTTTGCCATCTTCTTTGAAGAGATTCACCTCTTCGATCCCAGGAATGTTGGTTGCCCCGAGCTTCTTGAGTGTGGTACTGAGCTTGGCGTCTGATTGAGCGGCAGCACTTCGAGAAGCGACCTTTTTCTTACGACGAACGGAACCCTTTCCACCCGTCGACGTCGAAGCTCCACCAAATCGCTTCGCGATCATCCGTGCTCGCGCTTCGGCAATATCAGCTGATGTGTCTGTCATGGTTGCTTGCTATTGTTGAGTTGGATTTGTCGTGGTTTCGATTGGATTGGAGAGTCAAGACGAAAAATAGCCAAAGAAATGAGGCAAGAGAGTAGGGGTAGATCAACCAAATGAGAAAATCATCAAGAGAAGAAATAGATAATCAAAAAGAGTAAATGAGTGAGTGAGAGACGACTTCACAAAATCACAACTCGATTGGTCCATGTCTCAATCATGCCAATGAATGGCAGAAATCCCTCTCGCAGAGTCCAGTGGCTACCGAAAGGGAGGGTTCGGAACAATTAGGACTGAATGCGTCCATGCTATCCTGTCGGCATTGCGCTCTACAATGATACCCAACTACAAAGGACTACATGAAACGAAATGAACTTCCTCCAATGCCAACACCATCGCGCTGTTGTCGTGCTCACCTGTCGTAGTTTTGTCGTCGCTAGCTTGCTCCCACACAACAGCAATGTTTGATGCTGCTGCTGAAGTTTCTACCGCGGGTACTAAACAGCCAAAGCATCGTGGATGGTGGCAAGCAAGGGCTCAGAACCACACATGAAGCGAGGCTGCCGAGCCACGGTGATGTTCCTTCAACTTTGGAAGCCATGGACAGACCAAATAGATCCTTAGCCTTAAGTTGGTTGTTAGGAATCAGGATATCCAAACGCAGCTTCCTTTGGCAACTAGTAGTCTAACTTGTCTCACCGTCCCCACAACATGTTGTGAATGATTGACAATGGCGGCCGCTGTTCTACCCGCCGCTGGAGGCCGAGAAACCATGGATGTCGACTCTATAGATGACAAGGAAATCGCAGAATATCGAGAGCTCATCGAGGAGCTTGGAACCTTCCCGGTGAGTAGTTGTATCATAGTGTTTGAAAGACACCCATTTCGATCTTTCTCAATCCGATAGAAACACTCTCATCTTTCCACTTTTATTCATGTCGTTTGTCTGCTTGCTACCGTATTTCTAGGATAAGGTCCTGATCAACTGCCTCACCATGATTGCGGAAGATCACTCCGAATCCAAAGAAGCCGCCAGGAGAGTGTACGATTGCATTCGAGAAAAACTGCTCTCCTCTTCCGGAGATCACAAACTGCCCATCATGTACGTGATTGACTCCATTCTCAAAAATGCCCGAGGCGCCTACATTGGATTCTTCGAACAGGATGCTCCCAAGTGGATGCCATCGGTATATCGAGCATTGCCTGACGAAACCAGACGGAACAAACTGAAAAAGGTATGGAACACTTGGAAGGATTTTTCCTTGTTTGCTCCTGACAAGTGGAAGGCCATGGGAGAATGCTTCGAGTCGGACAATACTGATGGCAGTACATCGCCACGATCTTCCTCGCCGTTGGGTGGATCCAATCTAGTGGCTGGGATCCCACGATCGGTAAGATTCATGAATTCATTTTGATTTTGATGACATTTGGCAGTATCAATCATCACGCTTACTTTAATCTTTCTGTGAATAGAAAACGGGAGCGCTGATACTAACAACCTCACTGCGAAAAGAAATGCAAAAAATATTGGATGAAATACAAAATGATATCGACAATGAACTGGAAAAAGTTTCACTAGAAAGAATTGCCGATATCAACCCAGATCTATTGGCCAACATTAAGAAGGCGGCCGAAGATACCCTCCGAGGGAACCAACAATCTACAGGAGTGGAAGGATCCGGTGGTGATGGTGGAAACGACAAGGATCCAGTTCCATTGAAACCGGCCTTCTTGGCAGAAATGCGAAGTGATCAAGTAGTGGAACGATCCAAAGCATGGGCCAAGGTGGATGCCAAACCGGTGGAACTGTCGAATGAAATGATCCAAAAACTGCAAACCAGTGTCAAGGAGAGTTCGTCTGCCGATGCACGTTATTTTCAGTCAGACGCCGTGGACATGACGCGGGTACTGGCGGCGGCATCGGCTACGGCGACTCTCTTGACAACGGCTTTGGAACGGAGGGAAACCCAAGACACAAAAGCGACTCAACAAGCCATGCAACGAAGTGGTGGAGCTGCCGCAAACGCTGCCAGATCGGGATATGCCACGGTGGACAAGAGTCTCTTCACCAACAACGGGATCAAAACAAAGAACTTGGCACTCATTGGGATGCTCTATGAAGTTGGATTGCCTTTTGTTAGTTCGTCGGATGGACGCAGGTTCAAGACACAGCTGGAGCTGTCGAAGCACCTGGACAGGCTCTTCAAAAGAAGGTGAGTTGAATTGTTTGGAGCCGCCATGGGTTGCACTCCCCGTGAATCAATCTTGTCTTTCGTCTCACATGCTTCCATTTCCTTCCGTAGTCAAATTGAAAAGTCCATGGCAAGAACCGAAGAGAGAGGATGGTACTGCTCGGATCGGGTTTGGACGATGGAAGCAAAGGAAGAAGATATTGTTGACAACAACGCTGCCCTGAACGCCAACTCGGCCACAGAAGCAACGTCGACGGGTGAAGACGATGCAAATCCTGACTCTTTCACGGAAGTTGCCGACGAAACGAGAGATAAATGCGTGGTCTGTGGCATCAATTTCAAAATGTTCTTTGACAATGACGATGGTGCCTACAAGTACCGAAATTGCCGCGAGGTCGAAGTAATGAATGATGATGTTGCCGAAAACGAGAGTGACATGATGCTGGTGCACGTCACATGTTGGCGAGGCCTCGGTTCACCCGCCACCCTGGACATTGACCAAACTCTGAGGGACTGATCCTTCCAGCACAATTAAGCTAAGCATCGTCTTTTTGCATTCTTTGTAGTACACAAACAAGCACAAGCATATCCAATCGAAAATGATATTCCCGCCGTAGCAACCAAGAGATATTCCAGCGTCCGCTGCGAGCTGGTAGCATTGTTCTGAAGACCGTTTCTCCTTAAATTTTTTAACCAGGGAACCAAATGCAAACCTGTATATTTCTCACTGAAGAGTGACGTAGATTGCTAATTATAAGTTTCATCATCCATTCTCCTCCTTGTACATTGACCAACTCCTTGCCTCCATGCTGGCAGCTCTAATCACTGCCAAAGTGACCTCCCTTTCCAAGGGCAAAGTCCGAAAGCACCTTAATGGTCTGTTCCTTCTCCTTAACAACAGTCTTGACGAGATCCTTAATGGAAATCATACCTACAACCTTGTCATCTTCGTCTACCAAGGGCAAGTGGCGAATATCTCCTTTAAGCATTTTTTCCATGCATTCTTCGACGGAGGCGTCGGTTTTGGCAGTCACCAGCTTTGCAGCCTGAGTGGCAATCTCCTTGACAGCGGTCTCCTTCGATTTTCGTCCCAGAAGTGCGACCTTGCAAACGTAGTCACGTTCACTGATAATTCCGGTCATGTTTCCTACAATAATGAATAAATGACATTTTTAGTAGGCCACAAACAGAAAGATACTCACATTCCGTGCATTCACGGGATCCCCCCAAAACCTCTCCTTCAGAATGCAGAAAAACCTACCAGTACTGTCGGTGACAACAAGACAACCAATGTTGAAGGCTGCAAACTTTTGCACGACATCGTAGACGGTCGCATCCTCATTGATGGTGTAATCGATGGAGCTGTATCCAGAAACTTCTCTGGCATCCTCGGCGGTCAAAGCCTCTCCCACTGTCACCATGGAACGGGGAGCAACCAGCTTGCAGGTAGTTCCCAAAAAAGGAGTAGGTCGAACCACGGCTCGGCGAAGGATGGTGGAGGAAGCTCGGCTAAACATGGTAGATCTAAAGGTCAGTGAAAAGATTCAAAGAATGAGAGAGTGGTGGGGAGAACAAGGAATCTGAGTATTCTGCGTTTCCCACGGACGAAGCGTTTTGCAGCGCTACGCGGCTGTGACGAGTTCGCGAGTGTGGATCATCACTGACGTCACTTTTATGCAATCAATTCGAAAGTGTGAAAATGTCTCGATTCGATTGAATTTCGTCTCCCGGAGACGACTTGCTTTAGGGGTAAGGGTACTGTTGGGGGCAGAGGTTTGAATTATACCCGGCGTGCAATACTTAGAGGCCTCTGTAGAAGTCTACGTATTTGACTAGTATTGTATTGACGGGATACAGTCAACGCATGTACATGCACATGATACTCGCCTCACTTTTTCCCACAAGTTTCGCATGGATGAAGTATGAGAAAGGGAGTGGTACAGGTGTAAGATATCGATATGGCAGTGGCAAAACAAATACTACTATTTTACTATACATCTGTACCATGGTTTGTAAATAATTTACATTATTCCTGTTTTTATTTATGCCTGCTGCGGTAAGGTTGACATGTGTCACGAATCATTGAAAAGTACACTTAACTCTGCATAGAGTAGTAGCCGCTTGTTGCTGCAAGCGTCGCTCCGTGGACGCGTCATGGTCGCTCCGTGAAAGAGGCGCCGTGGAAGGAGGAAAAAGAAGAAGTTGACTGAATCGATCCGTCGAACGGAAGAAGAGGGAGAAGGAGCAGTGCCGCCGCTTCCAGCCTAGCCCAGCAAGAGGCAATCCGTCGAACGGAAGAGGAGCCTGTCATTGTGGAAACGTCTTCAAAGAGGAGTAGCCGCTGGAACGAGGAGAAAAAAAGCATCTTGATGTAAAAGATATCGAAACAATGAACGAAAGAGGAGGATACGAGTGGCTTGGATACATGTTTATCAGTCGGTGGCCATCCCTCGTCCTCTCTTAACCAACCATGTGTGTTGTCAACGTGGTTTGTGGGAATGAATCAACAAAAGCCGTATCCACAGCTGCAACACCATTTTTCCACATTCTGAGACAATTCCTATGGCTATTTGTTGCACGAGAAGATGGAAAACTGGACTTGTTGCTAGTCAACTGGTTGTTGTCTAACGCAACGTTAAGAGAGGGCCAACAGTCCTCTCCGACTGACTCTCCGACGCACGAAACAACCTCTTCTACTGTCGACTGTCGATCCTCTCCATAAATTCAACAATCAACCATCGAAACGCGAAAGCTATGCTCTTTTTACTCCGTAATCCACACTCCACAATGGCGGATTCGAGCCGGCAAAACAATGAGAGTCAGTAGAAGCGGTAGCTGTAACTGTAACTGTATGCATAGCTGTAGCGGTTGGCTCCGTGCTTGGAGTTTGTCATGGTCCACAAAAGTTTTCTTCTTTCCACGTGAAATTCAGCATACCGGTACTGGACTTAGAGAACCGAGAAAAGACTTTACTAATGCCTGTGCAGGATTGCGAATGTCCTATTCTTACTGGTCAACCAAAAGACATAAGGTAAAGCATTTTAATCCTGCATAAGCACGTGGTTGCACCCCTTAGATAAATTTACTATATATATTATTGTACAAATCTACTTCAAAGTGCAGTCATACTTGTTCTAAATTGGACCAAACTATTTATGCATCTCACAAAAAGTATAACAAAAATGAAATACACGTTTAACATAGGGTATATGATGTTAAATCGTGAGCCGTTTCGGGGCGAAGCTGAAAGGGCGCGAATACTGTTTCAATAAAGCGAGTCTGGTGTTGGTAATAAAAGATTTATGGAAACGGAGACGACGCAGGGGGCGTATGAATCAATCGAATGATCAATCGAATCGAACCAAGCCGCTCAGATTGGTGAAGGGCACAGCTGCACCGGTACCACCAGGTACTGGTACCAGTACCGCACAGTACGGGTACCACCACCAGAACCGGTTTGTTGCAACCATATCGCGAAACAATGACCCAGAAGCATACGGTAGGTAAACGTTGACTCTTGCTAGCTACTAGAGCTAGGAGATTGATGCCTCCACTTTCAATTCATGTCTAACACATTACTGGCATCTACATAAAATCGTATGATCTACATAAAATCACCCACAAAAAGTGAGAATGAAGTTTCTTCCAAGAAAAGCCACATCAAAATAGGCTCCCTTTTGCTCAGGGGCGCTGCTGTGGCTGGATGGGAGCAACTTGCCATTCTGGCAAAGCCTCTAGAACTTGTGCAAATTGCAAGCCTTTCTTTTTAAGAATCATGCTGATTGGTTCACCACCTCCCATCTCCCAGCGGGTAACACCAACGCAGAAGCCATGGATCCCAAGCGATACCTTGGATTCAGACAGCTTGACTTTGTATTCCATGGTTAGGCTCATCTCCATGTCTTGGCAAATTTCTGAAGAATCTTGTATGCCTATAATATGTGGAAACAGTGAGTGGTCCATTCGGCCCGTTGCCAGGTCTGAATTACAACCACCCGAATTGAAAGTCTGCAAAGTTTGGCTTTTGTCTTCATCTGTGTGTGGGGGATACATCTCTTCATCGGATTCAGGAACATCTACCAATTGGATGACCTTCCTGTCCGGCAACCTCATTAGGTGCACTGTTCCCTTCCAATGGGCACCAATGAGCTGAGGGTAAAAGTAGCTGACAGAACGAAACTGATCGTCGTAGAATTGTTGGTAGCTGGAAAATGAGCCTTCAAAATTGTGGAAACCCCAAATAGTTTCTTGGAGGTGGATTGATTTTGCCTCTCCCTCAGAAAAGAATCCAGGAATGGCATTGCCTGGAATAGCCTTGGAGAAGAGGATTTTGTTGTCCATTGTGCGGACATCCACAATCATCACATAGTCTTTGGGTGCATATGGTAAAGGATCCGGTGCATTGTGGCTTGGGGCTGGATAGGCAAAAGTGAGGAAGTAACTTTTGGGCGTCATTTCTGTGGCTTGAAGCAGCACATTGGTGTTACAGGCCCAGTGGTTGAGGCAGAGATATTTCCAAACATCATCATCTTCTTCATGGTTGTCCTTGACGGCTGGGCTTCCAAATGCCGGGATCTTCCAATGACGGTTTGGCATTGTCCAAAGAATCCTTCTTGGAGTGCTTGGTTGACTCTTTGCAATAGCAAATAGCCTCGGGCACATCACGCTTCTTGCTAGAGAAACTGACGGGGTCTTGAGTGGTTGGAGGTGGGTTCGACATGATCAACTAGTTCAAAGGAGATGGGAAGAAGGTGGATGATAGCTTTTCGTGCATTGAGGAGGAGGAAAGGGGAAGCCACCGTACATGGGAAGACACGAAGCCAACAGGAATTTCGGATCCCTAACCCTATAAGCAAATGAGTGAAGATCTGCAAAGTTTGGTGGTGACTGAAGAGTCCAATGGCTGGGTGTGAACTTGTTGCTACCCTACTCCCACCATCAGGTTGGATAGTTTTACGCAGAAAACACAGCTGTGCGCTATAGTTGTTTTCTTGGTGTTGTGTTACAATCGTTCCTTTGATTTGTCTTCGCCTAAGATTTTGTTTACGCATTGCTATCAACCGCGCAGCCACAGCTAAGCTTCAGCACTGCTGCCGTATGCTCTCATTGCTACCATCTTGTTATTGAGGCGTCAGATAGGCGAAACGACGGTAGGGAACATGACATTCAATCCGTACCTGTGATATATGCCATAGATTCGGATGCTTTGGGCAAGCCCTAGGTTGCCACGCCATGCAACGCCTCAGAAATATATGTTGTGCTACACCGATCTCACTTCGTCGTTAAGCCGTCATTTATTTTGTTAGGAAACTGCAACGACACATCCAAAGACACGCACCTGAGATGTTCGGGACATGTTGCAGTGATCCAGATGGTGCTCTTCAAAAGACTCTCCTTTTCCTACAATCCTTCCTACTACCAATCCCTCAAGCCAATGCCGTCACCAAGAATGCCAGCAACCTAGCTCCACCAGTTGAAACCGCCAGCATCTCCACCACCAGATCCATAGTAACTACGATAATCCCATCCACTCGTCTCATCACCAGGCTGTGCCTGACGCTGCTGTTGTTGTTGTTGCTGCTGCTGATAAGGAGGCTGCTGTCCGTAGTGTTGTTGCTGCTGCTGATGTCCGCCTTGATTGTGTCCTCCTTGGTGATAGCCCCCTTGTTGTCCTCCTCCTCCACCACCACCACCTCTTCCGTAATGATTGTACTGCTGCCTCTGCTGATGGTGCTGATTGTGATGTTGCTGATTTCCGTAGTAACCACCACCGCCACCCTGTCCGCCCGGCGGTCCGTAATTGTTTTGTTGGGGTGGAGGCGGGGCTCCACCAGGGGGAGGAGGGGGCATCCCTCCCGGCGGTTTTCCACCGGGTGGCCCTGATCCCTGTGGTGGCGGGGGCAACCCAGCGGACGGAGGCGGCGGTGGACGCCCGCTGTTTGTGGGTGTGGGCGGAGCCGGTGCCGACGGGTTGTTGGTCGCTGTGGCCTTCTCCGCCTTTTTCCCATCCAATTCTGCCATGAAGGACATGTAGTCGGAATCCAACTCTTGTGGATTCTTCTGATCGCCGGCGGGTGCCTTTTGCGTACAATCACGAGTTGGATGCGACGTATCACCGCAAATGGCACACTTGACGGCCATCGACTGCTTGTTCATGCTGAACCTCTTAGGGCACTCAAAGGAGCGATGTCCCTTTTCGGCACAAATCTGACAAAACTCGTCTTCCTTCAAGGTACCGTTGAGAAGGGCCAATTCCCGCAGTTGGTTCTGCTTGTGCACGTTCTTTTCGTCATCAATGACCACCAACATTTGCTCAATCATATCCGTGGCGGCATCGACCGATTTTTGGTCGTCACCGGTGATGACCACATGAAGCGGTTCGTTGTCTCCTTCCATCAACTTGCCGTCCCGTCTACCTCTGGCTCCCTCCTTGACCGAACCACGGCCGCGAATGGCAATTTTGCATCCAGTCTTTGACTCTAGTTCCTTTTGTGTTTTCCCTCGTGGTCCAATGATGAGTCCAATAAAGTTGTAGGTTGGGTGTTCTTCCACTGGAATGCGAATCTTTTTGCTCCTCTTGCGTTTGAAAAAGGCACTCTTGCGGGTTGCAGGGTTCAAGCTCATGAGCTCTTCCAGAATATCTTGGCGTTCCGCCGAGAAGCGTTCTCGCCAACGAACGGCGCGGGTGTTTTTCCTCTTTCCGTCGGCTCCGTAGACTGCAACAATACGTGGTCAATTCATCGAGAAGAAAAAGAAAGACAAACAGAATCAATCAAATATCATTCAGCATTGTTTGCTCGGATGAAATAATAGGGTGAGATGGCACACGAAATAATAACAAGGCTGCTTACCGGGAGGTGGCGAGGGTGACCGATCACGATGTCCACGAGGCAACGCGTCCGCACGAGCAGCCTCCGCTTCGAGATTGTTGAGCTTGTCGTTGATGACACGCAATCGCGATTGCAACGACGCCATTTTCTGCTGATCCTGAGGACTCAAATTGGTCGGCATTCCAGGCAATCCGGGCAACGGCACCATGGGCTTGTTCTGATGATGACTATTGTGGTTCTGGACCACGGGAGGTGGCGCTGGCTGGTCACGACCCCACCGAGATCGGCGCTTGTTGGGTTCGTTACTATTGTTCGCATTATTGTTGCTGCTGTTGTTGTCTTCTGCGTTGCCCCAACGAGACCGACGCTTGCGAGGAACATCGCCCTTTTGAGAATGCTGCAGATACGCCTTGCGAGCGTCCTTCCATCCCGGCCAATTCAACACTTCTTTCCACAGACTGGGATACGACCCATACTTGTTTCGCAACGCCGTCGCTTCGGGGTTGTCACTCATGAACCAATTCTTCATGACAACATGGTCGCCGCGGATCGTAGCCACCAGCTCGGCGGCTTCCTCTCCGTCTTGCCCCATCTTATCTTGATATATAATCAAACTGTTGAGCAACAAAGAGTCTTCCACTATCTTGGATATTACCAGTACTAGCTAGCTAGTACAGTACAGCAGCTGGAATGGGAATCGTACAGGCATCAACCAACTGAAAAAGCAGTGAACGGGTTCTGCAAGTTGTGGCAGGAGGCGGTCTGTTCGGACAGGAGGACGAAGCGCCGGGAGGCACGACAGACGGATACCGGTATCCCTATCCTCCAGTTGACGAAGCCACGGTCTGTCGGCGCAGTCAGCCTGAAACGCTACTGGGCATCATACGGCACTCAAGAATTTATCTGCAGAACGGGTGTATTCACTTTGGTACAAGCTAAAGGTTACTGTATGATAATTTTTGAAAGATTAGTTGTGGAAGTCGCCGCTGCAATTTTTACTCCATTCCACTACGTTTATGCAGGCTATCAATTCCCAAACTCCTTGGAACCACTGACAACATCCTCCCAATGTGAGCGCTTGCTAGTAGGCTTCAGGAAGAAATTTATTTTTGGGACTCCATGTGCTCAATGAGGTCAAGCACTCGAGTACTGTATCCAGCCTCATTGTCATACCAGGAAACAAGCTTCACAAAATCATCAGTCAAAGCAATTCCTGCCTTCTCATCAAAAATAGAGGAGTGGGTATCACCAATGAAATCAGAAGAAACAACATCCTCATTGGTGTATTGAAGGACTCCAGCCATGGGTCCTTCAGATGCAGCCTTGATGGCAGCACAGATGGTTTCATAAGAAGCACCCTTCTCCAATCGGCAGGTCAAGTCAACAACAGACACATTGATAGTGGGGACACGGAAAGACATCCCAGTGAGCTTGCCATTCAACTCGGGAATGACCTTGCCAACAGCCTTGGCAGCTCCTGTGGAGGACGGAATAATGTTGTAGCAGGCAGCACGTCCTCCTCTCCAGTCCTTCTGGGATGGCCCATCAACAGTCTGCTGGGTGGCAGTCACAGCATGGACAGTGGTCATCAAACCCTCCTTCAAGCCAAATTCATCATTGATCACCTTGGCAAGGGGAGCCAAACAGTTGGTGGTACAGGAAGCATTGGAGACAACATCCATGGAACTCTCATACTTCTCAGCATTAACTCCCATCACAAACATGGGAGCATCACCAGAGGGAGCAGAAATGATGACCTTCTTGGCACCACCTGTCATGTGCTTGGAAGCGCCTTCAGTGCTGGTGAAAACGCCAGTAGATTCCACCACATAATCAGCCCCGGCATCTCCCCATTTGATATTGGAGGGGTCCATTTCACCAAAAACCTTGATGGGTTTTCCTCCAATGCTAATAGTTCCAGCATCTTTGTCGTGAGAAACTTCTTCACCCGCACGGCCATGTGTTGAATCGTACTTGTACATGTATTCCATGTACTCGACAGGAATAAAAGGGTCATTGACAGCCACAATGTTGATATTTGGTTTGTTGGCAGCAGCCCTCATCACAAGGCGGCCAATACGGCCAAATCCGTTGATACCTAAAATGGATAAAATGAGGGGCGGATGAGATATTTTTGTCTTCATAAAGATGTCGATAATCGTAGATAATTTCATGGAACAGTCATATCTGAAGTGATTCAATCGAAGGAACGCTTCAATATTATTTTTCCAGAATCTTCTCCATTTCCGATAATATCTTGTGGAGCCGAGGGCAGTTTCTTCATGTTCTCAGCCCGGGCAAACAATACAGAAAAAACCTTTGGGATATCTCTTGCAAAACAGGATAGTCGCCTTACCGATGTTGATAGACATGATGGATTCCTTTAGTTTCTTCGAAGGTAGAAATTGTGGGTCGACCAGTGTGCTGGTGATGGCTGGATGGGAGATGAGAGGTTTGCTTTCCTCTCGAAAAGGTGCGGAGTTCGCGAGGTATCATATCTTGTTGTCATCCAAACGTCATCGTTTTGCACGCCAAGTCAGTAGTGACATCATGAAGACGTCTATATTGCGTCTCATAACTCCTTTGCCAATGAAAAGGGTCATAATGGGCTGAGTCACTTCTAACCGGCACAGCAGAGCCATCCAACCGCAAGTACAAATACGTGTTCGGCAGGTGCGAAGGTTCCCACACAGATGATACCTTTTGGACCTTTTCCTCCCTATGACGATCTTTCCTTTCCTGCCGGCAATAAAGGATTCTTGGGCTGAAGAAACAAACAACACCCATCAATGATCAATGTCCTGTCGACAGTCATAAAATTTTATCAACGCTCTATCTTGTCAAAAAAATTGAACTATGTTGTTTTCTTCGAAAGCCCTTGCCTCTTCTATCGCCAAGGTCTCCTCCCGAGGTTTCCATGCCTCCGCTAGGGCTGAGGCCCGCAAGTTTTTCGTGGGAGGAAACTGGAAGTGCAATGGGTCCGTTTCCCAGACGGAAGAGCTTGTTTCCATGCTGAACCAATTCTCACTTACCCAGGAAACCGAGGTGGTTGTCTGCCCTTCCCAAGTCCACCTTCAAGGTGTCAAAGCGGGACTTCGTACTGATGTCGCCGTGGGTGCTCAAGATTGCTGGGTTCAGGGAAATGGCGCATTCACTGGTGAAACCAGTGCTGATATGCTCACCGACATGGGTGTTTCATGGGCTATCATTGGACATTCTGAACGTCGTGAAAAGGGTGAAAGCGATGTCGAAGTTGCCAAAAAGGCCAAGTATGCTCTCGATAAGGGATTGTCTGTCATGGCTTGCTGTGGAGAGCCCTTGGAAAACCGCGAAGCTGGAACTACCAATGATTTCGTTTTCCCACAAATCAAGGCATATGCTGATGCTTTCACCAAGGAAGACTGGAAAAAGGTTGTCATTGCTTGTAAGTTTGCTTCTTCAAACGTGAGGAGGGGGATATTTTTCGATTTTTGTTCGGGCTCTCAATATTTGCCATTCCTTTGCATTTTGTTCGAATTTAGACGAACCAATCTGGGCCATCGGAACCGGTTTGACTGCCACCCCTGAACAAGCCCAAGAAACTCATGCTGCTATCCGTCAGTACCTTGGAGAAGTCGCTGGGGCCGACGTTGCCGCCGAGACTCGTATCCTTTACGGAGGAAGTGCAAGCGGAAAAACTGCCCCTGGCCTTTCTGCAAAGGAAGATATTGATGGTACGAAAATGTTGCCTTAAGAAACCTTTCCGAGTTGCGTTGTATTCTAATCTTTTTCGCCTCTCCTTGTCAAAACCAGGATTCTTGGTTGGTGGAGCTTCACTCAAGCCTGAATTCGCTGACATTATCAACTGCCAGACCGATACCAGGTCCATGAAGCCAGTAAACATTGGTATGCATTGATTTTGGAGTAATGTAAAAGTTGGCATTTAGAAGATAAACCATCCCTCACTTTTCTCTGCTTGCGTTTTATGCTACCAGGTATCAATGGATTTGGCCGCATCGGTCGCCTTGTGATGAGGGCTGCTCAGAATGATCCCATGGTCAACATTGTTGCAGTCAATGATCCTTTCATTCCTGTTGAGTACATGGAATACATGCTGGAATTTGACACAACCCATGGACGATTCCCTGGTTCAGTCAACATGGTTGATGACAAGACTCTCAACATTGCTGGCAAGCCAATGACCGTCTTTGGTGAAATGGACCCCTCCAATATCAAATGGGGAGATGCTGGGGCTGATTATGTGGTGGAATCTACTGGTGTTTTCACCACCACCGAGACTGCTTCCAAGCACATGGCTGGAGGTGCCAAGAAGGTCATCATTTCTGCTCCCTCTGCGGATGCTCCCATGTTTGTGATGGGAGTCAATGCTGAGAAGTATGAGAGTTCCATGGATGTTGTCTCCAATGCTTCTTGTACCACCAACTGTTTGGCACCCATCGCTAAGGTCATCAATGATGAGTTTGGTTTGAAGGAGGGTTTGATGACCACTGTCCATGCAGTGACTGCGACCCAGCAGACTGTTGATGGACCTTCCCAGAAGGACTGGAGAGGAGGACGTGCTGCCTGCTACAACATCATTCCCTCCTCCACAGGAGCTGCCAAGGCTGTTGGCAAGGTCATTCCTGAGTTGAATGGCAAGCTCACTGGAATGTCCTTCCGCGTCCCTACTGTGGATGTGTCTGTTGTTGACTTGACCTGCCGATTGGAGAAGGGTGCTTCTTATGAAACCATCTGTGCTTCCATCAAGGCTGCATCTGAAGGACCCATGGCTGGAGTTCTGGGATACCAAAATAAGAATGTTGTTTCTTCTGATTTCATTGGTGATGCCCACTCCTCTATTTTTGATGAGAAGGCAGGAATTGCTTTGACTGATGACTTTGTCAAGCTTGTTTCATGGTACGACAATGAGGCTGGATACAGTGCCCGTGTACTGGACCTTGCCAAGCACATGGAATCATCCAAGTAGATGTGGTAAGCATTTAACGTAAAAAGCCGGTGTAAATATTTTTAACTTGAGTCAGAGCTACTGTCTCTAGTAGAGACACTGGTGAGGATACGGTAGCGGTTCTGCAAAATTGGTTGCACGTGGGTGGAACGGCACATGTTCTCTCTGGTGTTAGTAGGCCAATCTTCACTTGGCGAGTACTGTTAGGACCCGGCAAGGTATCTCTATTCAGATCCTATGGTATCTGCAGCCATTGAAACAAAGATAGTCTGACTTTTACGGATGGTAACGTTTGTCACCATTCCTGCTCAAAGGCAGCGGTCAGCTTTACTTCTCCCTTGCTGGTACATGCCTGGTACTGCAACGTTTGCCAATATCGGTGGATACAACTAACTTGAGACCATTGCAACTGTTGTATGCAAGTCCTCGAACACAGCTAGTCAGCAAAACTTCTAGAGGGTACCGCACCGCTTCGTATGCACCGCATGGGAGACGACGAATTATCAATAGTTGTCGTAACCTGCAACTCCTATAGCAAGATTATTCGTTTTCTACTTCTTTCGTGGCTGGAGCACCTCCTCTTCGCTCCTTTCTCTCTTTCCGTTGGCGTTCAACACGGGTGCCCCAAGCGGTGTCTTTCCCATCGACTCCTCGGGAAGCTTCACAACGAGCTGGCCGTTCGTCTCTTCGGAAGAAAGCGAGGGCTGGGCCGGGATGTTTTCTCGTGCAGTTTCTACCTGGATGTTGGCAACCACAGCTTCTTGCGTCTCACTACTTGCTGTGGCGACACTTTGAGGGTCAGCAGATACGACGGTTCCATCGTGTTTCACTGAATCGACGTCTTGCGTTTCAGGTTCAACTGGCTTCGTAGCTACTGCCTGCGTCTCATCAGTATGCATGTTGTCGTCTGCGTGCATGTCGTCTCTGTCAAGTGTTTTCCAGATAATGCCGTCTACATTCCTATCCCCGTTCAAGTAGTAGTTGCAAAAGTTGGCTTTGCTGATCTCGTCGTCAGGAACAGAAGGGGAGTTCTTGCAAATTACCACCCAATCCTCGAAGGCTGCGTCAAGTGACTCGTAGCCACCCAAGGTCCTGCGCAGAACAACGTCCTCCTTGGCTATCGTGGCGCTTGGTGACAAGCAACGGGTAGAGTCAATCACTTGAGATGGACCGTTTTCGGTCCAGAATGACGACAGAAGAACTTCTTTACGGCTCAATTCGAGTCTCCGCCACGTCCTTCCAGCGAACGTAACCTCTCCTGTTTTGGGTAGGTCCAGCAGAGCCTTCTTCAGCTCGGGCCGTGAAATGTCATCAGGAAGGCGAGGATCTGATAAAGCTTCGTCCATCGACATGAAGATAGAAGAGGATTCGCCGTCAATCATTTCGAATATACGTTTTTCAGCTTCCGAGAAGACAACCTTGCCTTCGCGAAGCTTGTCCAAATAAAGCCAGCGGTATCCAAAGAGAGTCAATGAAGGTTCGCTCGCCGATTTCTTGATCTGGGTCTTGACCGTGAACGTGGAGACAGTAACTTCACACTTCAAACCATGGTCGTACATCCACTTCGCTGCCTTCAACGCCGCACTGCCCGCAGTATATATCTTTACGATCATACCGGTGTCAGGATCAAGGACTGCCACCTTCATGGAGGTTCCACCCTTTTGTGCCGGAACATCAATCTCGTATGGCGACTTTGGCCGCCAGTCGAGATTGGCTGGGATCGAGATCTTTCCCCGCTCGGTTGCCTTGCTCTTGACGTACTCGTCGACCTTCTTTCTTACAGTTTCGCTCAGATGGATATCCAAGTTCCGCGCTCGCATTGCTACCATGCGTCGCCGAAGAACCTCTGCCATGCGATAGATAGAGCTCCCTTCAACGTTGTAGTGGAAGCAGTTGTGCCACACCAACTCAATGTCTTTCAATATTGCCAAATGAATGTCGTCCCAGGATCGATTTGCTTCAAAGTATTTCTTGTAGCTGCCGTTGATGATCCTTGCTGCTATTGTTCCCAGGTCCATCGGCTTCTTGATGATCGCAGGGTAGTCTGGCACTTGTTTGCTGTCCACTGGTACGGCAAAAAGAGCCCCAAAGTCGGCGTGCATTAGCTTCTCCAGCATTTCATGTGTTTTGCATAGGACGTCGATTTGCGTCAAGTTATCAGTCACAGTTTCTGACTTGAGCGCTCCGTATTCTGCACTTATCATGGGTTGTGAATCCGCGCCGTTAAGTATGTACTCAGGAAGGTCTCCCTTTTCCTTGCGGCAAACGCTACATTCCCATTTATTCCCGGCCTCGTTCCCTTCGCCTTCCAGGCATTCCTGGTGAAACGCCCTTGGACAAAAATCACAACAAACGAGGTTTCCATGTTTCCGACAAGTGTAACAATAATCGACGTTGCCATCTTCTACAGGTTCGTCGGTTTTCTTGGGCAAGACCAACTTGGAAAGGTCGGGTTGTTTCACGTACGTTCCCTCTGCGGTGAACACGGTAAGGTAGTCGATCGAAGTACCTGGGTCGACATCTTGCTTGAAGCGCATTTCTCGTGGAAAATCGGTTGGTCGCGCTTTGTAAGTAGGCCTCGAACAGAAGGCAGGAATCGTGCCCTTTCGATTTGATGATTCGTTGGACTTGTGCGAAGACTTTGCTTTCCCCTTGGGTTTCGCTTTCGGCTTTTCGACAACGGGAGCAGACGGTGGCTTTGTTGTTGATTCTTCTGACGCTTTCGAGTCAATAGAATCGCGTCTTTGAGGTTGGGTTGCGGCGTAGATCTTTTCTTGTTGTTTCGGCTTCGCATAGCAGGTGAACATGTCGTCAAAGACTGTGTCGCTGGCATCGGCTCCACCTTGCGCCTCACTCCTCCGTTTCATTTCAATTGCGAGTGCGTCTCGTCTTCGTCCGCATTTCGAACAAAGACAGGTAGCTGCACAGATGGGGCAATGATCAAAGACGACTTTATCAGTCACATGCTTGGCCGTGAGTCCAAGGCGAGCCTACAAAGGGAGCAAAAAATGCAAATAAAATCATCAACACCAAATGGACGGTACAGCTGCAGAAAAGAGAAGCCGATTTGTCGGCTGGTGCCTACCTCAAGGTGATTCACGCAATAGTAATGCGACTTGTGGCCACAAGCAAACTGCCCAACGAGGTTGTGCCGCTTGTGGCAGATGTGGCACACATAGTTCACGCGCATATTTAGTGTCCCTGTCGGGGGGGTCATATGCGGCGCCTTCTTTGCAATGTCCTGTTTCGAGAACTGAACCATCCGTTTCTTGACCTCTTCCACGAACTTTTCGTCCACCGTCTCGTTGAAGTAAATTGGTTTCGGAACACTAACAGGACGACTAGCAGCACTACCAGAGCCGGCTCCAGTGTGCCTCCTGGAACTCGACCCGTGTGCCCCACCGGAAGATTTCGATGCCTTCGACTTGCCCTTGGAGCCAGCGATCGTAGCCTCTGCTATAATGGCTCCAGGTATCGCCTTTTCAATGACACATACTTCCCCAAACATCCGAGAAATAGTGGAGACAGGAAAGTTGGTCCTTTGCGAGCCAGCTCCGTCTGTCATGGCAACAGGGACGGCGTATCCGCAATGCTCTCGGACGTGACGATAAATCTGAGCCTGTATGCCCACAGCCAGATCGACTGTCTGTCCAAACGAAAGCCCAAACTCCTCCGCTGTCCTTGCCGCGAACGCCATGGGAGTGGGCGTTGTCGGGTCAGAAAGGTCCCACGGAATTGTCTCTTCGAACGTTGGAACGTCCGCCATGTTTTTGCCAGGGAGCTCGTCATCGTCGATCAGAGGAAAGGACACGTTGACTTGCAATGTAAGTCGCGGTTCATCAAACTTGTGATTGGAATCCGTTTGCGGGACATCGCAAAGCAGCTCCCCGGTTGTTGCGTCGCGTGGTTCCATCCCCTCTCTTCCCCTGTGGTAGGTGTACAAATCAAGACTTCCGTCCTCCCGAAGAGTTTTGATTTTGATTACTTTTGAGTTTGGATCTGACCCTTCCACATACTCGTACTCGTCGGATTCCTGGATTGCTGCGTCTGAAACTTTCTCTGGTCCTCCGTTGGTCTCCACATTTTTGTCAGCTTTGGGGGCGACCGAACCAGCCTCATTGGTGGGTTTGCCAGCTGGTGGTTCCGTTGTTGGTGGTCCTCCGGGCTTTTCGGCATCCACAGCGGTTGGTTCAGCGGTTGATACTTCTTTTCCCTCAGCTGCTTTGCCGGCTGTCGCTTCCAATGTCACGGCGGTTTCCGGCTTTTCGGACTCTACTTGGGCTGGTGGTTTGTCTGTCCCCTCGGCTGCTTGGCTAGCCGACTCATTCTGGGCCACAGTTGCCTCGGCTGTTTCATTCGAAGTAGCAGCCTTCCCAGGTTCATCAGTGGCGGCCGGTTGTTTCGATGACGCCAACTCGGTTGTTTGGTCGGCTGTTGGCTGTGACTCCTCCACTTTCTGGGTTGCATTGTCTGTAATTGTCGGCTGCTGCATTTTTACATTTGGATCCTTGTCTACAGCATCGGTTTTCGGTTCACTTGGCGCCTCTTTCATTTCCACATCTGGTTTCTCGGGAGATTTTTCGGCCTCTTGCATTTCCACATCCGGTACGGTTGGTCCTTCCGAAGCAGATTTCATTTCCACAACTGGTGGCTTCTCGATGGCGGGTGCTTCCGTTGGTGATTGTTGAGCTTCCTTTTCCTGGCCAGGTTCAGTGGTTGGCTTTGCATTTGGGTCTGTCTGTATAGCATCGTTCCCAGGTTCATTATTTTGCTGATCGGACGGAGCCACTTCCGCTGCAGAATTACTGTTTTCAATTTCACCATTCGCGGTTGGAGGAGGCTGTGGATTGCTGACATGAGAGGCTGCTGGTGCCTGATCTTCTTTTTCGGAATTCGCTGATTTGGCAGAGTTTGTCGCTGGATCTGGCGCAGCGTTCTCCTTACTGGCTGGATCTGGAACTGACTTTTCTGGCGCAAGTTGAGTTGCAGGAGTTTGTGCTGCTGCTGTTGATTGGCCACCGGCCGTAGGCACCAGACGAGCCTTGTCACGTTGACGTTTCTTCGATTTCAAGTAGGCCTTCTTCGTCTCTTTTCGTCGCGCCCTCTGTAAAGAATAGAGGAATAGAAATAAATGACACAGGTGAGACAATTCTAAAGGAACACATTGACTACATCAACACGAAACAAATACCAATGGCCAAAAGAACTCACCTCATGAGGAGGCAACAGATCGGCTACGCCACCCATAGCAGTCCAACCCCAACGCGGTGGATCCAATAGCATCATATTCATCATGCTCTCGGCATACTTCTCGCCTGAAGCATGTTGAGGACCGCTCATCTTGCTGTGTTGATAGAAGAAGGCAACAGGGAGGACTGATCCGCAGATGATGGTTTGCTTCTGTCCATCGGGGTGTGTCGGTCTTCTTCGAATGATCTCGGAGAAGAAATAAAATAATTTTGCCATTTTTGGGAGTGTGGCGCTCCAAGTTTTTCGGGGAACCACGCCTGACCAGCCAATGACAAATTTCACGCGATTGCAAGTTTACGTAGTGAAGCTTCGCGCGAAAAGGGCGCATGCACCTCTGCAGCCCCGATTCCTCACTTTTGTTCTTTTCTTGGATCGATCGATCTTTGTGACGAAGGCGTGGGATGGGAGCTGGTGACAAGAAAAGTACGGACATAGCACACAACATTCGGTTGGATTAATAAGACAGAACTTCGGAATCTAATAGTTGTCGTCATAGGCTAGGCATTGTCTCGTCAACAGAGAGGAATCAATTGGGCCATGAAAGCTTTTGCTGCTCGTAGCAAAGCGGGGGTGGGGTGCCATTCAATAGCAGAGCTCTCGTTATTCGTTCGCCCTCGTGCACCCTCGTTCACTTTCTTTTTGGCATACACATTAATGGCTTTTGGTGCTCTTTCTTTGGAGGCAAAGAGACGGGTTGTCAAATCCTTCAGAGTGGCTTCGTTTTCTTGTGGTAACAGCAGCCAACGATCCTTTTCGGCCATTGCTCTCCAAAGCTCTTGGTGGCGGTTTGTATCGGTGTCGACCAGCAACTCCGAGACCTTCTCGAACCACAAAAGGGAATGCCACACATACAAGGCAGTAAGAACCTCCTCATCGTCGTCAGAGTCCAGGGCATTCGTGGATGCAGTGGTATCTGCCAATGCCAATGATTGGCTCCACTCAGCCACAGTCGGGTAGTCCGCAGGGACAACACCGTCAAGACGCACCAAAGAGTCGGCCAGGGCTTTAGCGCACATAATAATGGCGCAGAGGAACTCATTGTCGACAGACGGAGTTTCAAAAGGCACCCTGAGCGAGAAAGACAGACCCCGTACAATTTCCTTCAGTGAAGCAAGACTAACGTCACCATTTGTCCCGTCACCAACACTGAAAATAGTCCCACTGCTCTCTGCCTCAATGAGCGCCGTAACAAAGCGAATGATACCCGTCTTGGCTTGAGCATCTTGGTTGGATTGCCAGAGTCGCAGTCGGGGAATAAGGTGGTCTTGCACAATCCTGTGTCGCAACAACCAAAGCTGTTCTTGCGTCGCTGTGTCATTGGGGCATCGCATTGTCATGAAGCAGTCCAAAGCAGCAGACCAATTCGAGCCCAATGGGTCAGACCTGCTGGCCGTAGGTGAAAACGTGGATAGGCCACGGCAAATTGTTCTGCGCAGGGACGAGCTATCGGCAACCCTTCCGCTTCCGATTGAAATCAAAGATTGGAAAATCCTGCTATCATTGTGGCTATCGAGAAGGAACAATTCTCGGCTTCGTCGACAAAGACTCTCACGAAGCATTGTGACTTTCAAGTTGGGATGCCGCTTCAGCCTGTGCTTAGTCCTGGAGTCGATCTCAGCCTGTGATACCCCTCTGGATCCACTCTGTGATGTATTGATCATTTCATGCAAGGCCTTGTTGGCGGCTTCCTCGTTGTTTTGGAGAAGGGAAGGGAAGTAATCGTTGCTAATGTACGCGACGAGTGGCTTCATGGCACTCCTAACTCTCTCCTGGTGGAGCATCCAGCAAAGTAGACCAATGTGCATCTCCGCGTACGTCGAATATAGCGCTAACAACATGGCGTAGCCGTACTTTGTGTCGCCAGCGTTTTGCTCCCCCTCGGTGGCATCACTGATCTGTTCGGAGAGCTTCAGCACTTCGAATGATGACTTTGCAACGAAGTGATAACAGATGCGCTCAAAATCCCAAGTGCGTTGTCGCATAATGAAGGTCAGTATCACGATCCTCTTCAAGCACTCCTTCTCCATTGAAACGAAATGGAGCTTGCCAAAGACTTCGCCTTGGAAGGCTAGCTCCGCTGAGAGCTTTTCTCCGAGATCGACGTCCGCATCTCCCGGTCGTGCACCTTCCTTGTTCCTCAAGGCTGATGCAAAATCTTCGCAAAATTGCCACACCTCTTCGCCAAGCATTGAATCTCCGCCCTTGGTCTCGTCGACAAGTCGATTCAGAGCTTCTTCACTGCCCCGCCCGCCCATGCTGATGATAAGGGGCTCATTTTGTGTCGGGAACTTGCATAGGACAGCGCTATCAAGCATTTGATCCATCAAGCTGGGAAGAATCAAGTCCTTGGTTGCGACCACTGCAGCAGCTGTCTTGGGATTGACTTTGACCATGTTGCAGAGGGATAGAGACATGAGCAACGCCAATTCATCGTAATATGGCATGTCATCGTCAGATGGCATGGTGTGAAGTTGTTCCATAAACGAAAACAAACTGCGTGATGACTTGTCATCCAAGGTTGCCGCAAGTGCGGCAAGGCAATCACAGATGTAGTGCTTGTGCTTATCCACAAGCAACTTGCCTTGCGGGCTTAAATGCAGGTCGTGTCGGTCGGTTGTTGGGTGCTGCTGGTTTTCAACCACGAACATACTAGATGGCTTCAATGATGATGTCAAAGCAAGATGTGTTTGCTTCGTTAGCGCAAGCTTTGAAGGAGGGAATGAAAATCTTGAGCATTCACTACATCTTCGCTACGTACCTTTGAATGGATGAGGGCATCGCAAAGAAGTCTAAAGAGGTCGTTTTCGTCGCCATGTCGGCCTTCAGTGGTACCGTTTTCTGCAATGATGCCCATTCCAGCAATATCTTCATCCCTGAGGTCTCCCCACAAGTCTTCGATCGCATCAGGTTGAGAAGAACCTTCTCCACTGGACTCATTCGTCGTATTTGATGCATGTGCAAGCTTTATGTGCGCAGTCAAAACCGCAGCTCCCTGAAGCGATGTGAGCAATGACCGAACACAAATGCTTGCCTCCACTCCAAAGACGCAGTCTCGTGCAAAAGTAGAGAAACATTTCTTGATCGTTCGTGATATCATAGTCAATGAAACTTTTCCGAAGGCGATCAAATGCTCGACGTTATCATTCGGCTCTTTGGAAACTAATTGGCGGTAGACAAGGCTCAGACAGGTAGCAATGCATGTAAAGAGGCTTGTGGTAACTTGCTGGTTCGGAGATTTCTTGTCACAGCAACAATCTAAGCATGCAACCAGACTTGAGAATAGAAACACAAGACTTTCCCCGTCTGCCGTCCCGTTGCCCATCCACCCATCAGCCAATTGAGGGATCTCAGAGTCATCGCGCCAAGGCTGAACTCCCAGAAACGCATGAGTCGCACATGTCATTGCCTTCCCAGCACCATAGAGGCGATAGTCGTCCCCTTGGTAGACTGAATCAACAGCATTGGAGCTCGAACAACTGAGAATTCTCAGTTGCCGACACACCATTGCTGAATCAGCCATCTTTTTCCACACCTGCAACAATTAAGCCAAATGAAATGTAAGAATGAGCCTACAACTCGTTATCATAGACAATAGATTTGACCCACCTCCTTGGCTGTCTCCGCAACTCGAGCGCTGCCAGTGCTCTTCGAGTATTCTCGTCCGTTGGATACAAAGCTTTGCTTCAAAGCTATTAGTGCGATAAGATCTACATAGGCACCAGCCTCGCGGAGATACGTGCCTTGCCATCCCAAGTTGGCGCTTCGGTCTGCGGAGAAGGCAAGAGCAAACAAATCAGGTTCCCCGCAGCGAGTGGAATCCTTCGTGTTCTTCTCCGCTAACTCGGCTGCTTTGATCAGTTCTCCAACAATACCACGAATCGCAGCCTTGAATCGATTGATACGTGCTGTCTGCAAGGGCACTGATCGTGTCCATATGAATACCAAGGCCATCACTTGTCTCAAAAACGAGCAGGACGGAAGCACTAGGGGCTGGTTGAGAAAGTCTCCCACAACAGGACTTCCTGACGACGTCAACTCTGATGGTGACAAAAGGAAAGTGTGCCACATACGCTTAATTGTTTTCAAGTCTGCTCTCTTGGTACTCGCATCTCCACACTTTGGCAAAAAGAGTTGTTGATTGGCAACGTAAGCTTCGTGGTGCAATGACAGGGCTCGCTTGACGATGTCTCCGAACTTGTCATCGTTCTTGGGAAGCGCTCCGAAGGCACTGGATCGTAGCAGAGAGCAAAGATGTTTCATCTCAATTTGGCAAGCGTCAAGCTGCAACGGACTGGGCCCAAGAGCCTCGCCGGAGTTGCTTCCCGAGTTGGAAATGGTTTTGGTATTGAGGACCCCACGGAGGAGGAGTCTCGATGCAAAGCGGACAGGTAGATCGGATGAAGCTTTCGAGGGGTATTCTGCATCGGCCAAAAACGCAAGAATTTTCCATGCAGCCTCGATCTCACATTTGGGAAGACCAATTTTGAATTGTGACCATCGCGAAACTGAAGTGGCAGAAACGAAGGTGAAATCAACGATTGCTCCAACATCCACGTGAGATCCCCTACCAATCTTCGTACCTTTCGATTCTTCCATACGTTGCCCCTCCTCCAACAGCCCAGTCCACGCCCGTTGATCAGCTGAGGTGACAAATGCACGTTTCTCTCCGTTACTGGCGACTCTCCACTCCTGTGTCGACATGTCAGAGGCAATACAACTGCACACACTCTGTGGCAAATCCACAACTCTCGAGAGAGCGTCTCTCAGTGGAATCAAGTCATTCAATATGGCTACATCCGTCTTGTTTGTTCCAGCGCTCTGGAAAGGGTTTGCCCATGCTGCGGGGTGGAAGACCGAATAGAGTGCATCGACCAGCTGCAAAACCACCGCTGAAATGAAAGCCTTACTGTCGTCCTCTGCGAATATCTTGAAAGCAAGCCCATCGTCGGAGTTTAGCTTGGCATGCAGCCTTTTCTCGATCATTTTGAGTGTTTCCGTCAGAACCGCAACGAAGGAAACGTGGGCGGCTCCTTCTTGGGTCAGGGCTTCCTGCAGAGTTGTTGAGCAATGCTTATGGAATAGCTTCAATACTGTTGCGAAACCACGAGAAGCCGTTTCATGCGTGCTTGCACCGGTCGCGGCAGTGAGAAGCTGTGACATGCTCTTGAGCTTGCGAACAAACGCCGCTCGATCATCTGAAGGGCGGAGCCTTTCAACTGAATCGAGAATGTCACCTAGGTCCTCCGCTCCATGCATGACAGTGCTGTCGTCCTGTTGCCCTCGTCCTGCGGTCGAGTCAGGAGGAATTCGTTTGTCATTGCCCAGGCGTGAAAAAAGTTGACGCGTACCCGTTGACGAATAGCGAATTCTGTCGCCGTTAGCGTCTTCGCACTCGGTGCCGCCACGTTGACCAACGGGTTCACTGAGTTCCTGATTGTCGTTGCGGACCCTGTATTGACGTCGCGAAGACGCCGCGGCGATTTGGGTCCGAGTCTGAAGGGAGCTGTTCGATTTCCGGCGAGCTTGATTGCTGTTCGTTTTGTAAGGAACTCTTGGTGCTGTCCGGTCTTCTCTCTTCTTAAATCGCCGCCGTGATGAGGCATCAGTTTGCTCTTTCGCAGTGTCGACCGAGTCGTCTCCACTAGAACTATCAGCTTTTGCGTGAACGATTTCCAGCAATCTATCCTCAAACGCAGACACCGTGGTCTTACGCTGGGTAGCTCCCTTCTTTCGATGGAGCCGTCTCGAAGCAACGACCTTTCTTGCTCGCGTCCCTAGGCCATGTCTACGTCCTCTGGTTGCAGGACGCGAGAGCTGCCGTGATATTGTGTCATCGGTTCGGCTTTCGGTGACATCACGTTGTCTCTTCCTTAAGTTAGATGATCTCGATGTTCTTAGTGGAGAATCCATAGTCTTCATCTCTCGAAGTGGTCCCCTCCGCCCTTGGTTGTCTCGACGATCTGTAGAACGTTTCTTGTCTCTTTTGGTAATAGCTCTCTGCGAACTCTTTCGCTTCGTCAATGCGTGTTCGTGTCTGTCATAAGGTGGGAGGTTGTGGTGGAGCTCATCAGGAACATGTGGGCTGTTTTCAAGTGATGCTGAATGTCGTTCCTCCATGTCGCTATCACTGCTGCCCAGCATCTCATCGTCGCCATAGCTGTCACTGCTCTCGTCCTGGCTTCCCTGGAACAAATCATCGGATACGACCAAGCTCCTCTTTGCGTATTGAACTTGATCGACCAGCTCGTCGATATCTCGCTGAAGAGCGTCGAACCGAGCGTCCCTGGCGAGAATTTTTAACTCCATTTCTTTACGCATGATCTTCCGCTGCTCTCTTGATAGGTTCTTTTTCTCTCTCTTGTATCTCTTTTCGTCCGTCAACTGTTTGACTGCAGACATGCACTGATCAAGGCCATCTCGGATAAGGTTGGTTGTGATTTCTTGAATCATCGAGTCACAAGCTGCAGTCAATTCGTGCAAACCGTCGCCATTGTTTGATATCCGTTGATTGACTTTCCGCTGCAGCCGCGCTACACTCAACTTGGCATCAGGAATCAACTCACTCTCTAGACGGCTTGCCTCTGTGTCGAAGAAGTTGGGAAGATCCATGTATGCGACATCGGCAGCCCTATCATTAATGTCTTCAGGTAGATGATCTGCAACGTCTCGGCCTTCCGGCATAATGAAATCCTTCAAGACAAGTCCATTAGGTCCACGTACAGTGTCATCTGCGATCTCATGCTGTTCGTCGTCGTCGTCGTCGTGAGTATCGGCAAGCAAGGGGCCACCTTGATGTTCCATGACATCTTGCGAGTCCATGCCACCATGTTCCTGCTCGTCTGAAGAATCCTCAACTTCATTCTCTCCAATATCCATTGTCAAAAACGACGACGTGTTGTTGTCTGCATTCTCTTCCTCGTCATCACCACAGTCCTCGGCAATGCAGTCCTGGCTATCGGATCCTGATCTTGTTGAGGGTGTTCCCACCTCATGATCTTTTGGCGGGCTGAGGTTCTCTTTCTCCGCTGTAGAGGTTCTTTTGGAAGAGTCCGTTGCTGGAGGAGAACCTACCAACTCTAGCACAGAAGTGGATCTATCATTCATACGTTGCTTTTTCCTTGTCCGTCTCTGGGGATTGTTGTTCGTTGGTGGGATCTTGTTGGTTGCTCCATCCCCTGTTGTTTCTGAGACCCTCTCCTTTCGTCTGTATTTCTCCCTGATTCTTCCTACAAATCTGCGCTTCGTCACTCGACTCAAATCTTCATCGCTGTCTTCTAAGTCTGCACCATCAGTGGCTATACTGTGATCCACCGTAGATGATTGCTTCTCGCGGTTTTGTTTTCTTTCTTCCTCTGCCCTGACTCTCTCTGCCTCAGCTTCCTCCTCTCTTTCCCTGAGGTATGCTTCGTCCTCTTCCGCTCTAGTTTTCACCCTCTTAAACAAAGCATCTTTTTTCTTTTTGATGTCCTCAAGGCTTTCCTGCTCTTCATCCTCAGATAACGAATCATACGCTGCTTCTTCAATAGGATTGTCTTGCTTATTGTTGCAATTCTTCTTGCTCTTGTCTCCACTGCTTCTCTGAGCGTCGTATCGGCGTTGCAGAGTGCTGTAGTTAAAAAGGAATTTTGTGTGGACAGAATCACAAGATCCACAATCTTCTCTGAACGATAAACACCAGGTACATCGTTCCGTTCTTTTGGATCGATCACGCAAGGTTGTTTCCTGTCGATGGGTATCATACTCTGGCGCCAAGACAATATACTCCAGTGAAATGGTCTTTTCCTTTCGCCTGTCTACCACATACTGAACATCGACAGTACGACCCTCCCGATCGATGGCTTTGACTCTGGCGATTCCGCCTTGTTTGTTCATTCCGGGCCATGTACGATCTTCGACTTCCACATGACAGTCCACTACCAGGGACTCCAAAATGTCATTGGCCGCGTCATTGGTGGCGCCATCTTGGGATGATGGCAAAGACATGGTAGTAGTGTCACTACTGCCACTTTGCTCCTTCGTCTACTTCTCCTGATATCTATACCGGTAGTCTTGATCTTGTATTGGCAGCTGACAGCTTCTAGCTAGCTAGTAGAGCCACCCTTCTTCCTTGTCGTTTTGTTTGGAATGTTGACTTCTGTGGTGTCTTCCAACAACAACAAAAAAGGGGTAAGTTTTGGCGCCACAAATCGATTCAGATTTAGAGGTTTACCTCGGCAGGTAAACTGCCTGAGTTCTCAACCCCTTTAATGCTATTTCCTATTTCCTATTTCCTATTTTCTATTTCCTATTTCCTATTTCCTATTTCCTATTCCGGTGAAGCCAAAGTATAAGGATAGAGATAGTCATAAGCCAACCAAACTGAACATTGATGGTTCAATACAAGTTAGGGGTAGGAATAAATCAAAACATTTAAGGTTAGTGCAATCAGCACAACAGCACAATAAGCCAGCAGGAGCTGTAAAGGTTAGAGTTACAATAAGGGAATGGCAGCTGGTAAATTATAGAGTATTGGGCGGCAACACACGACGTAGTCGGGTGTTGTCGCCAGGGCTACCTTAATAAAACGAAGGTTGCAATGAGGGAATGAATGATACCGGGCGGCAACACACGACGTAGTCGGGTGTTGTCGCCAGGGCTAGCTTGAAAGATGGGTGCAATCTCGAACATGATCCTCCTTCTTCTATCTGTCTTTCTGCCGAGGTATCGCAGCTCCCGCTGACTTATTCAGGATTTAAAGCTTTTCATGTTTTGAATAAAAAAGAAGACAGGGGGTCAACAGCACCACAATGTAGCTAGCCAGTTTAGTCTTGGTTTGCTAGTGACTCAATCAAGCAAGAAGAAGAAGAAAAACAAGTCCTCTGCATCAACAGCAAACAGTGTTGTTGTTGTTGCCATCTCCTTGTGATTACTACTAGCTAGTAGTGGTCATACCATCTACCACTACTCCACAAGAAGAAGCTGCTTGATTCAAAGTGCTTCCACTGTAAAAGTCAAATTCTGATCTGTACTGTATTGCATACTATTTGATCAATGTAGTTTCCTGCTGCCCATACCGTTTATGGTTCATCGTGGGAACAATTTACTGTTTACCGTTTACCGTTTACCGTTTACCGTTCATACATTGACTTGTTCAAAAGAGGACAATATCTGTGTACGATATACGGTTTACAGTTTTACAAATTAAAGTTGATTTACGATATACGATAAACGGTATCCTCCCTCCTGCAATGTCTCCAAAGAAGCAAGGCACAACCCAAAGCCACAGCAGATAAATGGTAAACGGTAAACAGTACACAAAATAATTGAAACGGTACACGGTAAACCGTGTTGAATTCTCTTTACAAAAATATCAAAGAGAAAAACTGCGGTAAACGGTATACCGTTTGGGCTGGCCACATGTGCACATTGTGTACCGTATACCGTATCCGCCACCTCATTGGTGATGACTAAATTTTTAGGCAGAAGTGGGTGGGCCTGGAAGTCCCCCGATTGGCGATCGTGGAAGTCGCGAAAAGTCGTTAAAGTTGCGAAAGTCGTTAAAGTCGCGATAGCAGTCGTTCTAATGTCGCGCAGGACGCACAAGTCGCGATTCAAGTCGCTCCAAGTCGCAATTTGGTACTAGTAAAAAGCTAGTAAGGTCGCACTAAGTCGCGCAAGTCGCGAAAGTCGCGCTCCAAGTCGCAGTAGTCGCGCTCAAGTCGCGATAATTACGTCATCGAGGGACTTCCTGCGACGTTGTGGTGCTGTTGACCCGCTGAAAAGCTTCCTTTGCCGCTCAAAATTGGATCTGTAAAAGACAACCCTTGGTTATAAGATTGAGCCTCGACCCTGACAGTCGAGTTCCTCAAAGCTGGTTGTCTTTTTAAAAAATCTAATCTACCCCCAATTTAGGGGCCGATTTAGGGGCGAATTCCCAACGGGCGGATTCCCATTTCGGACGAGAAACCCCTCCCTCATCAGAGTTTCCGAAGCGGAAGACGAAGATCCACAGACCCACATTATCGATTCAAAGATGGACGAAGACAACAGCAAGAGAGGCCCACCCCGCAACACAGTCGCACTGCCTGAGCACCAGAAGCGAACAAAATAACGCACAAATCATTTTCATGCCAGCAAGCTCGATGTTTCCACCAAACAAGCTGCAGGAGCGCTCATGTGCACCTTCGGTCCTGCGGAGGCGACAGCAAAGCAGTCCGCTCTCCTGATCCGAGCCATGGGAACTAAGAATACACCTGGGAATTTTGAAGTCTACTAGAGCTAGCTGGCTTCTAGCCAGCAAGCAAGAGAGAACCACGCAAAGATCGATCAAGATGGGGTCTTCCGGCTGGTAACTTCAAATCTTTTTTATTATTACTGTTCAAGTTTCCACAGAACTTGGGTCTGTGACGGCTTGGTCCACTAGTACCTACTTGGTATTGGCAAAGACCTGCTCCACTTTTCCTGCCACTTCCTTTGCAAGCCTTTCTTCTCGCTCTACTTCAGCCGAGCTATCCAATCCGATCCAAGTTGGTGGTGCATGCGCAGGCAAAGAAGCAATCCATTCCAAGCAGTTGTCCTTCGAGGTGTTCTCTGGTAGTGTGGGGCCATCCGAAATGCTTGGGACCAACTTGAAATCCAAATCAAAGCAATCCTTGGTGAATAAAGAGTTCACCAAGTTGTCCATCACTTCTTGATCAGAGCTTGCTGTGACTCGGCCACCAAACACACCTTTGCAGAGGGTGGCACGAATGGCATCCCACGGAAGCTTCTCAGGATCCAACATTGTCTGCTTTCCGCCCATTTCGTTTTCAATCAGGGCATCGATGACATCCAAGGCATGAGTGGCATCAGCCTCCGTGAATTCATAACGCTCCGACCATCCAGATGGGACGTATCGAAGACGTTCCTGAATGACGGCATGAGTCCAACCCAGAACCAAGTACAGGCGATTTCGGACGGGGGCTTCAAACCGATCCTTGGAAATACCCGAAAAGAATCGAGAAATCGAAGCCTTGATTCCAGTGGGTGCTTCAGCAATGATTGTGTCACTGATGCGCAACAATGCCGTAGGTAGGCGTGGGCTGATTTCGCTCGTGATAAAGAGGCGGAAGTCCGGGTTTGTTCCCGCTCCAAGGGAATGCAACGTCTTGACAAATGATTCACTAAGCCAGTCTGTGCAAAGGTGGGCGTTCTTTAGCATGACCCATGTTCCTCTCTTCGATGCACCACTGACCAGTGAATCAGCAATACCGAATCCTTCAGAGGATCCCATAGCAACAGCCTTCAAATCCTTTCCCAATTCTCTTGCCATGGCTTCCACACGGCCACTCACATCGTGACCAGGAGCACTGCAGAGCAGAAGTGGCACAGTTGCACCTATCTCTTGTTCGGTCACCTCGGCGAGTTCATTCAGTGCTCTTCCTTGCCAGGGGAACTCATTTCCAAATACTTCTGTGAAAGCGGCAATGAGGTCATCCGAGCTCTTTGGTTCGCTGCTGCCGATGGACTCGTCGCCGGTGAAAATCCGTGCGAGAAGCACAGAGAAAACCATCTTGTCGTCAACCTGTAACCCACGTCCAATGCGCGCAGCAACTTCAGCAAAGAGCGCCTTCTTCAGCTGGACAGTTCGCGCCGCTGCATCATCGTCGCCAGACTTTGCATTCTTTTGCAAGATGTCTTCTAAAATTGACATGAACGTAGTTGAGGTGAACTCGTACAAGAAGCTAATTTCACGCATGGCTTCCAGGAGCACAAACAACCTTCGACAAACGAGTGCAAACGGTTCAAATTCAGCAACGGCCTTGTGCACCTGATCCATAATCTCAGCGCTGTGCGAGATCTGTTCCTCGACCTGGGATCCCTCCTTCATCAGCACCTCCATACCCTCCACTACGCGATCGTCGTCAAGAATGCTGCCTTCACATGCACTGATGGTATTCAGCATCTTGTCCTCAAGCTCCCTCAACTTGACGTTTTGCTCTCCTTGGAGCTTCAAGAGCGATGCACGTTGTGCTTCAAGCTCTGGTTTCTCGATCTTAATCACTTGGCTCAAGCTCTGGCTCTGCAAACTGTCAGGGGTAACAGTGAAGTTGATTAGCGTGACACGGCTACACAAGTCAGGGGTCAGCTGGACGGCAGGATTCTTCGTGCTGAGGATGATCTTGAACTTGGGACTGTAGTCAACATCCTCAGTCCCGATACGAACAAGGGTTCTTCCTCCAGTGCGCTGATGTTCCCGATTCAACAGAGGATTGAGAACAGGGTCAATCTTCTCAACATTTTCAACAAGAAGAGTGGTGCCGAAACGAACGGCCCCGGCAAGGGTCTTCATGAATGCCTTGTCGACAAAGCTTGTCTTTTGAATTCTCTCGTCTTTGTGCTTGTTCATCAAGAACTAACAATTTGATGTAACAAATACGGTGGTGAGTCGAGTCCAGATACACCTAGCATCCATCTAACCCTGCCCTATCAACATCCATCCTACGGAGCATTCACTTACATCAATTGCAGCTCCCGATGGGTCAATGACAAGAGGGAAGCGGATACAATGATCCAAGATAACTCCATTCTCCAGACTGAGCTGATCGCCAGGAAGCCCTTGCGACTGCCAAGTGAGACGTTCGGATGCGGCGCTCAGTGATTCGACAAAGCCCAATTCAGGACGATGTTCAATTCCAAGGAGGTCCAGAGAGTTCTCCCATTTCTGCATCAGAATAGAGCGGGTCTTGAAATCGAAGAAACCAGAGTAGGTGAGGAATGATGCCATGAGCAAGCAGTCGCCAACAAGGCCACGCATCATAAATTGGAACCCGTCAGAGCTCTTCGACCAACGTTCACTTTCGTGGCCCAAGCTCTTAAGCAAACTCTCGGCGCGCTCAACTTTCGTTTTCACAGTTTCCATCGCCGTCTTCAGCGCTTCTACATCGCGGATCAAGAGAGCGTAGTCAGCCTTGTACTGAGCGATAGAACTCTCGAGCTTGTTGACTTCGTCATCGAGACGTTGCTTTTCAGACTTGACTGACGCAGCTGCTTTCTCTAGCTGTTCCACTTCTTCTCGTAACGGTTGGACGCGGTTGTAGACTGAAGAGTACTTGATCTGAGATTCTGCCCATTTGAAAAGGGGACCACACGCCTTGCTGCTCCTCATCACACTCTCAGCAGTAAGATCCGGGTTGCCATCCATATATTTTTCCTGTTGGTCAAAGGGATAAGGATGAGGGTTGTGTGCACAACGGGAAAGCACATAATTACACTTCTCTTTGTACTCACCTTTACAATCTTGATGCGCTTAGCGGACAACTTATCTGCATCAAAGTTCAAAATCGATGGGATGAAATCGGTCTTCGCCAAAAGCTTTCGAACGTCTGCCCAATCCACCTTCGTCTCTCTTTGTATAATTGAAAAGAATTGAGATTTAACGTTGATAAACTGTCAAAGCTTTTTGTAAAAGTGATAACGTACCCAAGCATCGTTGCCACGCATTCGAGCGTCAATTTCACCTTGTCAGGTGGACTCTTCAGGTTACGGACCTCGTCGAGATCTCTCTTTTTGATACCACGGACACTGGGGTTGGTTGCAAGATAACGAATGAGAACGGCACCACACAAATACACATGATTGACCACAACACAATCCTTCCCGGCAGCTTACCTGGTCTGCGCCTCTTGCAACGCAGGCTCGGCCTGGTCCAGATCCCTCTGAGCTTCATCCTTTCTCTTGTCAATCTCAACTTGCTGCGTTTCGACTTCGGCACTGACCTTTTCTGCTTCGGCCTTGCTTCGTTCTGCTTCATTCTGATCGGCCACCATTTGCTGCAGTTTGTCGTTTGCAAGGGCCTCCTTCTTCTTGAGTTCAGCCGTTGTCGCACTGAGTCCTTTCTTGAGCTCTCCTACGTTCTCTTGTGTTTGCTGGAGTTTCTCGAGACCCGCATTGATGTGAAGCTGCTGATCCTCCACCGTCTCCCTACGATTCGTCATGCACGTCATAAAGTTTTGGATAAGAGCGAGGTAGTCTCGTGGAGACATAAAAGTCCTTGTAATACTGCTAGCTGCAGAACCAACTTCTTCAGCGATTTGCTTGGTGGTGAGATGTAAATCGACCAATGCAGCAACAACCGCTTGGCGTAGGCCTCCTCTACCGGCACCTTCAAAGACATCCTCCACACGTCGCATGAGCGGTTCTCCGTCGCCAATGCCCCAGGCACCCCCAACTGCTTCAGTGTCTCCCAAATCTCTTTAATTGTGGCACAGCAAAGAATGATGTGCAAAGTCAGAATCAAAAATGCTTCATGATGGAAATTTAGACTCCGGCGGTACTTACAATCTTAGTGTAAACTCTTTTCCAACTTCCGCCAAAGCCTTGTCACCCCAGGTTCCGAACCAATCAATGACACAACGATTGAACAAGGCAGGACTGGTGGTAGATCTGTTCTTCCAGTCCCCTCCACTTGGATTGACTGTGAATACCACATGGAGGTCGCGTTGGACGATTGTTGTGAATCTCCTGAAGATTTCCTCCTCTGTATCCAGAATCACACCGTCGCGTGCGGCACTGTCACGGCTTGCACTCATCAAAGCGGTGTAATCGTCGCCTTCGAACAGACCAGGCACCTCACCACTCGCCAGTAGTGCGTTCATAGACTCCAGGAATCCTGCCGACAGTACATTGGCCTCATCAAAGATGAAGCTGCAGGCAATAGAAGCATGAGTATCGATGGAAGTCATCGGGTCAAACAGAAACACACGACGCAGGCTCGTGGTTTACTTACCAGATCTTTTCTCCTTCAACACCAACGCGGCGCATGACTGTTCTAAGATCTTCACAGAAATCGTCCATACCGTACCGTGAATGAGCCTTGATTTGGAAGATACTCAGCCCGTTCATCCAGCTGACAAACTTGCTGAGTACTGTCTTTCCGGCACCTGAATCTCCAGCCAACAAGACATGGCCCATGGGTTGCCTCAGCACGCGGTCGATTCTCAGTACGTGCTCTAGAACCTCATCGAAGACGACCAATGGCACATCAAGCTCCTCCTCGTAAAAGACCTTCAACCTGGCAGTCAAAAAATCCTTCAGCTCGCTCCTTCCAATTTGACGAGTGTCCTTGCTCACCCAATTGGTATAGAAAAGAGGGCGCGCCAGTGCAACATCAAAGTCAACATGCGCAAAGTGTTTCTTTGCCACTTCATCAAGCAATTCATTGCACCATTTTCGGTCTTCTTCCTCCACAAGTCGATCAGAGAACAGACGAAGCCCCTCGTGTGCCCAAATGCGCACCAGCTCTTCTCCAGTGAGGCCTTGGTCCATATGCACAACAGCCTCATAAATTCCGCGGACCCAGCGGCTCAATTCCCGCGGAGAGTAGAAGTACTGAGGCTGAATGTCGGGTGTGAATCGCTTCTGGCTCTCTGTGTAAACTTCCACCATCGCACCCGTGAGTGCATTGGTTTCACCCTTGAGGTTGGGGAACATTTTCAGCATACCACCATTGAAGGTGGAATAGATCTGCATCAACGAGTCTGTCTCGGGGAAGTCAACAAGCAGCAACGGGACATGGCGCAAGAATCGATGAGAAAGAGGGAATCGGCCCGAATCCGTTGGAGGGTTGCAGGCGCCCACGAACTGAATGCGGTTGATCTTTATCCAAACATTGTCGTTCCTCCAGAAACCTCCCTGCTCCACCAGTTGCCGCATGAACATAATAACACGTTGCGTCCCATAGGCATCTTCTTCGGGTAGATTGATCTCATCGCAGAACACAACCAACCAAGAGGTAGCACCCAGGCTCTCACTGGGTTCCAAAACAATGTCTTTTCCACGGCGAACGTACGTGCAGTACTGAGCAAATATCTTCAAAATAATTTCAGGTGTCGTTCGACTCGAAAAGTTGAGACTTGCAAGGACAACACCCTCCACAGACTGAAGAACGTTTGTAAGTGTCATGGTCTTTCCTGATCCTGGAGGTCCACACAGGATCAGCGGTGTCCTGGAGTGCAGCCAGGCGGAAAGGATGTCAGAGTGTCTCAAGGTGTCCGTCGTGGTAATGACCACGTCGCTGGAGCTAACCCTGTGACTTTCAATTTCCATCCGTGGAACACTGGAGCTCCAGAGCTCAAGTTCGCCATCGTCAACTCGCACACGGTAGTCAAACAAACTGTTTTCATTGCCACCAGGTAGTAAGACCCCACTCGTACGAGCAAGCATGTCGCTAAACTTCTTGCGTACTTCCCATGAGGCTGATCCACAGAAACTCCACATCAGAGAATGCAGCAACCACCGTTTCGAAAACTTCTCCATATGTTCGCCGGTGATTGGGAAGTCCGGATGATTCTCGTCATAGGCAATCGCCAAGTTGATACCCTGGACAATCATTGCCTTCAATGTGTGAAAGAGACGGTCTCTGGTTGGATCCATCACGTGGTTTTCAGCAAGTGCAAACTCGAGAGCGTCGATCACCAGCGAAGACGTTCTCTCGGACACCACCAGTGGCTTGATCGAATCCAAAAAGAGTGTCTGAGCAGGAGGAATCTCGTCAGAACTGGAGCTTTCTCCAAGCAAGTTTTCCTGTCTGAGGTTGCCCATGAGATTCTCCAACACCATCTCCGAAGACACGGTGTCATCGCTGAACCAAACCATACCGCAACGAGAGACGGATGCAGGGGTTGCGTGCGCCAAGCTGTCAACTTCAAGGATAATTCTAACGTTGCTTGGAATGCTGAGACGCTCTCCACTTGGCAACGTCAGCAGCTTGTTGTCGTCAAGCACTGAATTCAAGTTCTCTGCCCACTCGGGATCAACATCTCCATCGAAAACAATCCAGTGGCGACGCTCTGACTCTCCCTTTTGGTTGTCAATGATGCGGCGGAGTAGGCTCGTGAATATACCATCAGTCCACTCCAAAGTTGTTCCATCCAACGTTCCATAGAGGTTGTCTTTGTTGATAGCTTTCGGGTCAATGATGTACATATCTCCCTTGGTCCCATCAACCTTTTCCAAGGCTTTGAGCAACACATTCAGAGCCGCAGACTTGCCAACACCAACAGGGCCTACCACCATGATTCCGTGCCTCATTTCGATCACTTGGCGCAACTGCAACACCTTTTGTACAAAGCTCTCCGATGCCACAAAGTTGCGTTCCTCGCAGATTGTCAGCAGCTCAGTTCGCACTTTCTCGTCCTCCATTTTTGCAACGGTAGAACCTGGGAAGAGCTCCTCTAGCACTTCAGTGAAGACAGGCATGTCGTCAGCCACAAGTTTAGGCAGTACATTGTTGCATGCGCCGACAATGAGGGCATTCTTCTCTTCGAGTTCCAACTCCTCGCCTTCTAGATCGCCCTTTCCTTCTAGTGCCTGGCGCTTCAAGGCACCTGCGCTGACAAGGAGGGTCTTCAATGCGCGCAACCCAAAGTCATAGTGACGCTGAGGAGACATTTTCTTTTGGCAGAGCAGGAACACGTCCACAATCTTGCCAGCCAGCTTTTCTGCCGACACAATACCCTGACTGTAAAGCATCACCTGTGCAATCAATTTTCGGTCTGGCACAACCATGGCGAATGATCGGAATAGAGACTTTAGATTGTCGGGGAGGTTGCTGCGGCCAGCATAACCAGGATTCATCGTAATGAAAACCGCCACATTGTCGTGTAGCTTGACCGACCGTCCCAACATTTCAATGTTTTCTTGCCTTTCAATGAGACCTCTTTGGATGGTCAAAATCTGCTGACTGACGGCACTCAGGATGCGTTCCTCGAGACGATTGAATTCATCAAAGCAGCCCCAGGCACCCACCTGGGAAAGACCCGCAAACAACCGTCCCATTGCGCTGAAATCAAATGTTTCCTGAATTGCAGCAGCACGAAGAAATAGTGTTAGCAAGCTATCAGTATTTTTACCCATGAGACCAAAACTTCCAGTTATACTCACGTCGCAATTGAAGACAAGCACGAAGCGTCCCAACTGGGCTCCAAGTGCTTTGACAGTTTCAGTTTTGCCTGTCCCGGCTGGTCCAAAAGGACTTCCTCCCATTCGAAAGTGCAACGCTTGTGTCAGCGTCAGATAGCACTTGTCGGTGAGCGGTGTCTGTACGAGACGCTCTCCAATTCCAAGATACTCGAATCCATAAGAAAACTTCGCATTGGAGAGCGACACCATCAATTTGTCCACGATCTTTGGGGCCTTTGGATCGTAATTGTACCGAAGGTGGTAGAGCCAGCGGAAGTCGGTTGCGCTTGACACCTTGTCATCAATGAGACTTCGAACCACGTCGCGTTGACGAACAAGCTCAGTGATGAGCTGTTCAAACTTCTTTCGAGAATCAGGCGGAAGCTCACGTAACACCGTCTTGGCCATCACTTCCAGACGCCATTCCAGCCCTGTAAGTACTTCCTTCAAGGCAGCTTCAGAATCGCCTTCGTGAAGTGCTTTCTCCACTTCCCTGCTGAAAAAGATTTGTGCCGCAAGAATCATGACTTGTGCGGGGAATTTGGTAGCCCACGTGACCAATGCTTCTTTGCCCTCCTCGCCCTTGCTTCTGTTTTCCTGGGTGTTGTCCTCACTGACAGCTTGTTCTAGCAGATGAGCAAGAGTTTCCTTCATCTGGATTTCAAGTTCTTTCAACCACGAGTTCACGCTCATTCCCTTTTTGATGTCAATCGCCTTGACAAAAGGAACAACTTCTCCGTCTTTGCTGAGCATGGCGTCCAATCTGTGGGTCACATCTTCGGGCAGCTCGGCGTCTCTTACGATTCTGCAGTTCTGCACTCCTGCAAACATTTTACCCAGATGTGACAGCACCTTTCCAGGCTCACCAGCGTTTCCAATGATTTCAAGCAAATCATCGTCACCAAGGAAGTAGAAACGTGAAAAGTCACTACGCTGCCGCTCCAAATAGTCACCAAGGGCTTTCTGAATGACTGTCATGAGATTGCCAATCCTCTCCAGAGTACGCTGAAGATTGGGAATGCTGAGCACCTCCATCGCATATGGCTTGCTTGCAATGCGACGCATCAAGGTAACAAACTCGGAGTCAACACTCTTGAAGCGAGACCACTCGGCTGGCAATTGAGCTTTGATATCGGAACTACCAAATAGAATTCCTTCCAAGTAGACCCAGCGTCTCTGTACATCCACCCATGAGTCAAAAGCCGCACGAAGCTTTGTGAGACGGTCTTCCCAAAGCTTGCCTTCTTCTTGAAACTCGCGGACGGCACGGTAGTACGGGGAGCTCTTCATCAACGCCAGACCACCAATGTGATCATCCAACGTTGCAAAGAGACTACATTGTACAGCCGCATAATCGTTAGCAACGAATCCCTACAACAAGGCACCCAAAAAAAGTAGCCAGGAAACTTACTCGTCCCATCCTCGGATCAACCGGACACGATTTTGGAACAACACCAACTCAAGCTCCTGCTTCATCCAGCGGTCGCGTACTTCATTGAGGAAGACTTCAAGGGCCATCTCTCCCTGAGCAACAGTAAGGATTTCGAGCATTTCTTTCTTTCGATTCAGGACGCCGTTGTCCCACAGAGTACCAACAGTAATGTCTGCAAACTGGATGTGCACGCCGAGACGCTGAAGAATCGTCTTCCAGTGCCTCTCCTTTAGCGCTTCTGTCTTCAGGTCACTGAGCAAACCATGACCAGCAATGTATCCCTTGACTGCATCATGGAGATGCACATAGGCATCGTACTGACGGATTCTATTGGGCAATGACCGCATTTCAGCAAGGAGGTCGTCGAGGCCTCGGCGGACCTTCCGCATCACAGCAGTTGACCAGGCAGTATCCTTGACTTTCTCCAACTCTTCGTACGGCTTCATGACTGCCTGCCAGACTTCCTTCAAATCGCTCAGTTCGTCAAGTTGCTCGTTCACAGAGCTCGTTTCACCAGAGTGCTCAAGACCAAGGGCATCTTTGGCTTTGATAAGATTCTCTTGGTGAGTGCTGGCCTTCTTCATCGTAAATTCAAACTTGGAAAGCACATCCAACGCCGAGGGAGGACTTGTGTTTCCTCGAAGTGGCTTGTCATTCTCCCAGCTAGCAAGAAGCTCGGCCCTTTGTTTGGCAGCGTTCTTGTCCTCTGCTGATACACGGGACTGGAGGAGAGGGATCTGCTCGTCCATTGCCTGGCTGCGACGCGTCAGGATTTGCACCATACTATCGTACTTTCCCTTCACGACGCTGCTCTCTAGCCAGTCGCCACGGAAGATGAAGCGCTGATGTTTGAGCATCTTCTCAGAGTCATTCAACTTCTCGATTTCTTTGGCCAAAGGACCCAACCTTTGTTTCATCTCCTGGACGAAGGTCACTCCCAGGACAATGTCGTCGGTGCTGTTGCCCGATGTTTCCAGCGAAATGCCTTCCAGCTTTGTCTTGGCATTCGAGATCTTCTCGTGCAAGTCTGACATGAGCTGCGCCAAGATTGCCGCGAACGAAGCCTGCAACTCCTTCTGCCAAGAATCATATTTCAGGTTAATTTGAGACTGGACCTTTCCGTACTTGACAATAACAGGGCCGAATTCGGCATAAGTGCCAGACGAGTCGAGGGTTGTTCGCGAATCTAATGCCTCCTTCAGCAAGGCATGCCATTTCTCAATGTCATTGCCGACAGAGGCAGCGACGTCGGCCACCTGAGTATCCCACAAGGTCTGGTATGCGAGCCATTTCTCGACAAAGGAGGCTACATCCACAACATGTGAATTGATTACATCATAAGCATCGGCAAGAATAGGACCCGGCACCAACTCGATCAAATAATCAAATGTCTCATCTCCGGCTGTCTCTCCGGGAGCTGTGGCACTGTCGAAGACCTCAAAGCGCCCGCTCTTTGGAAGCTGCAAATCACAAACAACCCCCAAAAAGTCGTGAAACTTGTCCAAGAAAATGGATCGAACATCTGGCACTGATGGGGATGCGTAAATTTCCTGGTTACGAAGGATCACTTCCAAGGAAACCAGCTTGGAAGGCACCACCACATCGACATTAGCCGAGGTCTCATTCTTGTCGGAAGTGGTTGCAGCTTCAGCAGGTGCCTCTTTGTCGTCGCCCTCGGTCACAGCTGGTTTCTTGAACTTGGCGTTCCAACTCGTGATGGCAACAAGCAGTCTCTTGGACAGGACCTTTCCAATGCGGTCCGAAACCACTGCCACCCAAGACGCCAGGTCAGAATAGCCGCTGAGGGACATGTTGTCGATTGTCTTCTGAATGCCCTCCAAAACGGTCTTGAACTTATCTGCCTCGTATTCAACCGTTTCCAACGAAGTCAGAGCAGCATCAATTTGTCCGCAAGCATTCAAAAGCTCCTCGACTCTCTCTTCAAACTTCGAGACGGACTCGGCCAATTTGGAAACCCAATCACTAAGCTCGCGAGAGTCCCATCGAATTCGCCGCTTCTTGGAAGCCGCCGTGGACGTGGACAATTTTACACCGAAAGCCTCCGAGACGCACTCACGAATCTCAACCAACTGAGGCTTCACCAAAGGTTCCAGTTCAGGAGTGATCAAGACGCGAACAGCCTGGTAAGATCGCAAGGCCGTCTTGATTGTAACTGCAAATGGATAGCGCTCCATTGACTCTTGTGACACCATCGACAAAGTGCGAGGAATATCTGCCCCAAAGCCGAGCCATTTCAAGTACTTGATTTCCGTGAAGAGAGCCTCGTTCTTTTCGTCAAAGTTCACCACAGACACAAGGCTGTCGTTCATGCCGTCGGTCTGGATGATTACGGGATACGAGTGCAAAGGCGAGGTGGCAGCAGCAGTGATCTCCTTCTCCCATTCCATAACCCAGTTGCGGAAAAAGGAACGGGCATCCAGCTTTGCCAACAGATCGTCTCCACTCTTGCGGAGCTGTCGTCCTTCCAGCTGCTGGCCCCAGTTGGGACCCAGGACATTTCCCATTCGTTCCATGAGCAAATGCACTTGGCGTTCAAGCTGTTTGGCCCAAAGAATTTTACCTGCGATGGGTGGGATTCCACGGAGACGCGAAATGTGGGCGGAGCTCGAGAATTCGTACTTGTGAGTAAACTTCGACTGCAACTTCTCCACAGCCTCCGCCACCGTGGAGATCAACTGGATCTGGAATTCTTTCACAGCGGCACGAACCCGTGTCCGAGTCAAGAGCAGACTAAACCTAGCAAAGACGCGGAACATAGTCTCGGCATCCTACGGAAAGAGAGAAAGAGACTGATTAAGCTCCACAAGAACAAACAAGGATGCACATTTTGCAAAAACTCGATCAAACGAGACATACCTGGCAAGCCGTCAGTTTGTCACGCAGCAACTTTGCCAATTTTTCTTCCATGGCATCCATCTGCAAGTCATACTCTTCCAAAGCAGATTGGACCGCTTTGCTTCCACCTGGGGTCAAGTCCAAGACATCCACTGTGGAAAAGATCTTCCTCGGAGGACTTTCCACCTGCTCCATGGCATCATTGTAGGTCGCCTCGTCATCCTGCAATACCTTGCTGACGACGTCACGCAACTGATCGTGACCGCTACGGAACTCATGGATCTGGTCGAGCCGTTCCTTGAGCGAATTGTGGTGTAGCACCATCTTATCCCATACCTTTCCAGGCGTGGGCATTTTCCGGCGACGACCTTGTTCCAAAAAGAAGTCTTTGAATTCGTCCAAACGATCATCGAATTGTACAAAGACATCTTGCGTTGGGTATCGGACCTTGTTCTCGTACTCCTTGTACTCCATGTGCAAAAAGCTTTGATAATTATCCTGCAGGACCCTCACAAGGCATCGTCTCAAAGTCAAGGTAGTGGCCTCCAACAACTTCAAGCTACGTTCCAAGGAGTAGTAGCGAGAGCTCCTGACCTTGACCAAATGGTCAAAAATGGCATTGACTCCGGTCGTAATCTTATCAAAATCGCGAGCTGCTTGCAAGGCAGCAACGGGATAGGGTTTGATAAAGTGGGCCACATCACTGGTGTAACTAATTGCCTGTTCTAGACCCGTGTCGTTCTCCAAAGCACGAGTTGCCACAAAGCGCTTGGCTTCTCTCAACATGGCCAAAGTCAATTGCACATCGGGACGTTCCATCTCGGCCTGGATGGACTGCAATTCAGTTTGTAGGTGTCCCCAGAATGCCACTTCTTCCAAATCGGCACTGTCCACCTTGTCACTGTCTTCAATCAATGGGAAACTGGTTGTCTTTGGTAAAACAGTAATTTGACGAATCTGACCAATCCATTGACTAACTCCTGTCTGGACAGTGTTCAAAAAGTCATCATCAGCAAACTTGTCTGCCAGACCCAACTGGTCCCAATCAATCTTGTCGGATGTTTTGTTGGCAGCAGCTTGTTCCAAAAGTGGATGGACCTTCAAAACAACATGAGGCAATCGAGCACTGCGCTGACTCTGCGACAAAGCCACATCCAATTCTCGAATTTTGTCCTGCAAGGAAGTTTGGTTCTTGTTGGCACTGCTACTGTCTTGATCTGCCATCATGACTTGGACAGTCGGCAAAAAACAGTGGCGAGTGTACAACTGGAACGTCTGCAACAAAGTCTGCTGAGAGGACATGGCTTCTTCGGCTTCCTTGCTCTCTTCTGCGGCTGCTTCTTCACCAGTAGTAGCAGCCGTGGGTTGGATGGTCATGCATTGGATCTGATGAGAATCCTTGACGGTCGTTCCCGCCGTATGACAAAATACCACAGCACTCTTGTGTCGACCATCTTTGGGCAAACTCTCCGTGGAAGCCACGGCCGTTTCTTCTTCCGATTGAGGTACCCACACAAACAGGCGCACAGAGGCAGTGGCAGCCGCATCTTGCTGCTCCTGCAAAAATGCATCAATTGCCGCCTGACTCTTGGCGTCGTCGCCACCCACTTGAGCTCCATCCAAGTGCAACTCGCACGAGAGCCGAATGTAATCGCGAGGACTTTTGCGGCCCATGGTGCTGCTACCAATGGTTGGTTCAGAGATTCACAACAGGATACCCTTGCCTTGCACACTCTATCTCAATTCTTCTTCTTCTTTACTTTTATTATTATCTTTCTTTCTTTCTTCTTCACCAACAACAAACAACAACAAGGCCACTTCTTTCTCTCCTACTGTGGCTTGCTTATTATTGTCTCGGTGGATATTATCGTCTTCCTCGTTATCTATCTCCAACAAGGAATCTTTGTTGTAGCAACAACGGCATTATTTCATAAAGGGCATCCGTCACCCACCACAAGAACGGAGTGGTCCAATGCGCGCCCTGCAGAGCTGTCGACCGTGCCTGCGGATCTTCCACGATCTTTTGATCCGTTGGAAGATACACACCCTCCAGAATGCGAAAATGGATAATAAAAGGAAGCAAAACAAGCATTTTCAACCTATTTGCTCCTAAAAATTGGATTTGGAGCTCAGACAACTTCCTTTTAGCTCTTTTAGTTCGATTGATCGAATATTTCAATCTTTTAAAATCTAGTCTAGTACAAAAATCGATTGGGTCAAGGATAGTATGTCGGCGAAGGTACGTGCCCGTGTCGTTGAAATCTTCCAGACTTGGATTCAAAGTGACTTTCTTTTGCTTCCGTGGTTCCTTCATGCCGGGGATAGAGAGGATCGATGGGTCCTGTTCTCACAAAGTAGCCAGAGCGCAACAGGCCAGAAGAACCACCCAACAATTAAACCAAACCCAAAACAATGCCTCGTGAAGAGAAGGCGAAGAGCAACAACCCACCCGGAAACAAATATCAGGGGGGCCATGTTTATCGAGGTGTGATTACCAGACCGGAACTACCATCCGACGCAATGAAGCAGTTGAGGAGCCTCTTGGAGGATGTCGGACGGTGCACTCTCGAGGAGTGTCAGGGATTTTTTCAAGACCCCAAGGTGTGCGAAGAAGCACCCGAGAAGGCCTTGTTCGTCGGCTTCAATAAGGTCATCGCCGACAAGAAGACCTTCAAGGAATATGAGGACGACGCCAGTTGTCTCTATTGCCGTCTTGTTTATCACGCGCCATACGGACACCCCTTTTCCGAATTGCCCCTCCACCAAGCTTGCCGCAACGGAGTTCCACTACAAATAATCCAGCTCTTGGTGGAACGGTTCCCCGAGTCTGTGTGGATACCAAATGAAAAGGGAGAACTCCCATTGCATGCTGCTTGCGGAAGGTATTGCCAACGGTCGAGGCACCGCATTGATGGCACGCTGCAATGGCATTGTTCTTGCGGTAGCGTTTGCAAGCGGAAGGGAGGGCATGACTTGGAGGTGATTCAATATCTCATTGACATTTATCCAGAAGCACTCACAGTAGCAGGGAAGCGGAATTGTTTCCCTCTCCACCACGCCGTTCAAAGCGGCGCATCTCTGGAGATCATCCAAGTGCTGGTTGAAGCTGCCCCGCAGGTATTGCAGGCGAAACGCAGAATTGGGTGTCGGGCTTCCCTTCGTTCAGCGAGCAAAATAACGTTTGCATACCCAAGCAGCGCACAAGGTACACCATTGGAAGTGGCCAAACGGGGCAGCCCAAGTACCCCCTGCCCCGTGGAGGTGGTGCAGTATTTGAAGACTGTCACGAATGCGCCTGATCCAGCTTTGGAGGTCGCTTTTCAAAAAATGTAGCCGCGCCGCCGGAGACTGCGAAATCACCAGAGACCACCAGAGACAATGCAAAGACGAGGCCGACTCGCATCGTTGGCATTCATTTCTTCCTTTGCTTTGTTGTGGTTGCATCCTAAAAGCTGTTACATTGTAGCCTACCGTAAAGAGGCTTATCTCGTGAACACATCCCGGATATCCATCTGCTTCAATTTCCCTGCTCTCGACTCTACGCCATCGTCCTGACTTAGACCGCTGCCTCCATTCAATTTTAGCCGTCCACGAAGCTTTTCGGTTTCTATTGTATGGCAAGGAACACAGAGCGACCTCAAATTGTCAATGCCACAACCTCCACCTCCTTCGGCTACTGCTTGTATGTGGTCGGCTTGCCAAAAGCTGCCCTCTGTGGGATCCTGTAGGAGACGCTCCAGAGCACGACGACTCTTGGGCAACTTCCACTTGGCATTGCAAAGAACACTCAACCGTTCTGATGGAGGGAGAGACTTGATACGAAGAAAGAGGGCATGGGCGTTGACTCCACACAACTGACAAACGCCACCTTCCAGGGCAAACACTTGTTCACGGATGCGGCTCGAAGCAAACATTCCACCGCGACGGATCCGACCCTCTTCGGCACAAGCTTGAGAACAGTACACCGCCTTGGCGAGTTTCGAGGCATCTGACAGAGCACCTGCACACCAAGCACAGTTGTCACCCTTGAGCACATCCATGTCCTCCTTGCTGGCCGTGCCATCTTTCAGCCGTTCTCCGGCTCGTTCCTTGGCGCCTCCGCTGTACCGATCCGTAGAGGATTTGTGCAATGCACTTGTATTCTTCATCGTGAGCAATTTGGCAGCACTCTGCGCAAGATTCTTGGATGAAAAGGCTTCGCCAGAGTCCTTGATTGCCTTTCGATGCACTTCCCTCAGTGCCAAATAGGACCGGACGAATTCTTCCGTCTCCCTGGCGCATTGCTGTTGTTTTGGCGGAGAACTGACAATGCTAGAGTCTAGTCTTTGAATAATTTCCATGACCGACAATTGATTGAAAGCGATGCAAGTTGGGTCGGTTGACTTTCCTCGTTTCGTCTGGGCATCCTCCAGAGCAATGACGGTTTTCTCAGTGAGAACATCATCAGCGGCAAAGTTCTGGAAAGTGGAAGTGTTGGTTTCGTTGTAGTGCAACGTGAAGCGCCCACTATTCTTGGAGACGCTGAATGTCAGCATTTCCGCGGGTGACGCTGCTGTTGAAATCGTCGCAATAGACGACTTTTTTGGCTTCTTTGCCGGTTCTTGTTTGGTATCAACATCAATGACAACGACATCAGGTCGGTCCTTTCGTTTCTTATGGGATTTTGTCGCGGTTGGCTTCGCGCCGGCGTCATCATCGTCAAGGACAATCACATCAGGCGAGCTTGAGGGCTTGGAAGACATTGGCACTTGCAGCGCCAATGGAGATGCATTTCTACTTGGAGTTGATTGTTTCTTTGGACGCTGAGATTGTTTAGCTGATTTGACCGATGATGCTTCCTTCTTGTGATCAAAGACTGTTTGACAAATGTGACAGGCCATGACCGATGCTGCTTTCTTGCAGTTGACGAATGTACAAGCTTGGCATGCCCACTCCACCTTGTCATCTTTCTTGGTCTTCTCGGGAACACTCCTTGTCGGGCTTGCTTCCTGGTTCTCGTCGAAACTACAACTCCTAGTAGGAAGCTGTTTCTTCTTCTCCGGTCTCCGTACTGCCTGTGGTTTGCTCGCTGCAACTGAATTATTATTGGTAGTGGCGGCAGAAACCTCATTTGAGGCTTTCTTCTTTTGGAAAAAGCTCAAGATGGACCCTTTGGTGGCCACCTTTGGTGGCGCCTTTGCTTCGGCGGCGGCCGTCTCGGCAAAAAAGGTTGTGAGCTCTTCTTGAGCCGATTGTTGTCGTGGTTGCTGTTCTTCTTGTTCCACTGCCGCCAGTGCCGCTCGCTCCTTTCCTGTGCCACCCTCGATGACTTGTTCCAAGGTTCCAACTTTGCGTCCCAACATGTTCCAGAGTTGCAAATCGACCGAAATGGTGGGATCCTTGCAAATAAAGTACATGATATTGACAGCATTGCGCTGTCCAATGCGATGAGCCCGATCTTCGGCCTGGGCCAAGACTCCGGGAGTATAATGGAGTTCGGCAAACATGACATTGGATGCGGCCGTCAAGGTCAATCCGACTCCTGCCGCCGTCATGCTCAACAGTGCCACGCGAACTTGGACACTTGTCTGGAATTTGCGGACCAGTTTGGCTCGTTCATTGGAAGCAACACTGCCGTCAATTCGAATATGACCGACTCCCTTGAGGGACTTGGAAATGGCCAATTCGAGGGTATCCATGACCGCCTTGTGATGGCAAAAGACGAGTACCTTTTGTGTCCCCGCTCCGGCAATCCAATCGACGAGATAATCTGCCACAGCTTGTGCCTTGATCATCCCACCGGCTTGATAGGCTTGCTGAAACAAGGTTTTGGCCTCAAAACTGGCCGTTCGTTGATCGTCTCCCACCAATTGGGCCACGGAGAGACGAGTGCCTTTTAATTCTTGTAAGAGTTGTTGCGTTTCTTTGAGTTTGGTCTTGTCGGCAATGGTGTGAATGGGGATGACGGATCGTTGTTTGGGTGGCAATTCGTGCAAGACATTGCATTTGAGTCGTCGTACCATGACTTGTTGTAGTTTTGCATGCAATTCTTTCGCATTGGAGAGTCCGGACACATCCCACCGTCCAAAGATGCGTTTGGCGCCACAATACGTGTTGGTAAAGTCCGTGTATTTGCCAAAGAGCGTGGGTGAAAGCACATGTAGCTGCAGCCACAATTCGACGGGCCGTGCCATTGCGGGAGTTCCCGACAAGAGAACGAGCCGTTGTGCCTCTTTTAAAATGGGCAAGGCGAGTTTCGAACGTTGTGCTGTTTTTTGCTTCAAATTATGGGACTCGTCGACAATAATGCATCGAAAGTGGAATGTCTGGAGTAGTTGGGCCACGGCGGATCTATTTTGGAGGAGACTAAATGTGACGACGACAACTTGAACGTTTGGTTTCTTTTCAAAGTGAATGTCGTTAAATCCATTGACGACATAGACTGCCTGCGGAGGGATACTGGGTAGAAACTTTTCAATTTCGGCGGGCCACATGTGACGGAGAGATGCTGGACACAAAATGAGCAATGGCCATTCTGATTTGTAGTGCGCCATAATGGCCAAACTGGTAATCGTTTTACCCAATCCCATCTCATCCGCCAAGAGGATGCGTCCCTTGCCCAACAAATCTGGATCATGACGGAAATCAGATGACGGTTGAAGCCTGGAAGAGACCTTACCCAAGGTGGCAAATTCGTAAGCTTCTCGTTGAAAGGGACGCAACTTGGAAAGCAGGCCCTGCAGTTCTGTGGATATTAGAGTCTTCTTGTTGTTATCTGAGGAAGCTGTCCTCTTGGGAGCAGCAGCAACAGCAGTGTTGCCTTTGCGATAAGGATTCTTCGTCATGGTTGCCTGCCTTGGGGTATATTCTGGGTGCTGGTCCATTTTGTGCCTCATTCTTTCAAGAGCGACTTCAAAAATAGCGAGGCCTGCCAAAGAGTTCGCGCCATTTCTGGAAAGCCAGAAAAGACTGGTTTTACATCCAGCGACGATAAGGATTTGAGGTTTTGTCGGAGGATTTTGCGAAGAGGTGAAAAAGAACAACGGCGGAACACCTCCCTCACTCTGGCCAACGAAAATCTCGTTCAATCTCGATCAATCCAAGAAACCCCCTCGACGACACCCAATGATTGTACATGCACCGATATCTCCACTATGAATAAAGATGACGGAGAAGAACGGCCCTTGAAAAAGCCCAAAAAGTCTCCCGAGGACAAAGGTACTGCCAACTCTTCCACCAAAGCGGATACATGTACCAAGAAACCACAATCCTCAAAACTGTTGAATCTAAGTATCTGTGAAACGAAAAACTTTGGACAACAAGAGGTATTCTCCAACCAGGATATCGTTGTCCGTATCTTCTCCTTTCTCGATATCGAATCCATCCTACTCAAAGCACGACACGTCAACTCGACATGGTTCCAATCTTCTTCTCGGGCCGTCCTCCGTCGATTGATACACGACCAAACCAAATTCTGCTAGAGGTGCTTTTGTAGTATTTTGTTTTAAGATTGCTTATGTATTTATTATGAGCCTATCTACTTGTACCTGCAGTACATTCTGTTCTCATCAGACAGGCTTCTGTTTCATGCAAGGTTGTTAGTAGAGACAGGTAGTTGCCCACAGCAACACAGCACAACAAGAACACAATGTCATGCTACCTGAACTCTGCAATCAGAGATCACTGACACTCACCGGCCTTCAACACCCTCTTCCAGTGGCTCTGATAAAGTAATGCAATCATTCACTCATGGATTTGTCATCTCCAACATAGACAGCCGCATGCTTGTTGAAATCCTTCAACCCAACATTCTTGGTCAAGATATCACTGCACATGTTCTTGTTGGAAATCCAATTCAATACTAAAGTGCCTTCCTCCTTCAACTCGCGTAGGAATGCAACTCGGTTAGCCACATGTCTGGTCCTTCCAGCAGAAGACCAATTGTTGGCTAGATCCACAGCTCCTTTGTTGTCAACATACAGAACCATAGGCTTCTGTACCTTCAACTCCATGTCCTCCAACACACGCATTGCAAACAACATGTCTTGGGCACAACCCACTGCAGCAACAAACTCAGCTTCTGTCACAGACAAAGTCACAATGTTCTGCATCTTGCTCCTAACAGCAATGGGTGCTCCACAAAGAAAGGTTGTAGCTCCACTCACACTCCTGAACTCATCCCTGTCTCCAGCATATTCAGCATCAGACATGCCATGGATGACAAACTCAAAGCTCTTGTCTTTACCATCCCACTTGGCATTGGGCTTGATGAACCATCCTCTCTCAGGAGTCTTGAGGTAGTGAAGCATCAACTGTTTCAAAGCAGCCATGTGTCCTTGAGTAGCCTGTGACATGAACCTTGACAACTCTCTGAGTCTGTTCTTGGTCTCAGGCCTTGACATCTTGGTGAGATGAATGAGCTTGCCAACTCCCTTCCTGTAGACAGTTTGCTCTTCACGGGTCAGCAACTCCGTTCCATCATCCTTGGACAGTCGACTTCCAATTGAAGCAGGCAACATGGATCGGCTGTTCTTGGGCAAATCAAACTCATCATGCAGACTCTGCAGCAACACTGGTTGAGTGATCTTCATGGTACCAGCCTTGATGTCTCTGACAATCTTGCAACCAACATACTCTGTCAGTGCACCACAGTCATCACATTCAAAGATCTTCTTGATACCATCAGTAGCTTGCTTGAGCACATTCTTGCTTCCAGCTCCAAGCAAATCATCAACCCAGGATGCCCACAGCACCAATCCACACTTGGTCCACTTGTAATAGAGACAAGCATCACTTTTGTTCCTCTTGAATCCAACTTTCAGGAATGCTCCCCAGCACTTGGTCCAAAAACAGTAACTTGCCTGTTTGGTCCCATACAATGTCTTCATCAGCAAAAGTACCACTCCCTTTGGGTAATACTTCTCAAAGCCTTGGGGAACATAGATGTACATCTTGTGCTTCGGATCAAACTCTCCAAGTAGGAATGCACCCACCACATCCATCAGCTGGGTACTCCAAGCAGCCATACAAATCAGCACAAGAATAATCATAATGGTCATATGTGCCACCACAGGTGCAGCCTTGTCCAGCTCATCATAGTGCTCTCCATCGACTTGCTCAAATCCTCTGGCATTGACCCTTGCCCTGTACACTCCATTGGCCTTCTTCCTCATGGCCCAAGTAGTTGTCAGGATCTTGGCATCTTCAGGAATGTCCTTGATAGGAGTAGGCTTGAAAACTTTGCTCTTGACCATCTTGTCATGTTCAGTTTCAACTGCCTTCTCCCAGTGTGGCTTGTCTGGAGTAGCCATGGCCTCATCATACTTCAGGACATGCAACTCACTTGTGTGGGTGAAACCACCACCGAGACCAGTTCCAACAAAGGCAAATTCCTCATCGCTTGACACAGCATCATACCAAACTGGCTCAGATTCCATTCCCTCTTCTGCTTGACAAGCGACAGAGTCATAGAAGTAGTCAGGGTCATCGTCCATGAGAATTTGAAAATGCTGTTCAGCAGGGGTTAAAACATCAACAGATGGAGCCATCACTTCCAAGAGTTCAACTTGCTCAGAAGCATCCTTGGCTGACTTGTATCCAATGGATTGATCAGCCCACAGAAGTCGAGGCTTGGGAACACGACCACTAGCAGTAGCACGAGGATTAGCAACAGGAGAGTCTTCACTGTCTTCAGAGGTATCCTCGTCCTCAGAGGTACTTTCACTGGAGGAACTTTCACTTGAGGAACTGCTGTCATCAGCTTGAAGACTCACATCTTCTTGGTCAGAGGGCTCATACTCAGAGTCAGCAGCACTGTCATCATCAGGAACTTCCAAGGGATCATCATCAGAATCAGTTCCCTCTTCAACTGGCCGCTGGAAGAACATCCTACGGAGCCAAATGATATCACGGGTAGTGTGGACGCGACTGGTCTTGGGGTCCCACATTCTATAGCAATCACCGGGATGTGTCATAGAGTAACCCACAAACATGCAAACTCGGCCAGAGTTCTGGTCCTTGGGTTGCTTACTGGCCTTCAGACTCACAGTACCGGCTTCACCCCATGTCCTAAGATGCTGAGCAAAGGCCGGATTGTTTCCAAACTGGTGTTCAAACCTGGTCTGTACCCGTCCATTGATCCGAATGGCAGTCAATCCATCCAGGTGGGTAGCAGTCTTGGCAGCTTCAGGGAACAATAGGCGCCTTAGGTCAGGCTTCTCAGGGACATTGGCAGCATTCATCATGGCCTTAGACTTTTGGGACAAAACCTTGAAAGCAACTTCCACAGGGGAGTTCTGCTGAGGTGTGTTTCTAGCAGTGTACTCAACCGCAATGGGAATCTTCCAGTGCTTAGACTTGAGACGCTTCTCCAAGGTCTGATTCTCACCAGCATTGTCCATACGCAACACATCAGGCAGGAAACCTCTGATATGAAGCTGATACAGCTTCTCACAGGTAGGTTCAACCATGCCACTCTTCGACTTGTAGAAGTTGGTGATCTTGGTGCCAGTGCAGGCATAGACCAACAGTCGCCAGTGCTTGAAAACTTTACCGGTTGCCTTGTTGGTCAGAGTACTCAGATCCAGATGCAATCGGTCATTGTCCAATGTCAACTGCTCTTGAAGGTCAGACTCACTGGGGACATTTTTCTGTTTGGCTTTGGCACGAGTACAAGCTTCACAAGGTCCAAGAGTACCACGAGTCAGGACAATGTTCAGGGCCTTGGCAGTCTTCCTTGTGATGTCTTCACTGCTGTGCCCAAACAATTGGTGAGCCTTCACAATACTCATCCTAGGGCCAGCAGACTCATCAGCTTCAATAGCAGGGGTCACAACCTCAGACCGTCCATGACGCTTGAAATACAGTGCATAGATTCTGCCACGCTTGGTGTCAATGATAATATCAGCAACGAAAGACACACCAGTGGGACTTGTGAACAGCCTGCGGAACTCATTACCTTGCTCGGTCCAGCCTTTCTTGAGAAGACGGTTGGTGGCAAACAGATTAAACTTGCCACGATCACAGTATCCAACTTCAGTCATACAGGCATCCATACAGGGAGAACCTTGATTGTCACATATGGTGCCATCCAAACGTCCAATCTGACGAACAGGCGCAGTGGCTCCATTAGCACACACTGGGGCTTCATCCTCGGGCAACGGCGACAGATCGTACAGTCCATAGCTATGACAGGTCATAGAGTAAGATGCACCAGAGTCAACAATCCACACATTGGGATCTTGCAAAAGAGCAACAGAATTGGGGAACTCTTGGAGATACTCATAGAGCCTGTCTTGCATGTGGACTTGAAGGTCAAAGGTGTCAACAGCTCCCATGAGGATGTCGAAACCCTTACTGCGAGAGGACTTCTTGGACTTGGAACTTGCAGCAGCAGCATTGACCTCTGTCTTATTACGATCCTTGGGGACATACCACTTGGGCTTCTTGTCCACGTTGACCGGATTGTCCCAACAGTCAGCAGCCTTGTGACCCTTGGTGCCACAATAGTTGCAGTCTCCAGTGAACTTCTGGCGGTTGTTACGATTGCTGGGACGTCTGCCACTTTGCTGGGACTGGTGCTGCTGTTCACCGGCAGCCATCGAGATGTCTCGGTCTGACCTTTGATCGGTGCCACCAGCTGCCTTCTGGGCAAGGCGCTTGCCTTCAGTCAACCTCTACTGCTCATGCATAACATCACATAAGTCTTGCAGCTTCAGGTCAGAGCCTTTGCGGTGTTGCTCCATGGTAAGGACAGTGTGATACTGCTCAGGAGCAGCAGCGATCACAGCCGAGATCAGCTCATCTTTGTCAATCTTGCTTTGTTTCACAGGGTCCCAGAACTTGCATTCAATCTCACTGATACGATTGAATAGGACAGTCGGATCCTCTTTCTTCTTCATGGACAAAGCCGAGAGCTGTAAACGAAGCTCCACATGGCTCACTGTATCTTTGGGACGGTACTTATCTTCGAGCCCTTGGATGACTAGATACGCTAGTCCACTTGGCCAAGCCGTAGTAATGGCCGCAAAGATCAGTCCAAACAAGATAGGACTAGTCAGAGACACCTGCAAGATCCACATGGCCAAGAGGTTGCGCTTACGGGCAGCCTTGTTCTCAGGGGTCTCGTTGGCTCCTTCTTCTTCAGTATCAGGCAGCTCAGTTTCTTTGGTAAAAGCTGCAGCACACTTGTGGATCGCACAGTAGGATCGCAGACGCATCATGAAGATCATGTAGCCATCCGGCTTCCCATCAAAAGTGGGTGGCTTATTCACAGCCTTGGAGATGTCCGTTGGCTCAGACATGTTTTCGAGATCTTCAGGGACTTCAGGAACTGTAGGACCACTTGCTTCACTGTCACTTGACAAGGCTTGGGCGTCCTCTTGCTCGATCACTCCAGTATCGACAAGCTCTTCCTGTTCAATCTGGCTCAGTGTTCGGAACCAGGCTCTATCCAGGGCTTCTTGGTTGGCCATACAAGGCGGACCACAACACCGGACACTTCACTGACTAATGGAACCCTTGGCTACCACCTGGTACCTTCGATATGTCTGTCTGACACTTGGTTCCCAAACTCGATGCTCTGAACTGCACTGCAGGAGCTCAACTTGGTAAGCACTCAGCCTCAGGTCAACAAACACACCTGGTGAATCAGTCCGGAGAAATAAATGTGTGACTCGAAGCACGACTGGGACTGGCTTGCTCTCGAAGCGTGACTGGGACTGGCTTGCTCTCGGAACGGTGACTCGATCCGTGACAGGACTCGAATCGGTGACTGGACTCAATCAACCGTGACTGGTTCAGTCTTGTTGTCGGGACCAACTCCTGGCTTCAGACTTGTCTGACGCAGACACAGAACAAGCACTGAACGGCACTTGTGAAGAAGCTGTGTCTTTGTCGAACAATTCTTTCACCACAACAGGAAGTTGATCGCACCTCAACGGTAACTTCGAAGTTTGCTAGAGGTGCTTTTGTAGTATTTTGTTTTAAGATTGCTTATGTATTTATTATGAGCCTATCTACTTGTACCTGCAGTACATTCTGTTCTCATCAGACAGGCTTCTGTTTCATGCAAGGTTGTTAGTAGAGACAGATAGTTGCCCACAGCAACACAGCACAACAAGAACACAATGTCATGCTACCTGAACTCTGCAATCAGAGATCACTGACACTCACCGGCCTTCAACAAATTCTGCGTCAAGCTATGGTTGGATGCCTGCGAGGACTGTGATGGCATGTTGAGGAATGCACCATTTCCATAATGGCTAAAGATGGCCAGCATCATCAAACCAGGAAAGCTTTGATTGAGGAAGCAGTGCAACAGTGTCAACACCATTTCTATCCCAATGAGATACCAGAGGAATATCTGGCTGGTACGGAGGAGATTCCTTGTCTGAATGTGGATCGAGTCCGACAAGAACTCACCGCCAATGGGAGTGTAGAGCTTTCGGATGGAGGCTACGGATTCAATGTGACGCAAGCCTCGGTGACACACCTACCTGTACCTGTACTGCAACAGCCGCCACCCACACTGCCTGTCGACCTACGCACGGCCCATGGGTTCCAACTCTGCATCACTGGACAATTAATCAAGCCAGAGAATGATATGTATGCACCCATCATCCAGGAAGTGAGACACGACTTTTCGAGAAAACGACAACAGCTGTGGACTATGGAACGGTGAACGGTGTATGCGGGTGTGTCTCCCACTGGCCGTCGTCCAACAACCAATGGTGTTGAGCCAATTGGCCTACGAGACCCGCTATCCCGGCTGTACTTGTGGGATGGACCATCGACATGTGCAACAATGCCTCGAGTTGACAGTAAAATGTGAGGATGATCAAAAGGAGCACATCCTCCAGTACCAACTCACCAAGGAAAAGTCGCGAAAGACGAGGAATGATTTCAATCTACCGGCGACTCCGGATTACTGGCATGAAATGGAATTTGCAAAGCCCGTCGTAACCAAGGAGGAATCATCTTTGCTTGCCCTGCAACAAGAAAAGCCATCCGACCGAGGCCTTTTTGAGGAATCCGATTCGGAGGATGACCACAACAGTGAGCCCGCCCCAGCCAAAAAGCTTGCACCGAAAAAGCCGGCACCTCCTGCATCCGACGAGAAGCTCTTTGCCGATTCCGATGACAGTGATTGAGGTTTGATGCACAAGCAAAAGCAGGAAGAGCGTCGAGGCAGTGTACTCCAACAATGCCTAGTCTGGGAAGCACACACTGCGGGAACCGTCGGTTTTGGCCACAAATCTGCCTAAGCCTGCCCCCGCGCCGGCTTCCGTAGATAATTTCCCTACGGTACCGATACCGCCTCTAAAACAACCTGCGATAGCTATTATTATAGCTACCGTACGGTAGTTGGGAAGTTACTATGGATTAGAGGGATGTGGTAGTACTACCGTGAATACAAAAAGAACTTAGTCTAGCCAGGGGGTACCTGTACCTTGTAATCTTCGCAACTCGCAACGTCTCCTGGCGCAGAAAGCCACCGGAACTGCACCCAGGGCACACCCTTCATCAATCGTGGGCCTTGCGTTTAGTTGACCACTGGGACCCTACCGTACACTACCAGAAAATCGTATTGGTTTGGACCGGGTGCATTGAAATAATCACCCAGTAAATTTCTACGCTTCTTTATGTGCATGCTGGTCCTTCAGGAGCTGCAAACTTCCGCTTTTTCCCTCCTCTCAAGGGTGAAGCTTGACCCTGAGAATGCATTGAAGTAGAGCAGCACCAAAGAGAGGGTTTCTCGCGCAGAAGACCATACAGCACTCCTGTCTTATCCTTTTCCGCTTGTATTCCAGTTTGTGGGTGCCCTGGGTTGACAGTATAAGCAAGCTCCCGAAATGAAACAGACGTCACATTCAAAAGGATATCAACAAGGTCCTTTGGTGTGGTGTTTTCGCTGGTCATTCTCCACCGTCCAAAGTGTGCCAACCACAACATCTGTTGAATCTTTACTGCCACTGATTCCAATGGATAATATCGAAATGGATGGATGTCAATGAGACTGCTGTCAAGACAGTGTGCATCGCAGTTGACGAAGTGACAAATGGTCCCACTCTTAATCAAGAGGAATGACAGTACCCTGTTCACGCTCCCCTCTAGCATCTCCAGGAACCACTCCAAGACAGAACGCTGGTCCATGCAAAGATAATTCAATCCATCCAACTCTAGCCTACGCAGATTGCGGTTCTTCTTGAATGCTTCGCCAAAGAGAGACAGTTCTAGATGTCGATGCCCAGTACCATTGGTATCAGAGAACTGGAGAACCTCAAGTGTTTCAATTCCAAGGGTCGTAACCAAAGCCGATGTCACATCCAACAAATTCTCCTTTTTTGGAACGAAGTCAGGTATAATTCCCATGAGATGAAGCTTCACCAAGCTTGCTCCACAATCAAATCTATTTGCAAAGGTCGCATTTGCGGTCAAAATGTTTTGGTGGCGGGGTAGCGATGAGATCGCTCGCATAGCTCGAGAGCCACAACATGAAAACATGTTGGGGCAGGGCCGCTTCCATACCTTGCAAAGCGAGGGAGAATAGGCCGTCTGGGATAGCACAGATGTGTAAGCCAGCTGCAATGATTTGGTGTGAACACAGAGTTTTGCGAGGTGCTCCGCGTGAACATTTTCCAAGCGGTGTAGCTCAATGTGTTCTATCGTGGAGTTGCCCTTGCCGCTCGAGGAACTGTTGGGGGTTGTACGGACAACATCCAGTAAAAATTCCAGGAACCGGTTGTTGGTAAATTCGTCTTGGCTATGGACTGTATGGGTTCGCAGCTTTTCTCCAATCTCACCGCTGACCTTGCCATAGCTTTTTTCGTTGCCATAGAGGTAGAACTCTTCACCACCTTCCTCTTCGTCTTCAAACATCCACCAACAATCCCCGTTGCATTCATTGTAGAGACGAAGATGAAGTGCTGTCGATGAAATGTGCTTCTGAATCAAGGACTTCATCATGCTTGTGGCCCTTGGGTTTGTCCATGCGATGTCCGTTGGAATTGACAGGGAAAGCTTTTGTAGGTTGGAAGAGTTGGCCAGTAGCAGCTTGCTTGCACGTGCCCATTCGGGTTCAATCTCCATCCCAGAATCGTCCAGCGACGTGAAATCTTCAAAACAATTCAGGTCAAGTCGAAGCTCTGAAAGGTTCGGCAACATCTGCGAGAAGATTAGGTCAATCCTGGACCCAGTAAGCCACTCAAAGGTCTCATGTTCACATTGCAACGCACTGAACAAAAGATCCTGCTTGAGATCCAAGACACGGGAGCCCATTGGAATTTGTTCCAGCAACTGCAGAACAATCTTATGATCAAGATCAGCTGCAATAACAGTTTTCAACAACTCTATGACTGCATCGTCGTCATTGGCCGTGAATTTTGGACTTTTGGAAAGCAGGATCTCTAGAATTTCTTCATCACAAGAAGAGCCTTTTAGGCTCAGATTTTCCAAGCGCTTGTCAGTGAAAAATCTGAGGATTGGCTTTGCAGCATCAAAGGTTTGGTTCACCTGGGATGCCAGCCACTTGAGTGTTTTGTGGTTGATTTTTGGAAAATCTGAACAAGCAAACTCCAGTAGACTTGAATACATTAGAAAGCGCTGATTGAGTACTTCTGGATATACTCTGAGGACTCTGTTGAGTATCTTGCTGTCAAAATTATTCATGACAAAAAAGGCAAGTGGGTATAACGCTGCATTCCCAAACCGAGGGTGAGGGGCATCACGACCAAAGAATCTTTTTGTAGCCAAAGCAGGGAATTCTTCCAGCAGAAGAAGGGCGTCAATGGCATCTGATGCCGACTTTGCCACTTCAGATTGACTGTATTCCATTTCGGGATCAAGACTGGTGTCAAAACATGGACTTTTGGAGAAGTATACCCGAAGAGTGTTGTGGGCTTCATTCGTCAAAGCATCCCCGTCAACATTATCGTTCTCTCTATGCTGGTGATTCTCCACCTCCATGGTCTCCTCGGACTGCTACCGTGGGAGGCGCTGTTGCTAGCTAGAATACTTAGTATTTCTAAAGCTGTAATTTAAAAAAATTGCAATGCTGTGATGCCGTGGATGGAGCCTTCGGCGATCGCGAGAGATCGCGATAATAAGGTAGGTGTCATCGCATCAGATTTGGAGCAACCCATTGAGTGCAGGGTTGCGTCGTATTCGTGACAAACATCGGCAAAGAGTCAAATGGGACTGAAAGATCCATTCCCTCGCTCGAAGTCTACAAAAGCAAAAAAACAAGCACACAAGGAAAGGCCCCACGGGAGCGTCAAACGAAGAAAGCAGCATGGGAGACTCTGGCTGGGATGATCTCTTTGCCATGGCAGAGGGTAGTGGGGACACTGCTGCTGATTCAGCCTACCAGCAACCAGCAGATGAACCTGTAGTCAGGGAGAAGCCCAGGAAATCCCGCAAACGAAGACGAAAGGAGAAGGAATCCAAAAAATCAACACAGGATCGAAGCAAATACTACCAAGAGGCTTTTCAGGGTATGCTGCAGTCTCGCATACATGAATCTGCTGCATGGCCCGATTGGATATCTCTGGGAGGTTCGCTGTCGTCGACCCAAGAGTGTACCAAGTTTCATGCGTCTTCTTCCCACGAGTCTGCCTCCGACAAGGGTAGCCTCTGCAGTCACTGCCAACAATCTGCTTCGTGTCACGAAATCACCTCATCCACAAAACATCCCTGCTTGCAAACATACTGCCACTTACGAAATATTCGATGCATTGCCAAGGTTGCCATCCTCTCAAACACCCTGACAAAGAGCCTACCAGATACCACCACAGCTATGCTCCAGAATCAATTATCCAAACTCAATCGGGCATTTTCTTCGTCGCAGTCATCCCTCATTCACAATTCCCACGAAGTTTCCCTGTTGGAATCTAAAAAGATCCAACTAGACAAATCGGCCAAGCTGGTCATGTCTACCCGCAAGGAAAACCCGTTCGTAGATTTGGTACGCCTCATTATTGGCTGTGACGACCTCTATTACAGACTTTATTATCTGCAAATCACCAACCAATTGACACCCATGGCAGCAGAACCTAATACAGATAGCATTCCAGAAGATCAATATCTTTTTCTACCCCACCCATCCGAGCACCATGGTTCCTTGACAGCAGCACCCTCAGTCGAGTCCGAAGCATGTCAAGACTTGTTGGAAAGACTGAACAAGGACGACGACGAAACATTGCTCCAACACGTGGGTTTCCCAGGATCCGAGGAAGCAAAGCAGCATCCGCTCGCCGCCATTCAAAGATATCGGTTCCTGGAAACTGTCGTCATCTTTTATCAAAGTGGATGGTGCCATTGGGAAACGACACGACAACAAGTACTTCGATCACTCAACAACATCAAGGACGACGATGAAGAACACGAGACACCTGCACCCACTATTCTTCGGGAATGGAGAGATTCTTGTCGTGACTTTCTGTGCCATCTCTATGCATATGCCACACTCTCTGCAACGAGTTTGGATACCATGGCTCGTTTTGCCAAGGAGGGTGGCATTGTGGAATACGGAGCTGGAACGGGCTATCTGGCGACCATTCTTGCCAAAAATTACAATGTAAGGGTAAATGCATTTGATGTATGCCCCAACAGCAACAACAATGAAACTGAGAAATCGGGCACACACAACGACTATCACGGACTGACACCATGCTGTACCAAGGTTAAGCAAGGCGACGTTGCCACTCTTGCTAAAGATTTGAAACAATACACCATCAACGCCCGTAATGTTACGCTACTGCTGTGCTACCCTCCCCCGAAATCGTCCATGGCGTTGGACACGTTGAAAGCCTTTGTGCAACATGGTGGCACGTCCTTTATCCATATTGGAGAATTCAAGGGCTTGACTGGCTCTCCAGAATTTGAACAATACCTGCACGACAAGTTGGAATGCGTCCAGAGATTTCCGTGTCCTAGCTGGGGCACGGATGCTGCAGAAGTCACCATGTGGACAACCAAAAAGACAAATGATGGCAGCAAGAAGCGACCTCTCCTGCCATGCTCCTTTTGTAAGAAACGGGAAGCCGTACGAAGATGTCGTCTGCTTCGATACTTGGTGTACTGTGGCAAAAAATGCTGCAAACGGGATGCCGAGGCACGTGGGAAACAGTTGAGGTTGCACATGATTGATCTCGGCCCCAGTATTCGTTTAGAGTTTCAAGATGACAGGCAGTTTGAAGTGCTGTAACGAAACAAGTCGAGTATTGTTTAGCTCTTATAATGGGTTCCTTAGCATAGTTAACTTGTAAGTGCTATCAGTTTGTACATTTCGGGGAGAATTCTGTTGTAGAAAATTGACATTCCTCCCAGCACACGTGTATGTTGAAACATCTCTCGCTCGTGGCTTTCATCGCGGTTCTTTAGCTTGTTGATGACAATAATCACAGCCTCCTTCTGCTGCTGTTGTTTTTGTTGTGCTCGTACCTTGCGTCCTCCTCTCGTTGTCTTCCTGGTGTGTGGTTCAAAGGCCGGTCACATCTGTTGGGTTGCTTTGTTTGCATCAAGCAGCATCCAATCTAAGCTTCTGCTGCGAGTCTCAAATAACGCCAGAGGTCGTCTCGTCCAAGCTTTGTGTTGGACGATGACAAAATGACGGGACGTTTCCCAACGCCATTTTCATTCATTGCCGTGCGCAGACTTTGCATGACATCTTTGGATACCTTTCCGGGAGCTCCCTTGATATTCTTGTCGGCTTTGGTCAGCACCACCACGTAGTTGACTCGGGCAGGGAGATTTTCGGACACTTGGTTCATAATTTTCTTGTCCTCGTCGGTGGGCCCATGACGCGAATCAATCAAGTGAAAGACCACTCGAAGATTGTTTCGTTCCGCCAAGTATTGGCTCATGAAATCGGCCCATTGCTTCCGTTGTTTCTCGGGCACTTTGGCAAACCCAAATCCTGGCAAGTCCGTAATGAGGAAGGAGTCTGGGTCCATTGAACCTGGCATGACATCCCCATACTTGACTTCCTTTTCTCGGCCAGGTTTGTCGTTGACGGCAAAGAAATTGAATTGCTGTGTCTTGCCAGGTCGTTTGCTGGTGTACGCCAATGACTTTCGGTTGGTAACCTGCCAAAAGAAGACAATGAAAAGTTGTTTGAGTATCTTATCAACCAGCATACTCTCTCTAACCATCTTATCTATGTTCTGGCAACGTACCATATTGATCAAACTGGACTTTCCGACATTGGATCTACCAATGAATGCAGCTTCTCCTCGGTCCGCTGCCGGACAACCCTTCATATCAATGGCTCCCGTGAGAAAGACCACTCGTCGTACTAGTGCATTGGACACGCGTTCGTAGACTTCATCGCTGTTATCCGATGGAAATGTGGACATGGCATTCAAGACGGAGTAGACCAAATTGCATGGCAAATCGACTTCGATCGTCTCTTCCTGCTTGGTTCCTTCGCGTCGCCCCGATTCGCATTGCGACGCTCCTAGAATGAGCCTGCTCCAGGGCATGTCGAGTTCTTTGGCCGTGAGACCCGACTCTCGTACCATGGGCCCCAGTTCGGCCAATTTTTCACACGCCAGAACTGAGAGGGATGGTTCCCCTTGAAAGAAATGACGAGATGCCATGGAGGACAGTGCCAGTGCACGCCACTTGAGACGTTCTTGGTTGGCACTGTCGGAGAGTGGAGTTCCCTGTAGAACAGAATAATAAAGCGTGATCAGGAGGTGTTGAGTGAGACAGTTAGTGGAATGCTACCACGATAACAAAACTTGTACAACGAAAGAACAAGAAACATACCTCCAACGGCAGCGACAATTCATCGGCCAGTACTTCCAAAGCATCCGTGACATTGTGTACTCGTAGCAATCCTCGAATAATGGCGGCACTTTCCATGGGTGCCATGGAAGCCCGACATTCGACGCGTCGCACATCAATGGCGGTTCGAGCCAATTCGTGATTGTTCATGTGCAAGGCCGCGACGGCCAATCGGGACAACAAGGAGCCACGATATCCAAACGCAAACGTTTCGTCGACTTCTTCCAACAAGAATTTTTCAATCGTCTGCAAATCTTCGGCATCGTGGAGATTTTGGGCCCTCTTGATGGCTCGCAAGACATCGTCGGCCGTGGACTGGCTGGTGAGACTGGACACGGCCTGCGAATGGAGCTTGAAGTGTTTGGCATTCTTCTTCTTTTGTTGCACTTTTTGTTGCTTTTGTTGTTTTTGAGCTCGTTCCAAGGCTTTGCGTTGCGGACGAGACAACCGAGGAGCTTTTTCTCTTCCATTGTTCTCGTCGGATGACATGGCATTGGGGAAGAAAAACTCTCCACGTTCAAATTCTTGCAAGATAAAATTGGTGGCCACATTGACATTCAAGACCAAGGGAGATGGTACCGACGGTTTGTTGTGGGTGGAAGAAGGAACAAATCCGTGGGTAGCTGACAAGAGGGCCAAAAGGGCCCAGCACACCTTCATGGTGGCAGTAGTTCGCACTGTGCTGGAAGTCTTCATCATGTTCTTTGAAAATGATAATGGAATGGCAATGGCAGGAAGGGATTGCTGCCAGATAAAATAATGGACTCCAAGCAAGATCTTTCTATGATACCAGTATGATACACTGGTAGTATCGCTTATCGCTTCTCGATTATTTGATTGTAGTTGAATGAACCTTGACTTTGGATCGGCCAGTTGGATATCATGAGAAAATGACAAGCTGGCTCTTGTGTCCGTCCAAACTGGACAGGAGATCAAGAATTCTTATTTGATAGCCTTTGACACAAGCATCTCAGCGCTGGAAGTGGACGCTTTTTGATTGGAGGAAGAAGTTGATTGGAGGAAGAAAGCCAACGGTGAAAGCTGTCCAGAACAACATGGAAAAGCTTCTGCCCGCACCAACTCAGATTCAGAATTCTGATCTCAAACCGGTAATCAAAGCGTATTTGGCAATACCATGGAGATGTTCTCTTTCCGATTTCCAACAGGAGGTTTGGGGTGCCCTCGTCGAAATGACATCATCAACGGGAAGACACATCTCATCTGTCACGCCAGGTCAGGGTTCAACTTGAGCCGAACAAAAAATCTTTATTTGGCTGCATCTTCCCTTCCACAGGAAGTCTAATAAAGAAGCATGGTAGACACACCCGTCTTGAGACTGATAGCCGATCTCCAGGTTTTTGCCCAACGTGGCTAATAACACATCCATACTGGAGGTACCGGTAGCATTGGATCTGATGAGTGTCAGTCTGGTGGTACCGTACCGTACCACCAGGCAGGCAGCCACCATACCGGTACTTCCCAGGTTACTATTCTTTTCTCAACGGTGGCTGCCAGTGCTCTGGATACCGTACCTCTCTAGCTAGCTACCGGTATCATGAAAACTACTCTAGAGTAATAGGAGAACGTATCCAATGTTTTATGAGGAGCCTTTAGCAACTACCATAGTAGTCGAGTACTGAGATACAGTACTCCAATCAACCCGACATGGGGTGTGGGGTCCTTCATTCTGGAGCCAGTGCCCCTGAACCGGTACCGTTAGCAGGTTATGAGCTCGCTAAAGGGTAGGATCTTTGGTGCCGTTGATGGCCTTTCGAGTTTTTTGTGTCAAGTTTTGGATCTGGTTGGTTTTCTATCATAATTTCCAAACCTGACCACCATGGAAACCCCCACGGATGCCTCCTTACCCACCCTGACAGAGTCTGTCGACTCTTGGAAAGGCTCCAGTTTACTCTCAGTGACACAGATTACTCCAGCAGGTCTACAATTGCTCTTCGATGTCAGTCAAGAAATGCGCCAGATTGTTCGCACGAAGGGAGGCGACAATCGGTTACAGCATCGCCTTCTCGGAACGGTCTTTTACGAAGCATCGACGCGAACATCGTGCAGTTTTCAAGCAGCCGTGATGCGGTTGGGTGGAAAATTCATTCATGTCGATGGACAGGGCAATTCATCGGCCAACAAAAAGGGAGAATCCCTGGAAGATACCATACGTTGTTTGGAATGTTACACCGATGCCACCGTACTGCGACATCCCGTCCATGGAAGTGTCGGACGAGTCATTCAAATGGCCACCAAGCCAGTGTTGAATGCGGGAGATGGAGTGGGAGAACATCCGACCCAGGCTTTGTTGGATGTATTCACCATTCGAGATGAATTGAAAATTACTGCCAACAACGACAAACCAAAATTGACCGTGGTACTTCTGGGAGATTTGAAACACGGTCGTACCGTTCATTCCTTGGCGAAACTATTGGCGCAATCCAAAATGACGGCACAATTGACGCTCCAGTACTGTTCCCCGTCCGGATTGGAAATGCCACAGGCGGTACAAGACTTTGTGGCGAAATACTACAATGTCACACAACAACCCGTCACCAATCTGGCCGAGGCGGTCGCAACGGCCGACGTGCTTTATGTGACACGGATCCAACGAGAACGATTTGCATCGGGTGACGCCTACGAACAAGTCAAGGGATCCTATGTCGTCAACAATGAAATTATGAGTCAAGCCAAATCCTCCATGATTGTGTTGCACCCATTGCCGAGGGTAGATGAAATTGCCACCGAAGTGGATGCGGATCCACGAGCGGCGTACTTTCGACAAATGGAAAATGGCATGTTTGTTCGTATGGCGTTGTTGGCGTTGGTGCTGGGGGTTGCCCAGAAATAAAATCATGAGTGTCGGCGGTTCATTCATTGTTTTGGACATCAACTCTATGGACAAGATAGATTATACAAAAACTACTTTTTGGAACGGACATGGGCTTGAATGGAATCAAGGTCTCGAATGTCCATACCACGGGCAACCCTTTTCAATTGTATCCTGTATCCTGTAGCACTTCCAAATGGCCATATTTTGAAGCTCCCGTACAGTTGTCTCCAGCCAAAGACAGCCATTCTCATGGGTACACATGAGCACTTCCACATACACGACCTTTCCATGCAACCTATGCGTGTGACCATCTATGGTATCCCAGGGACAGCTTTTTTCATGAGCGTATTTTAGGAATTCCACATGGCCTTTCATAGCAGCATTGTTGCATGTGGTTGTGCTCCATGGGGGCAATCTTCAAGGGCATACTTGAGGCATTCCAATGGCCATTTAATGCAGCACGAAGCATGCAAATCATGAACCTAGCTAGCGTCAACCATGGATAAGGTTGTTGCTAAGAGAAATCCAAAAGCGCGCAAAGCTAGGGGTAACAAAAGGCAGCACTCAGAACTGGGCTCGGTTTGAACAAAAGCACTAATGAAGAAGAGGGGACATCACACACGATACAACATTGCACGTGAAGTAATATGCTTGAACGATTCAATCCTACTGGCTGACAACAACTAAAGACACTTTATGCATTACTCTGGGATAACATATTTTGAACCCAAGCTCTTACCTCTGAATTACATTCCCTCAAGACTTGATCTCTGTCCCATGGGCAACCATTCTGTACAGCATATTGGAACACTTCCACATGGCCATTGCGAGCAGTAAAGAAGCATGTCTCTTCATCCCATGGACAGCCATTTTCATGGGCATATTTGAGGCATTCCAAATGGCCAAATTTTGCAGCATTATAGCAGGTGGATATGCCCCATGGACAGCCATTATCATGGGCATATTTGAGGCATTCCAAATGGCCATGTTTAGCAGCAAAGCAGCAAGTGTATTCATCCAATTCTTTCCATGGACAGCCATTTTCATGGGCATATTTGAGGCATTCCAAATGGCCATTTTCAGCAGCATGTTGGCATGTGTCTTCTTCCCATGGACAGCCATTTTCGTGGGCATATTTGAGGCAATCCAAATTGCCATTTTCAGCAGCAAAACGGCATGTGTTTTCATCCCAATCACAGCCATTCTCATGGGCATATTTGAGGCAATCCAAATCGCCATTTTCAGCAGCAACTTTGCATGTGCGATCATGCCATGGACAGCCGTTCTCATGGGCATATTGGAGGCAATCTAAATGGCCAAATTCTGCAGCATTTAAGCAGGTGTATAGGTCCCATCGACATCCATTCTCATGGGCATATTTGAGGATGTCGAGATGTCCATTCGCGGCAATATTTTCACTTGTGGTTAGGCTCCATGGACAGCCATTTTCATGGGCATATTTGAGGGTTTCCAAATGACCATTCTCAGCAGCCCTGCTGGATGTATCTGTGCCCAATGGACAGCCATTTTCATGGGCAAATTTGAGAGTTTCCAAATGACCATTCTTAGCAGCACTGACGCATGTGTTTTCATCCCATGGACAGCCATTTTCATGGGCAAATTTGAGGCAGTCCAGATTCCCATTGCCTGCAGCAGCCCGTGATGTGAATTGGCCCCATTCAAATCCCTTTTTCCGCGCCCATTGAAGCACAAGAAGACTACCTGCTTTTGCAGCTGCATAACAGACGACCGACTCGTGGATGTAGAGGCGATCAGCGCCAGTATGTTGGTGAGTGAGCCAGTACTCTGCACGGGGCACGCTGAAGAAAATTGCACCGAAGAAAGTACTTGTAGGAGTTGCCGAGGATGTTTGTCCCGTATGACCATCAGGACCGAATACATGTATCATTGGGGGATTCTCTACTGTTTCACAGTATGCTTTGTACATGTCTTTCATTGTGTGGCTGACTGGTGCCACAAAGGCAAAGTGGCCCATGCCAACAAAAGGGAAGATCTTGTTGATCCAAATATCCTCTTGTTTCAAAATGGATAGCGCCTCCTCCGCATCGGCTTGACCTTTTGCTCGTTTCTGTTGCTCAGGTATTGCTAATAAGCTGCAGTCTAAACCTCTCTTGCCACTACGGTCTTCCATCTTGGCAGGGGTACTACCGGTAGTACGAGTTCATGGGTTGTTTTTGTGCTGCTGTTTCGATTACCGTAGCGTAGGAGCTACTGTTGGTACCGCTACTAGGTTCGTGGTTGCTGGCTGGCTTATTTGCTGGCTGGCTTATTTTTATCAAGAAGCAATTCACGGCATTTGGTTATGAGACTGATCACTCTCGAGATCTTCAACCTCTCTTCATTCCACTTCCTCGTCTTCCCTCGGTTTGTGAGCCTGTTTTTGAAGGCTGCAATGGCAGACAATAGCAAGAAGAAGAACAAGACCCCCCAACAACGAATCCAACTGGAAGGAGAGCCGTCGATATGTTCTTTGAAGAATCTGCAAGTGCTGCTACCCCAAGATATTCGAGATCATTTGGATGGCCAAGATGGGACAACAACAACAACCAATGGATCCAAGAAGATGGATCAGATTCTAGAGGCCATGAAAATCCCCCCGGCTGCCACTGTGTGTCGAGTGAACCTTATCCAAGGCACACGGGAGGAAATCCAGGCCGAGTTGGAGGCAGAATTGAAGCGTCTCGATTTGCAGGACGCATTCTCGGTACAACCCGATTCAATTTTGGACGATGTTTTGCAAGTTGTGGCCAATACTACCGAGACACCAACCAAAAATCTTCATCTCGCTGGTCCGGTGGAAGATCCCCAAGCCCCGTTGGTATTTCCCACTTGGCCGTCCCGTCAAACTCTAGGATGGCCTCTGAAACATCGAGCCGTGATTGTGGATCGATTCTGTGGAGAAGCCGTCTTGCGAGGATCTCATATTTTTGTCAAGGGCATTATGTGTGCCGATAAGGGGATCCAAGAGGGTGAAACCATTGCGGTCTATGCCGATGTCCGATCGACAATTAGCAAGAATCGACGAATCAAACGAGGATACTTTCTGGAGCAGTATCGCAATCGACTCTGTGTCTATCTCGGATTGGGAGTGGCCATGTTCCAGCGCAGTGATTTCTTTCGGCTCGAAAAAGGAGTGGGCATTCGAATGACACCCCATGCTCGCGTGGGACCCATGTTACCACCCATTTCGGGCATCCTTCCTTCCAAAGTGTACTTTCAAAACTTACCCTCTGTTTTGGTCGCTCGGGCTTTGGATCCAAAACCGGGCCATGTCATTATCGACATGTGTGCGGCTCCCGGTGGCAAAACCAATCATGTGGCCAGTTTGGTTCGAAACAATGCCACTATCGTGGCGTGTGACAAGAGTCGGAAGAAGATGATTGCCGCGCAACAAATGTTTCGGGATATGGGGGCCACTTGTATCACTGCCTTGGCGCTCAATACGACCGATTGTGTGGTCCGCGACAACAACAGTGAATGGCAAAGTGTGACCAACGTGCTCAACGCGGCACAACGAGCCCCGGACGGATTGCTGGATGTGACTGGTTTTTACCCTGAATCCTTTGATCGCGTGTTACTGGATCCTCCCTGTAGTGCCTTGGGGTTGCGGCCGAAACTCCAAGTGGTCCATACCAAACTGGCGGAACTACAGGACGCGTGTGCCTATCAACGAAAGTTCATTCGGGAGGCGGTGCAACTGTTAAAGCCAGGAGGGATCATGACATATAGCACTTGTACGTTCAATGCGGACGAGAACGAACGAATGGTACGGCACATATTGAGTGAATACGAGACACTGGAGCTGTTGCCGGTCCTAGGCGGAGAGAATTCGTCCATTGCACTTGGGCAGCCGGGGTTGGCGGGGATGGGGTTGAATGACGAGGAACGGGGATATGTAAGGAGGTTTGATCCTTTGCCGAGCGAAGCGGGGTGTGATACGATTGGATTCTTTGTTGCCAAGTTTCGAAAGAGACAAGTCAGTTGAATTTCAATGCGTGAACTTGTTGGGATTGAAAGGGCCAGACCAAGGGGGTTGCTACTGCTCCGGTGGGTACATCGGGAACCAAGCAAAAAATAGAGAAGAGACGTGACGTAATGATATCGAATAAAGGAAGCTAGCAGTTTTGTATTGCTTTTATCATAGTGAACTTGATGCAGAAAATTTCTTCCTTTCGTTTTTAGCCATTTACCTCGAAACAGTGCTGAGCGTCAGACAGATCCGTCACGGAGGGAAGTTGCGCAACTGCCGAACCTTACAGCGCAGGAGGGATAGACGTAATACGCTCAGCTCATGGTTACCTCTTCCTTTGTCAGCTCATTGATCAATTCTTCGGCCCTGCGTTTGGCGATTTCGTTCAGGTCCTGGATGGGACAGTCAGAAGGATTCAATGATTTCTTCAGCCAGATAAGAGCCTGCTCACGATCCACTGTCACTCCATAAAATCCCAGGGCGATCATACGCCCCACCCGGTATGCTGCATAACTGGATCCTTGGCTGGCTGCCATAGTAAAATACATAATGCCATCGATGGAAGCGGCTGGAATACCGTAATGAATACCATCCATAAGCAACACACCAAGCAGTGCTGTCGCCGTCACATTGCCGGCATTGCGACCTTTCTCGAGCCACTTCTTAGCAGCCATAACATCCTGGTCGAATCCACACTCGCCGAACATGTAGTACTTTCCAAGCTTATACATCGCATTCTTGTCACCGTTGTTGGCTTTTTTGATCAAGTCATCCGTGTATTTCTTTTCTTCGATTTTCTTATTCCATTCCGCAAGCAACTCTCCAACAATCACGCCCTTGTCGACCATTGCTTGAATATGATTGCGAATGTGGGGGGCTGGGAACAGTCGTTTGCCCATTGGTTTGTTCGTGATGGGAGAGCTGAGCTGACCACTGTGTATTTCAATATACTTCTCAATGGCACTCTTTTCGTAAACACGGCCATCCTCTGCGGTGACGGGTTCCCGAGGAAGCAATTTGGTAATTGGGCAGACAAGGTCAATTCCAAAGTCCAGGTCTTTCGCACATGGTTTCGTTGGCTTTGGGTCGGCTGTTTCCTCATTCTTTTTGACTGGCTTGGTGTTTTCTTTGTCTTCTGAACCGTCGTTCTTGCTTTCGTTATCCTTATCGTCGCTTGGATTCATGTCGTCATCTTTGTTGCTATTCTTCTTGTCGCCGTTGGTTTCTGTTGGCTTCTCCAAAACTTCCTGGAGACGGGCACGAAGGGCTTGCGTGTTGCCGCCGCCGCTCAAATCTCGCTTCTTGCACTCAACCTGGAGCTGTCGAAAGGATAGCTTGTCAATGTCTTTCTTCGTAAGAACCGTCATGTTGATTCGTTCGTAGTACACGTCGTTGTTATGAGACCAAAAAATGAGGCGAGAGTGGAGAGTTGGCAGGGCAACGGTCGTTGCTTCCAGTCGCGAGGAATTCGTGAATGAAAGAAATCTGCAGACTTCCCTGAAAGCGACGCCACCAACAGCACTCTTGGCTGCTTGGCTGTCATTGTCCAACAAACCATCAACCATGGCGCTCCGAAGACCCCCAACTCGTGTCGACCTCAAGCCCGAAGATATTGATGAATATGAAGAGGTTTGTGTTTGGCGATGTGATAGAAAATGTTGGACTTGTGTGAATCAAATGCCTTCCTCACATTTGCTTGTGCTTTCTCATGGTCCTCGATTTAATTATTATTTATTTGACTACCGTACTACTACACTCCTCTTGACGGACCAATCCAGCTCATGAATGAGAGAATGATGGCAGCCGCCGACTCGTCACAACAATCTGCTGCAGTAACGCCGGTGAACAACGTGAACGCTCGACAAGCCGCCAAGGACGCCAAGAAAGCTGCGGCAGCGGAACGCATTGGCGTGACCAACAATGCGAGACGACGGTGATGGCGTGGCATGGTTGGAGACTGCAAACGGTATCTACCGGTACCGGTACCCAAGAAGAGTAGGGCCAGTGGATGAAACTGCCGCAAAATCAGCTAGTGTTTTGCCTGAATGGAGAATGGAGGGAGACCATGGCCCGGTGTTTATGGATGCTGCCCAGCTACAAAACACAAAATCTTTTACGGGGGAGCCTTGATACTAATTATCAAACCAGTAATTGATTTGTTTTAGGAAACCAAGATCACTTTTGCATCACCATACGTAATAGATCTTGTTTTCTGTCTGTTTGCAAAAGTTGTGTTCCCAAGAATAATGAGCCGCTCTGAGGCCTACCGTACCCAAAGAGTTGCCTGACTTCTTTTCCCTTAGTTGGCTTGCGGATGGAGACACTGAAGGCCAGGCACTGGTTTTTTAATGAGCTCATGCGAATTGTCATTACGATTTCCTCTTGTTACTTTGGAACAAGCAGGTGCCGTGATTTTTTCCAGATTGACCTGTTTTATTGTTTGTTGTTGTTTTGTCATTGGTTGGTCTCAATGACATTTTAAAAAATCGCTCCAATACAGTAACATGCTACAATAGATACTCGTCTTTTCCCAGATCCATAGTTTGAGGCAGAGAAGGCGAGACTTGTTCAATGTTGCCAGTTCCTTCAATTCCGAGTGTGCCTCCGAGCCATCCAGGTCCCAGAATTAGGTTCATGCCGCCAAACGCCACAATTAAAAAGGCGAGAATATATGTAAAGACGTTGATTCCCAAGAGCTGATGACGAAGATAATGACATGACAATATCAATAGAAACCAATGGGATAGTCGAAGAATTAGAAGGACTTCTAGTTGCAGAAAAACAAAAAGAGACAGAAGCCAACCAACTATCGTGGCACAAAAAGAAATACTCACCTCCTTCATGACACTCAATTGCGAAGGCTGCGCTTCTTCAATTTCATCCCACTGTTCTTTGGTAAAAACATCATTTTCGCCTCCAGGTTCTACCATGACGGTTTCCTGGAGTGGTTCTTGCTCGCCTTCTTGCGTGCTCTTGGAATGTAGCCGTACCGACACTTGGTGGGATTGCGACAAACTACGATGCCTGGACAGAGGAACCACAAACCCATGGGTCCTCTTCAGGGCCAAGCAGCATAACACCGATGATACCAATACCAGGATACCCCTCATTCTTCTGCTCCTCTTACTTATTCGGATACCACCGATAGTTTCATCAGATGAGGGTGGAGAAAAAGTGAGGGGAGGATGGGAAGATCCAACGGCGATGAGAGTTGACACCCAAACGAGCTACGTGTACCACTATCTTTCGGCGTAGCTCGCAAGATTCCACTTTTCTTTTTTCTTTTTCTCACACAATCAAAAAGCACAACGATGGTGAAGAAAGATGAGCGGCAAAAGGGAGCGAAAGGACAAACAAACCTGGACCATATCAGAGTAGCCGTGGCCTCTGTCAGCAAAGACATGTGCCGGTACAGCTGGACTCTCCCCGATGAGTCCTTGAATCTTCGAATGAAAGATCACTTCTCATCGCTGCTGTTTGGGGGATCCATCACAAATACAATCTTGGAACTAGTGCTCCTCGCTGCCCCCTTTGTAGCCATGGGAATGAACGGCCAAGTTTCCACACTCTTGAATGTTAAAGGAAGCATGACGTTCCTGGAACTATCTGTCTTCTTTTTCGTATGTTCGACTGTTCGAAGAGTCTACAATGCCTACCTGGAAGCAGTCTATTTTTCATTCCAAAATTTGAGAACGCAACCTCCTAAGGAACATTTGCTCAAGCAAAAGAAGGATCTCATGGGGAGGGACATGGAGCAGCTAGAAATATTGGATGGACACGACAAATGGACCATGATCTCCCAGTTTCTACTCAATTTTGGACTCTACTTTTGCCTCCCTGGATATTACCCCTCTCCCCACGAACCACAATCCCTCCAGGAACGATTCCTCCGCCTCCTCCTCAACCACTACGTCATGAGCTTTGGAATGTACTGGGCGCATCGATCCCTCCATGAGGTACCGTTTCTTTGGGAACATATCCACTGCATCCACCACTGGGCCAAGCACCCACTCTCCCGCAACACATACGAAGATCACTGGTTCGACAACTTTTTCAACGCCATTGTGGGACACTGCTACGCCCAAATCCTCGTACCGCTCGATCGTCCCACCTTTTGGTTCTCACGGATCTTTCGAATCTTGGAAAGTTTGGAAAAACACTCGGGTGTGAGCTGTGGGTTCAATATCGCCCACTCGATGCAGCAGTGGTTACCGTTTGCGCAGATGCCGCATCATCATGATTGGCATCATGAGGGGTTCAAGGGGAGCAATTATACCTTTTCCAGTATTGGTGGATTGTGGGATTGTCTGTTTGGGACGAGGAAATCGGGGAGAGCAAACCATTCTGCTACGAGGGAGGATAGGAACGGCAAGTCCAACGTGATGCAGGATTTGCCTGCTCGATGGTTTAGCCCTCTTTTGCCCTTGGTTGGTTTGACAGTTTTGGTGAGCATAAAGTTGCACGGATCCTTCTAACGTTTTGTTCGTCAGACAAGGATGATGAGTTGAGGTGGCCCCCATGTCAACTTCGTTGGGGAGGTGCATGCCTTGTTCCCCAGCCAACAATTACCAGTCAGGTACTAGTGGCTTCTTGCCCGTACCGGAAACTCTCGCCATGACTCGGCAGAGCAATGTTGGGGTCTCATCTAGAGGACGGACGGCAGAGGCGGTGGCTGGGAGTCGAGGAAGACTCGACTCGACTCGACTCGACTCGACTCGACTCGACTCCGTAGGGACTGTCCATGAGGACGAAAAGGAATTATGGAATGTTCGTATAGAAACACTCTAGCTAGTTTGTTTCACGCGCACAATTGAGCGCAAGTTTGGATGGGGAAAGCTGCCATTATTGTTATCAAAAATTTCAGTGGGACCGCTGCTGCTTTCATCAGTCAAGCTCAGCTTGCAGCTTAGTCTTAGACAAGATAACAGATCATGGTTGTAGCTATATATTATGTCACCTATATTGGCCAAAACGCATCCATGGTACAGGTGCAGACACTTCTTCCCATGTGCACTCCTCATGGGCTCGACAAATAAGCCTGTCTCTAGCATTGCATTCATCAGCATGGGTCACAGTTGCATCCACAAAGTAAGGTGCCTTGGCACACATTCGTCTTGGTGATTTTGCCAGTACAGCCATGAGCTTCATGGCATTTCCTTTCATACCCACGTATCATGCCACACAGCTGATCAGGGATGCTCCCAGACAAGGATGTATTGGTGACAACTAGGGCAGTCAACTTGGTCAAGGCAAGGAGCTCTGTGGGTAGAGTTCCAGACAAGCCTGTGTCATGCAGTTGTAAGCGAAGAAGGTTGGACATGAAACCAATCTCACTTGGAATGGTGCCGGTGAATCTAGTCCCATTCATCTGTAGCGCAATCATTGAAGTCAGGCTTGAAAACAAGCCTGGAGGGAGTTTGTCCTCTAGCTGGTTGGAACTCATGTCTAGCCAAGTCAAGTCTGCGTGAAAAGAGCATGGTAAACTAAGCCAACGTTTTCTTGTCAAAACATCCCTGATTTGAGGACTTACTCCTTAGATTTGACAATGCTGGTGGGAGGTGTCCTGAGAGAGAATTCTCCGATAGTTTTAGAGAACCCTATGAAAAAGATCAAAGGCGGCAAAGAACTGTCAGCATATCACTAGCTAGAGCACCAATCTACCGGCAGCTTTACTTACTAGCTGTGTCAATTGCCAAAGTTGACTTGGAATCAACCCTCTAAGGTTCCACTCATCAAGGAACAACCTTGCAAGATTGGACAACCTTGCAATTTCAGCTTGGTGTGCAGAGATTAGTAAAATCTAGATGCCTTGTCTGGTACAACAACAAAAGATGACTTACTGGGTATTCGGCCATTGATATCATCAGCCGTGTTGATTAGCATGAGATCCTTTAGTTGGGGCATGCTTTCAATGACTTTCGGCAAAACTTCCTCCGAGGCTAGTTGAGGGCAATAATGTATTGCCAAGGATGTCAAGTTTGTTAGCTTGAATAGTTTTGATGGGACTGTGCCTGGTAACAGTAGGGAGAAAAGCGTATTAGTGATGACAATTGCATGCTTAGTTGGAACACAAAGTAGAAGCATACCTGTCAGCTGGGTATTGCCCATGAACATGTCTGTTAGATGACCTAAATTTCCCAGTTCCGTGGGAACAGTTCCACATATTCCAGCCCCCCCCCCCAACCGTAGCAGCCTCAAACCTGAAAGGAGACCCAGCTCTGTAGGAATTGTTCCTGAAAGTTCTGTCTTGAATGTTCCCAAAACTGTCAGCTTTGTTAGACATCCAATTTCCGTTGGGATCTGCCCTTTCAATTCCAAGTTCCCTGTCAAATCCAGAAGCTCCAAATCTGCACTCAAAAGGGATAGCTCTGGTGGAATGGTTCCATCTAGGTTGTTTCTAGAAAAGGACAAACCATGTATATGCCCAGAATCATCACATTGCATGTCGGGAGAATCAGGACTAAAAATTTGCTGTTCCCAGTTGCACTCATGTACTTCCCAGTCTAGCCAGCCTTGATTATACACCCAAAAGTCTCCCCTGGTGGAGAAGAAGAAGGTAGCCAAAGCAAATATTTGGGTCAACCTCCAATTGGGATAGGTTTGAATCTTCGTTCGGTTCTCCAACAGCCATTCATAAGCGTTGCATTGGGGAGATCTATGGTCTTGTAGAGCTTCCAAGGTGTAGTTGGGAAGATTAAGAGATGTCAGAATGCCATCAATCAAACTTGATGGTGCTTGCGTGGCTGCTGGCAGCACTGGAACCCTAACAGCCCCGTTTTCTGCGACGGATTGGCTGGTGCTTTCTTTGCCCCAGATAGTTCGATTTAACACCACAAAAATCACCAGGAAAGTGGTCACAATGAGCATACCAACAAAAAATTCCAGTGAAACATAACACCAGAGTTTTCTGTTCCAAACAGTTCTGTTTCTCGCAATGAATGGGACTCCACTTGGGAGCAATTCTTCTAAACCCTGATGGTCTATGGGTCGTGCAACAGCTATCAAGGGGACTTCACTAGGGAGCATTTCTTCTGAACCCTGATGGTCTATGGGGTGTGCAACAGATTGAATATCATCTTCCTCCCAGCTTTCGCCTGCCTTGTGAGGTCCCAAAGGTTCTTCGTCATTGTCAACCGAAGGTTCATCTTCTTCTTGAGGACGAGAAGTGACCCCATTTACAGCATATGCTCCTGGCTGTACAAGTGTTTCTGTCTGTTCAGAATCTGTCTGTTCAGAATCAATAGTAGCCCTGGCATCAGCAGCCCTTTGGGCTACGATTTCCATCAAGTCAAAGCCATCATTCTCGTCACTACTCTTCGTACTACTACGTGGGTCAAGGGCAACTAGAATCTCACTTGGCGGTCCATTCCCTAGATGTTGGTGTTCTCTTTCTCGAGAATTGCTGTGGTCTTCAGCTGCTGCATCAATCCTCTGATCCACAAGCTGTGTCAGCTCCAAGTCGTCGTTGCCATTATCAGTATTCATTGTTGGCCCTTCTGGTTGCCAAAGCTCTCGCTACATAAACATGTTCTGTACATGCAATGAATGGACAAGCAGTAAGTGTGTGGGAGAGTCACCAAGGAAAAGAGGGCTGCCTCGCTCCTGCTGAGAGGCCCCCAAAAGCACGCACCTTAAGGTTTTGAGTTTCAAGGGTATCATGCATATAATATGTATCGTACGTATTGTATATATTGTACATATTGTATGTATCATACGTATTGTACGTATCATATGTATCGTACGTATTATACGTATTATACGAGCGAACGTGGACCAATGAGAACTCCCTTGATCAGCAGCAGCCATTTTTAAAAAGCACACCAACAACAAAAACCACACCAACAACAAAAACACCACCATCCACACTTCTTCTTCTCTCCTCTTGTTGCTCCTGCTATTGTTGCTTCTGTTGTTATTCAGCTATCACACCATCTCTACCACTACTATCAGGTACATTTACTCAGCTTCCTGCTTGTGAAATGGTCAGAGAGAGTGGCTATTCATCAGATGAGCAAAAGTGATGTCATATCACCCTCTTTTCTTTCCTCCTCCATGCCATACCCAAGTCTCTCAACAATGCTTTCACTCTTTCTCTACTATTCATAGACTGATAGAACAAGGTGAACAAGGCAGGACACCACCCAGGAAGTCAAGGAAGTCAAGAAACAGCACATTTCCATTTCACCAGTAGATCACAGTACTGAAATCCTGTAAGTACCCTTTGTATCGTACGTATGATATATATAATATGTATCGTATGTATGATACGTATGGTATGTATTGTATGTATCATAGCTACAAACCTTTTGTATGATATGTATGATATGTATCGTATGTATGATATGTATCGTATGTATCGTATGTACTATATCTATTATATGTATAATGTATATCATACATATTTCTGTATTGTACTGACTGCAATCTTTGTTTCTGCTGTTTGTATATGGCTTTATTCATAGGTATCATGGCTGAAGGTGACACTAACCCCATGGGGGTTCTGGTCGTCCTAAAAGGACACGGCAGACAGCAGCCAAGGACGATAACTTTTAGGAGCGAGAGCTCTGGATTCCTCTGGGATAGCTCCAACAGCTATGCTGGCCTACAACTCCAGCATGCGCAGTTGGCTTATCTCCCAGCAAAGCAGCAAGAAAGGATCGTCCTTTCTACCATAGTTAAGAAAATAGTACGAAAGATTGAGACCGATCCTGATTAGCTTGTAGCCCCATTGATACCGCAGCAGTTGATACCCATCCTGTTGAGGCCGGGCAGAAGCCGTAGGAGGTAGCAGATAGTACTGTTCCCAGACTGCCACTGCACGATTGAATAACGAAGGCCCCCAGCTCCTGAGGAGAGCTGGCCCAAAGGGCCCAGCAGAGAGCTCTGCTGGCCCTCCTGTCTGACTGACAGGGCCAAGTCCTTGGTTTGGTGCCTACTGCTAACGTGGGGAAATACTACTTGAATAGAGGGATCTTGTAGAGGTAGCTACCACCCGACGAGATCAACTGCAACTATTCAAGACGAGTGCAAGGTAAATGCAAAGTTCGCTTCTTAGTAATTCATAATCTGTGTTGTGAGCTTTGATTTATGCGATCAGTAACGCTAGTTGTAGCGTGTTGGATCAATACATCGTGGTAGTTGATACGGAAGTCAACGTGGTATTTGCGGGAAACGGTTCGTTGGCAGGATGCTTTACTCCTGTCGAATACTCCAATTTACCGTGTCCTTTGTTTCGTGAGAACGTGTTCTTGCCAGCGTTCTCTGTTCCATCGTGTTGACTCATAAAACATGACCCAATCTACTCACGGATACTCTGAGTCTGGGAGGAACTGTAACGCTTTCACTCCCCTCAGTGGCGACTGTCGACTCTGAGTGTTTCTTACCGCAATCCTTGGTATCTCCTGACCAAAACAAAGTGCATTCAGCATAGGCCATACCGATGTATAGTCCCAGTGTTGCTGAGGATATCTGCAGGGTTAGAGATCCAGGGATATGATGAATCTCAAGATACTTGCAGCAACGGCTTCCCTAGTACGGTGGTAGGAAAGCGCATTGTGTCTTTTGAGAATCTTTGAGTGTGGCATCGAGGCGGTGTTGACTACCGTCTCGTTGTCTCCGAACATCATGGTCGGTGTGTCGGACCAGTACTCCTAGGACCTGAACGTGCTCCGTAGGTCAATTGATCTGTTCAGTGGCGGTAAGGGCTGCAACATACTAAGATCGAACGTTGCGGTCTCGACAGTTGACTGTAGCTTGCTGAACCAGTCGATGGGAGTCTTGTTCGCTAGGTGTAGGACTCCGGTAACTTATCGGCCACTGATGAGATCGTTATAGAGGTTCGCATCCACATATGTGGTGAGAAGACCCGTTTGCCTCGAGGTACCGGTGCGTTGTGCGGCTGAACTTCTTTGGCACCATGGTAGCATGAGTATTCCCATTCGTACTCTTTCTTGGGAATCGCTGAGTAATCCGGTTCCTCCTTCCGGATACGTATGATGCCGTGTCGCATCTTGGAAAGGTACCCGCAGATTCTCTTGACTCGCTCTAAGTGGCCATTCTTGGTGCTGCCCGAAATCTGGACATCGTCATGGTGGCCGTGGCGATTCGAACCTTCCAATTTGGATGCCCACTCTAGACTACCGATGAGTGACTGATACTTCTTTTGTGTGTCCATATCAGTAGCTCTGTTGTGTCAGTCTCTGGTGTCTTCCTTTGATGAGTGGGGAGATGAGGCTTGTTTGGGCATGGTTCCGAAGTCCGTTGTAGTTGCTGAGTACTCTTCTCATATTTTGCGAGGTGCGTAATCAAGTACTCCGTTCTCATCACGGAAGAATCACATCCTAGGTTGAATCTGATGGGACCGGTTCCCTTCTAGTTTTGAACTTGTGCTTCCCTACCAATGTCTCGATGATCTTGGATGCGTCTTTTCTGACAATAAGGAGGTTCGTCTACGTATCACAGCTATGTATTCGTTAGTAGCTCCCTTTGTCTCTCATCCAGTGTCTGATTCGGCTTTTGAAGAGATAGAATCCCATCGAACGAAGGACATTGCAAATCGTTCATCCCATCGTAACCCAGTAAGACCTGAGTCCGTATGGGGCACGGCTGATGATGCTGAGGTGCATCCTTCTCGATCTCCAAATTCGGGTCTGCGACAACGTTATACCTTCTCTTTCGTAAATTGATTCCAAGTAGGCTTTTCCAATGTCTGTTGCCCATACCTCACAATCATTGAGTTCTTGCGAGGAATGTGAGGATACGAATCCCTCCTAACGAAACAACACTGGAATAGACGGAGTTTACTGGTTTATCAGTTAGATGTCCTCCAGCGACAAGTCGTGCTTTTGTCGCCCATCGTGTTTGATGCGTTCCATACACCATAGTGCACTCGAGTTCTTCTTCCAATCTGGTCCAGGGTTTATGTCCCTTTCCTTTGTTGCATGAAGGTCTCGTACTCATCAATCTTGATATAAGTTCGATCATCTCCGGCAATCTCTCCACTTGGTATCTCATTGCTTGCGTCTAGTTCCATGGCTGTATCATGGTTGCGCGGAACTTGGAATCCGTACATGAACACGGGCTTGGTCCTTACAATGATAGGAGGAAGTTGAAACTCTTCGCAGTTGGTGTGGCCGCTCGTACAGTTCGACCCTATTCTCCGAGATACGCTAGATTGTCGCGAGATGCTTCCATACTGGTTGCTACCTGGTAGGTTGCTTTAGAATGTATACTTCTCATGTTGCTAGTTAGACCGTGTGCCTTGCAATCTGTATCGCATGCGAGATTAGATGGCGACCGTGACTGTTTCAGACTCATGTACTCCTATCTTGTCTTTAGTGGTAATGGGCTCCCAAGTTATCTCTCGGGTTTGTCGCAATATCCAACTGTGTGAGCATGTTTCCCAATGCGTTCATCCAAACCTCGCTCGCTCGCTCTCTGTATCGTTCCTTATCAGATGATGACTTCTTGGAAGTAAGGCTGACAACTTGACGCTAGAATCGCGTCGAAGAGTCATGGTCTCAAACTTCCATGTGCTCACTATTGCAAGGTTTGGTCGATACCTGCTTTCAGCATCAGAAGTCCTACTGAATAATCGTTGGTATTGGGCATATTGATTGACACTGACACATATGCCTCTTTCCTGACATACAAGAAGGGACGACAAGTCATCTATGTCGTGGTGGAAAGAGCCATCTACCGAATGGTTTTGGCAGGATTACTCTGGTACAAGCTCTTCAGGAGCGACCTTGAACAAATTGGATTTGTGTTCAACAGATACGATCCTTGTGTGGCAAACCGCATGATCGAGGGGTACCACAAAACAATTCGATTTCATGTCGATGACCTAATGTCAATCCACAGAATGAAGTTGGTGAATACCCAAACTCTGGAATGGTTCAACGCTAGGTATGGAACCTATGGAGCAGTGAAGGCAACCCGTGGTCACAAGCATGACTACTTGGGGATGACGGTGGCCTTTTCCGATCCAGGCAAGGTAGTCATTGACATGATTGACTATCTTAAGAAGATGATCTTGGAGGTTCCCGGTGGACTTCGAGCAAATGAAGAAGTTGCCCAGCGCGGCACCTGCCGAATTATTCAGTTCTGGTGATGGAGCTGCTTTGGATGACAAGACCAGAGAAAACTATCACACCAACGCAGCACAGCTGTTGTTCGCGTGCAAGAGAGCAGGACCAGATGTTCAGACACTAACAATTGTTCTCTGCACACGTGTGAGGGATCCCACAGTTGATGACTAGGGCAAGTT